AATCTGCTTAAAACCAGCTCAAAATTTAACATGTTTTAGTTCCACATAATTCAGACTAACTTGTCAAAAAAAAGTTGGCCTTGTTTTGACAAAAGTCCTGACTCCCACACTGATGTGAACTAGCCCACCCTCTCCAGTTTGCTCTGCTCCTTTTATCTTTTACTGAGTCCTAAAAAACACATGTTCAATCCACAACTCCTCAGCCAGAGTCAGCTGTTATTGTTTGTCCTGCTGCAAGGTCGCTGTGAAGCTTGGAGAAACATCGCGTCTCCTCTCCACCACCAAAGGGCATCAGAAATATAAAAGGTCAGCTTATAGAAAAATTAAAGCTGGAAAAAAAAAAAAAAAACGCTGTTTACGAGCTTTCATGTGTGGCTAATATAGATTCATTGTTGTCTCACACGCACACACACGACCTGGTCAAGGCCGCAGAGCGTGTTGTGCTTCTCCCTCTGCAACAGTTGTCTCTTTTTCTTCTGTACAAATATGAAGCAGACTGACATAAACCAGCACGAAAAGATCAACACGCACCTCATGGACTGCTGCTATCTTTCTGTTTTATTCCAGATTTACTGAACACTCTCTTCTTTTTTGTAATAAATGAAATTCCACTTCATGTAGCCGATATTGACCCCTCTGGTTTCCCACACATGCGCTTGCTTTTACGAGTGCGCACAGTTTGGCTTGTTTAGATTGAACTGAGAAGAAACAGCACATTCAAGCATAGTTTCTTATTGGGGCAATAAAGCGTCTAGACAGCACTCCCCCTCTTTTTCTCTTTTTTTCACCTTCACCCCCCCTCTTTTAAGAGCATTTGTTTATCTGAATATATTGGCTCGTCTTTGTCTCACACTTATCAGCTGTGCCATTATATAACACATGTCGAGGCTTTTCAGGAGGACATGGGACGGGAAAAGGGCCGTTAGCACCATAACCATGCATACAGTGGTTTATTTCACACGTGTCGTCGATGAATTTAAATAAAATATTTAAAGTAAAAACCGTTTGACTTTTAATCAGCTTCACTCAAGGCTGATAAAAGTTTGACTTGTGTATAGTTTGTTGATTTATTGCCTAAAAAATGTCAAAAACTCCCAGTTTTAATCGTTGAAGTTTGGTCCAAACAAACTGGATTACTAAAACTATCTTCTGTTACATCAAATATCATTTTAAAACCGTATTCACCTTCAAATTCACACATTTTTCCCAATTTTTTCACATTTGTTTTTAAAGGTATGTTTCAAATGTAAACTTCTGGACTAATTTTAGTCTCCTTATGTGATTTGATTTCACTTCCTTTTGTTTTGTTTGTTTGGCAGATTTGATGTTTCTAGTCTCTTTCTAGGCTCCAAAAGTCAGGTTTAGGACCCCATGAGGACTCCTGAGACACTCAAAGAGGGCTCATAAGGTAAATCCTTAAGAAGATTGAAATGTCAAACTACTAAAAGTGGCACATTTTACCTGTTATTGTAAAATATACACATTTTTTTTAAATGAAATCTTTCTTTTTGTGGTTACATCTTCACTCAAGGCTGATAAAAGTTTGACTTGCATGTAGTTTGTTGATTTATTGTCTCTAAATGTCGCGCAAAATGTCAAAAACTCCCGCTGTTAACCACATAAGACTGGAAACCAAATTGCTGACTTGTTTATTGAACAAATTTGGATTTCTAAAACTATGTTCTAGTAAATTAAATATCATTTTCAAACCATATTTGCCTCAAAATGCACATTTTTTTTTCAATTTTTACACATTTTTTAAAGGTTTGTTTGAAATTTAAACTTCATTTTGGTTTCCTTATGTGATCTGAATTCACTTCCTTTTGTTTGTCAAAAAGATTTGATGTTTTTTTAGTCTCTTTCTTGGTTCCAAAAGTCGGGGTTTAGGACCCCATGTAGACTCCTGACACACTCAGAGGGGTCATAAGATACTCTCAAGAAAGTTAAATATTTAAAACTACTAAAAGTGGCATATTTTACCCATTATAGTAAAATATATACAAATTTTTTAATGAAATCATGCAAATAAAAATCTAACATGATGTTATCTCTCTTTTTGTGGTTAAAGCTTCATTAGGGGATTTTAACTGGACTATTATCCTCTGCCTCTAACTGCAAAGTTAACATATGAAGTACCAAAACAAACTAAAAGCACATGAACAACAGTCACTTTTACAACCATGTTCCCTTTATTCATACTAGTTTTTTTTAACATCCTTTTCTTTGTCTGTCCAGGTTTATTTGCTACCTGTCCTCCCCCCAATGCATTCAGACTATTCAAGTATACACTTAAAGCTAAAGTACAAACTCTTGAGCGTGCCCAGAACCAGCTTTAACTCACTCTTCATTCAGGGAGCAGCCATCTTGGATTTCAAGCACAGGGTTAATCTAGTTCCTGAGTTGAGGTTCTGACTTAAAGGGGGCGGTTCTTGACATGTAACGTACCTGAGTGGCATCTCAGCGCTTCCAAGTTCAGACCCATGTTTTGGTTTTTGCAGCCAGCCTGAAGTGAACACTCAAGGAATGGCAGGTTTTTGCATTTCTGCAGCAGCTTCATTTTTTAAGCTTGTTTTTTCAGATATCAGGGTTAGACATATCTAACAGACAGAGTTTAATGTTTAGTATCAACCTTGTTCAGCTTCTTGTATCTAATATCTAATGAATATTTATCCTCTGTGATCTGAGCTGACCCCCTCAGTGCCTGTACAGCAGCATTTTTACTCAGTTTGTCACATTCCCCAGATGAATTCCTGTCTGTAAAATGTAACTGACAGAGTTGAGAAAGGTACAAGAAGGACAGGTTATATGTCCAGGTTCATAACATCATGTACTGAAGATTCGCTGAAAAAGCTGAACTGTCTTTTTATCTGCATACTTGGAATATTCAAAGTTCTCCAGCCTCTGTTTTTTTTAGCAAAACTCACTCTGTAAAACGCCCAACAGCTCATCACTTCACAATGTTTGTTTCACGACCTCTGCAGAATCTGCACTCTTCCCTTTAATTTTCTGTATTGTTTCAAAGAATACGAACCACACTACCAAGGTGAAACAGAAATAAAGAGCTCGTAGCACTTTAATGTCTGACACCACAAATTATGGCCAGAAAAATCTAAATGTCATTAAAATTTAACAAATATATTTATTTATCCCGTTTACATTGATACATTATTGCATAGAAGTCCAGGGAGACACATACAAAATGAATTTACAGCTTATATATATCACGCAAAAGAAAGCAATAAGGATTGTTAACAAGGCAGGATTCTTCCATCATACTAATGAACTGTTTCTGATCTGAGTGCATATTTGTGTGTTTATGCGTGTAAATAGGTATGGATGTATAGATGTACATGTAAGGTCTTTGTTTCAGTTTTTCAGGTCAATGCATAGGAGGAATTAGGATAGGTACATATAAGTAAAATAGCTTCAACCTACTTCTTTTAGATCTCAAAAAACAGGGACTTTATTGTCTAAAATTGTTCTGTATGTATGAATATTTGATCGAATAAACAATATCTCTCTCTCTCTTATTGGATGTTTTTGGAAACTGATAAACTACAAAAAAACATTTTTTATCAGTTATCAGACTGTATTCAGGTGCTTTTTCAGTAATTTGTTGATCATATTGATTTGATAGGGTATATAAAAGTATCAAATATGATACAAAAGGCATTAACCTTCCTCCTGTGTAAGCTTTTACTACACACCCACCATGTTAAGGGTCGGTTTTGACCCGTGTCTTAAATCAGCTCTAAATTACACTAAAAACAGTTATCTATCATCCAAATTGGTTCTCATCTCTAGGTTGCCTTGTTCGGCTTCATTATCCATGAAAATATTGCTATAATAGTTTTTATGGTGGTCCTCTGGGCCTTTCTTTGTTACTATACCCCTCATACAGACATCTATACTGAGTTGATCTCACATGTCCGGACATGACTGTTGTTTTTTGTGCAGGAAAATACAAAATGAGTGGCAAAATGAGAATCTCCTAAATATCACATGATATGAAGAGGATCTGACTGTCAGTGTGGTGCCTGACAGTGCACATATGATTCCAGATATTGATCTAATTGTTAGATATTGATCTAATTGGATCAACAGTGACCCTAACCCGACATGTGTCATGATTTTAATAAGAGCATTTAATAGTATTGTTAATTTATTTTTTTATTTAGTTGAAATAGAGGTTCCTGACAAAGTCAAAAAGTCTTGTGGTTCTTTTAAACATTTAAAATCAAAAGACCCTAACACAGAAGAAGGGTTAAAGGGTTAATTCAAGCAAAATGATAGGAGCTGATGGTACAAATGTTTCCTAAGAAGTCATCATCTATCATATTTCCTGATATCTGAAGTTACATTTACTTAACTTTTAGTGCAAACAAGGTTATTTGCTTTTTGTCCACGGTTTTACGCATTGGGTTTCACATTTAGGCACGACTCCAGAGGAATATTACAATCATTAGGAAACATGTGGCTGAATATATATGTTAGGAAGTGAAAACAGAAGCACAACTGAGCGATATTAGACTATTTAAACACCTATCAGGACATGCAGTTATTATCTTTGTGTCTTTTGAGTGGTGCTCCGGGCTGTAAGGCCTGTTTTGTGTGACTTATCTGTGCTCTCTCGCCTCTGTTGGTGACAATATCTGCTCTTTTTTCCCCCCTCTTCATGCACAAGGAAAAGAGCGATGAGTTGGGTGTTATTAACCCTGCCTCCATCCTGCAGTCCATCCACTCGCAGGGCTCCTCCCGCCCCCTCCTGCCGCTCCGCTCCGCTCATCAATGGGGAGCCCATTTGAATAATGTGTGAGCGCTTGGACTGGAGCCAATCAGCTGTCAGGGGCCCGTGATAAATCGCAATGCATTATTGATAATAATAATTACGGTGACATGCGCATTTCTACTTGAGGGGCAAATTTTTCCAAAGCCCTGAAGAATTTGTTGAAGAAGGGGAGGAAAATTGTTTGCAACTCTTTGCTCCTGATGGTTGCACCATGTCGAGGCGTAAGCAAGCCAAACCGCAGCACATCAACTCCGACGAGCCTGCTTCGTTAGGAAATGGTAAGTTCACACACACGAGATATGAGGGAGAGACTTATCCCCAAACTTTTACCCGCAGTTTCGCCACGCTTTGCTGAAAACTCTCGACATTTAGTCTTAAAGTTTGGGTTGACTTTTACTTTGTTCCTCTCGCACTTTGACCTGTTGCTGTCCGTTTGAGTGGACCGAAAGAGAAAAAGATCTGGAGGCGACACATTGAGAAATAATTTTCGATACAATACAGGTGTTCATCGAGGGTCGAGTCGAACCCGAACCTGTGAGATTGTCTGAGTTTCTTTCACTGTTTCGAGGGGAAACAAACCAAAAAGTAACCGAGTCTCATCCTCTTTGTAACCTCTCCGAGCTTTTGATGTTGGACTGATTTTAGAAGTGAAATTATCTCGACTTAAAGCGATGTTTCTGTCTAAACCTTCCGGATCAGTTCACCACAAATCAGTTTCTTTTTTACCTCCTGTTGATTGTCTGAAACGTGTTAACTTGAGTAAAAAGTTTTAAGGTTGATTCTTGGTGCCATAGTTTCTGCTTTGATTGTGTTTTAAAGTTTCCTCTTATCATGACGCATCATTTTCTCTACTCCAAGTCCTCCGAAATTGACTTAAAATGCTTCATCTTTTCAGCTTTTTGTGAATTAAACAGTTGTTTTTTTTAATCTACACTGTAATGTATCTAATGTAAGAATATCCATGTTCGGTATGTTGATATTTGAGTGTGATTTGTGCGTAACTGTGCGCCAAAACTCGAAGATTTGAACAAAGGTGCCCCCAAAAACAGTATGAAATGTGACTCTGGAGTAAGCTGACCTAAAGCAATAAATCCCCCAGTTTAATGCATGACTGTTTCCTTTCGTACATATGTGGAGAGGTGGGGGATGGAGCAGTGGCCTTTTTGTGGAGACTGGCTGGGTGGGGGTGCGTTTTGGTGTTGCCATATGCAAGCTCCAGCGGACCTCACCTTATGAAACCTTTTGGAAACTTTGATATCGCGATGTTTGAACGGACGCAGCTGAATCCCATGTGTAGCCATCTTCTAAATAAACACGTTTGACAAAGATTTAACATTATATGTGCCACATAAGGTCCACAAATTAAATGTTTAGCCTGACCTCGTGTCATGTACTCTTCTAACGGTGATCACATAGGCTACAGGTCATGCGCCGTCAAGTGGTAAACCAGAGTTCTGCCCCCCTTATTTTCACTGAATACCCTCATAAGTGTGATATTTTTGTAGGAAGGTAAAGACCGAACAAGGACATTATTGTGCCCAAGCTTTCCCCTGTGTGCCCTCTTTTATAAATTGACTGTATTTAGATAAGAATGACAGAGTTATATGGTGCAACATGTCTTGCTGACTGTTTTCTTCTAGATGAAAATGTAATGCAGATTGCAGGCCCTCTTTGTGACACCATTTCAATACCTCCTGGTGAGCAATTAACAAGTCCTACAGTTTCCCTGGGCTAATGCAAACAGGTGGTCTACCCCCCTCTTCTTCAAAGCATTAGCATTTAACAATACACCCAGTTGTGAAATGGCCTCTTGGTTAGCAGAGAAATTAAAATGCACACTTGGAGCACTTCAAGGCTCTCTGAAGTTGTGAAACCGCTCAGAAGTTTCAGGATGAAATCACCCCTTCCCTCTCCTTTTGTTAGTGCATCTTTTGTAAAGAAATATATAGTGAAATATGTGTATTTTCTTGTTTCTAAAAACTGGCATTAAGACTTTTTTAAATGTATTTTCTTGAGTTTAACTTGGGTCACAGGTCTTGCCCTTCATTTACCAGTGGAAGCAGATCAGAGTTTTAGTAAGTGCCCGGTAGCCTTTTTCAGAGACAGAGTAATTTAATGCTCATAGCTCTTTGTCCCCCTGGACATTGTTCTGAGTAGTGTCAAAGGTAGATGATTGCCCTCTGCTGGCTCTGTGGACAATAGCCAAATTCAAAGTCCTCAGCAGCCCAGTGCAGTGGGCTGTTGAAGAGTGGAGCATCTGGCAGGACTACACAAAGGACATGCTCTTTAATCTCAAGAATGACTAAAGACTTACAGGAACATGTTTTTCACAACAGAAAGAGTGTTATTAGTCATGCAAAAAAGCATTAAAAAGATAAAACTGGATTGTTAGTTAAAATGTTTCTTGACTAAAATGGTGTAAAAGTGCATGGCTTGATTTATTCATTTGAAGTAAAAAGTCACTGAACATCCTCCAAAAACTGGCTCCACAAAATCTGATGCTTTAAGAGTAATTTATAAATGAAAGCCTCATTTTAAGGATAAAAAGAAATATTTTATGAGTGTCCTTGTTGCCATCTGCAGCTATTCGTTCCAGCAAAAATACAGACAAATATCAAAGTATCCCTCATCACAAAAATTTGTCCTCCTCCAATGCTTATTGACTGTTTTGAAAATGTTTCAAGATGGACTTGTAGCCTGAACGCCTGCAGCAGGTCCCAGTCTGTGTTTCTAATCTGGCCTTTTATTTTGGTTCTTGTATCCACCGTTAATCCACATCTATTTTTGCTTTTTAAAATTCAGATATTTTTGTATTTATAGCTGCTAAATCCCTTCTGCTGGGTGACTGGCCCTTCAATCAATCTGGGATGTCATTCAGGGGATTACAGTTGAATTGGTGGCTTACTTTCACTAAAACGGGAAAAATAATCAGATCTACATGCGACTGATTTTCAGACTGCTGAATTAATTTAGTGTACAAAAAAAGGTACACCTTTTTTTTAATATAATATCCAAGGTGTGCATAATGTCACAACCATTCAGAGTATGTTGATTATTCTTCAGAAAACCACTAATTCTATCATCTTACATGCATCCTGAATCACCTTTTAATACAAATGTTGTGTCTTCTTTTAGGAGTTCTTCAAGATGATCAAGCTGAGGAGTCTGGAGGTGAAGTGAAGAGGTTCAGAATGGACGAGACCAGAGTCTGCAACAAGTGCTGTGCAGAATTCTTTGATGAAGAAGATTTTCTCGAGCATGAGAGAAATTGCACTAAAAACCAGGAGGTGGTCATCATGAAGGAGGGGGATGGTAATGAGGTGTCCGAGGAATACTCTCAAGGCTCTCCTGAAGGCCTCGCGAGTGACCACGACGACGGCCAGTCCAGCAGCCATTCCTTATCAAATGTCAACACAGACCACCTTGAAAGGGCGGAGGAGGATTCCAGCATGAACGCAGAGGATTTGGGACAACATGATCAGGCTGACTTGTCTGGTAGCCCTGAGACTTTCCATCCCTCACACAAAATGCAAGATTCAAACGTCACTCTTGAAGCCATGGCAGACACTAAAGTGGCCGTCTCCCAACATTCCTCAAATAATGCATCTCTAACGACGTCACAGGAGGCCCTGCAGACCATCCCCATGATCCTGGAACAGTTAGTGTGCCTCCAACAACAGCAGCTGCAGCAAATTCAGCTCACAGAACAGATTCGAATCCAAGTAGCCATGATGACTTCACAGGGTCTCCAGTCAGTAGGGGCAGTCATGGATCCTCTGAAAGCCCTTGGTGCACATCTCTCCCAACAGCTGTCCAGTGCAGCAGCTTTGATAGGAAAAAGGACTGGTAGTCAAAGCCTTTCTCTTGAGACAATGAAGCAAGGTCAACTACCTCTGCCTGCTGGTATCCCTACCTCTCTGCCTGGAGGACTGGCTTCAGTGACCTCCAAAAATGACATTTTAAAGGGTATTCCAGATCTGGCTAATCGTCTGCCTGCACTTCTGCCACAGTCACCAGGTGTCATGGCTTTCCCTGGCACCTTCAATGGTATCCAAGCAGGAATGGAGCCCCCCAAAAAAGTGAAGACCAAAATGCTGAGTGTCCCTTCAGAACCAAAGAGCGGCGATTCATTATACAAGCACAAGTGCAAGTACTGTGGGAAGACCTTCGGGAATGACAGTGCTCTCCAGATTCATCTGCGTTCTCACACTGGTGAGAGGCCCTATAAGTGTAATATTTGTGGAAACCGCTTCACAACCAAAGGAAACCTCAAAGTGCATTTCCAGAGGCATAAAGACAAGTATCCTAACATCGGCATGAACCCACATCCTGTGCCAGAGCACCTTGATAGCATCCCCACCAGCAGTGGCATTCCCTTCGGCATGTCTGTCCCCTTAGATGAGTCAAATATAACTGAAATGAAGCCATTACTCGGCCATCCTGCTTCTGGGTTCCACCCATCATCCATACCAGGAATGAAGACATTTGACAGCTTTGCAGGGGACCCATTTTCCCAAAGACCCTCCCCATCAGCAAGCGATGGCTCCCCTTCTGTTTCCGCCAGTATGTTTGGCCAAGAGATGGATCCTAGTCAGAAGGATGCGAAGGAGCTGCTTGGTGCATTGCATCAAATGAATGGTGGTGTCCTTCCTGGAGAACAGAGCTCTGGAACAGCAAAACTTCAGCAGATGGTCGATGGTCTAGAAAAACGAACCAACGACCCCAATGAGTGTGTCATCTGCCACAGGGTGCTCAGCTGCCAGAGTTCACTGAAAATGCATTACCGCACACACACAGGAGAGAGGCCCTACAAGTGCAAAATCTGTGGCCGTGCATTCTCCACCAAGGGGAACCTCAAGGCCCACTATGGAGTGCACAGGGCTAACACTCCTCTCAAAATGCAGCACTCGTGCCCCATCTGTCAGAAGAAGTTCACCAACGCTGTGGTTTTGCAGCAGCACATTCGTATGCACATGGGTGGACAGATCCCAAACACCCCGATGCCCGAGAACCAGTTTGAGGCAGCAGAGGCGATGGATTCTTCCCTCCCAGAAGAAATGCCACTAGAGACCAATGGTCTCAATGCTAGCATGGAAGAGCATGAGGCAGAGCTGAACTCCCAGAAACCAAACAACCCCTCAGATTCCCTCCCACCCGCCTCTGAGGAACAGCAGCACACTGCTCCTGCTGCTTTTTCCAGCCTAGATGTTTTGAAGAATCTCACCTCTGCTCTCGCACTGAAACGACAGAGTAGCACCGCTTCAGAAAGCGAGGGAACTGCCAAAGAGTCCCCTTCAGCCTCAAGGGATCAGGAGTATCAGAACGGCCGTAGTCCTGCAGTGTCTGACTCCGCTAGGTCCTTTAATTCCTCCTCCCCTGTTAACACAAACATGAGTAGTTCCAAGTCTCCTGAGTCTGCTGCTGAGGAATTTGCCCGCAGTGTGCTTAAATCAGAGTCCGATGGTAGTGCTCAAGGTGGTTCTGAGTCAAGTGGAGCCCTTGACCTCACAGCGTCCAGCAGCTTTACCCCCAAAGCCATCAAGGAAGAACCTGGTGTTTCATTCACAAACGGAGACTATGGTAAGTGTACTCATTGAAGGAAAGTGTAATTATTAATGATGTCCTGTTGAGTGAGTGCTTTTGCTTAACTACCTTTCCTCTGTCCCAACAGTTCCAGGTAACATGTCTTTCATGAGGATACCATCAAGTCTTGCTAGCCTGGAGATGAAGATCTCTCCTGAGAATCCTTTGGGTCCTCATGGTTTGTTCAACTCCCACATGCCTCAGGGAACAACCATGCCCTCCTCCATCTCCTCGGCACCAAGACGATCAGCCAAACAGCACATGTGTAATGTTTGTGGCAAGAACTTCTCATCTGCCAGTGCCTTGCAGATCCATGAGCGCACTCACACAGGGGAGAAACCTTTTGCCTGCAATATCTGTGGCAGGGCGTTCACCACCAAGGGAAATCTAAAGGTAAGCATGAATGTGCTGAATAGGCCTTAAAAATTCACTACAAGTGTGTTTTAATGATGAGATTTTAATCACTGGTGTCTCTTGTCTCCAGGTACATATCGGCACTCATATGTGGAACAACACATCCCGGCGTGGCCAGCGTCTGAGTTTGGATAACCCCATGGCGTTGATGGCAATGAGCTCCGAGGCCAAGATGCTGCCAGAGATTATGCCGGCCCCCAAAGAACTCGCTGCTCCACAAATGAACTTTGACCCTTCTTTGTGGAACCAGTATGCTGCTGCCTTCAGCGGGGGCCTAACCATGAAGACCAATGAAATTTCTGTCATCCAGGGCGGTGGCATCCCGCTCCCCGGGAGCCCTGCTGGCGGGCCTCTCATTGGCTCCACTGGAGGCCTCATGAAGATGGATGGATCTCATTCCGGCCTGCCTGCCACCATGGCTGAGATTGAGAAAAACAGCTCAGACAGTGTGCCGAAATCGCAGTTCCCACATTTCATGGAAGAGGGTAAAATTGCAGTTAATTAGGCCATTTAGCCCTCAGTCAATATATTGCCTGAACTCAGCTTTTTGAATGTCTCCTTTCGACTGAGGTACAATCAGAGAAAACCTTGTAGAATTCTGCCTAGATTTTCTTTCATCGCAGCTCTCCTCTCTTGATCCAAACTGTTCTCAAGTGTTATTTTTTCTAGTTGAGCCTGATATAACTACTGTAGTTGTATTTTATTTTATATAAATATATATGCGGGTATCTCTTTTCCCCCCCTGTGACCTTTTTTATGTTTTGCTGTCTACTCAGAAGTTTGAATGTATAACTTACTTGAAACTGCTTTAATTCTGACTCTCCTTGATACTTTGAAGGATTTTGACTTTGATAGGAAAGATTCAGGGCGTGAATTTTTTAAGGACACCATGTCTCAGTGTTCAGAAATACTGGTGGAGATAACTGTATGTATCTATGACTACTTCCCCCCCCCCTCATTGTGTGCCATAGATTTTATGACATTGTACATTTTGTAGAAGTTGACGTCATTTGCATGTCTCATCGAAAGGGGCTTTTTGATTAGGCTCATTGGTTGTTCCAGTGTCTTTTGTCTGTTGAATCAAAGTGTGAACAGATAAGTTATCAGTTTCACCAAATTTAGTTTTTGATACAGCTGTGTTTTATTGGTGCTCAGACACAAGCTAACAGTTGGAATATATATTACCAAGTGCCTAACTCCAAATATACACAACATAAGGGTTGAGACAGCTCTGTTAGACGACCATGAAGCATATTTGTCTGTTTACAAAGTCACTCTAATTCCATTTGTAAATCTGTTAAGTCAAAAAGCAGTTGGCTGAGGTTTAAAGTCTATTTTATTCTTTACACTCTCATGCCTGCACTTTATTTCAGGTTGAAAATACATTAGCATTTTATGATTACATTTCACTGTTTTTTTTTTTTTTTTTTTTAATCATAATGGCTGAACAAGGAAGTCCTTCCTGTTATATATATTTTTTCACCACTCTTTCTCTAGGTTCTTATAAACTTGTAGCATCATTATTTATTTATAATTCATCAAATGCTTGGGTTTAGGGGGTCAGTTCTACCTCGTTTAGATTTTAGTCGTTCTCCACTCCCCCCTACGCTCAATGCAACGCTCTGTAAATTTTCTGATACATTCTTGCGTACATAAGATTTGTCAATCTCAACCTGCTGAGTTGAACAGTAATGAATGTATCACTGGACACTTTACACAACTCAGAATGGTCCGAGTACTTTAAAGGCCCCTGCTGTACATTCCCTATCGATATGCATTTGCCAAGTTGTGCCTTTCTTTAGCAAACCATGTCAAAACTGCTTTCAAGTTGTCTCTACAATTCAAGTAATGTTGAGCCAATTTGGCCTGTTTACAGTGTAAATGTTTTTTTTGTTTTTCAAATGTTTCCTTCACCTAAATGTTTTCTGATTTTGAAAAATAAAATCAGGGTGAGTTTTTCATCATTTTTCCTGTGTTTACTTGGAGATCTTGTCACGTGTTTGACTTTATACCTTAAGGATTGTGTATAGTAGGCTGGAAATATACTAGGTTGTTCTACAAAACGTACCTTGCCCTTACACTAATGCAGACATAGGCCAACTTTGTTTGAACATCAAATCCCTTATTTACATTAATTCACCTTCAGATGACTTGAGGTAAGCATCTTCTCCTCTCATTACCCACCAGAAGCCATTAATCCCTTGCATTTTGCATCCAGAATGAAAATCTATTTGCATCCACAGCTGAGGTATGTTCTCTGATCGTGTCTGCGATTTTATACTTCTGCACCGTGGCTTTCTCTCAAACAATGTAGACATAATTATCTTGCCTCAATAGGCTCCTGAAACCCAAGGTTGGTTAACAGGAACACCTGAAGAGTGAACAGCACTGTAGAAAATATAACCACAGATAAGGATTATTTTATCAGTTGTAGTTTCCTGTTGGACTTGTTATTCCATGGTACTATGTCTTGAGCCAGAAACTATAAATAAATAGATCTTTCAGACTGATATCATACTTGTGGTTCCCATTATGCAAATGGAGCATTTTAACTTCAGTTGTAAACATCCACCTGTGTTTACAGTTTGTTTCCCTGAGAAAATGTCCTACCCTGTTGTAGGAGTCTGAGTAATCTGTTGAACTGTTATGATGGTATTTATGTTTTCATCCATTTATCTGCTAAGCCAACTTCGATACAGTACAGCTGCTTTTAAGGGCTGGAAGGGCCAGGACCATCAAACCAATGTCTTGTCTAGTAGCTGGACCAGTTGTCTTGAATATTAAAAGCTTTTTAGAAGCATCATACAGCTAAAAAGAAAGTAGGAAACCAATGCAACTGTACTGATGTTATCTGAAATACCTACCAACTGCTTATTTTAAGTTGTAAATATCACAAATAAGATTTTAGAGTGATTTCAAATCAGAAATGATCTTAAGCATGGCTTCATTTTACTAAGAAAGACGACAACAGTGCAGTGTGCAACCTTCAAATGTCCAGGGTTTTGTATGGAAGTTTTGAGTCTGTGTAGCGTGAACTGAGTTAAAAGCACATAAAAAACACTTGCCCCGACCTGAAACCCTAAAAATTTTGTGTGCAACTCCACCCTGTGTAGTTGTGTCCTCTTTTTGGGGATCCAGAATATAGTCCCTCTAATTTGACTTAATACCGACCAAAGAAAATGCTGTACAAATAGTTTGTTGTTTGATTACAGAAAAGGTTGTATGCCACCTTCAGTGAGAGTCTAAAAATAATCAGAGACTCAATAATATTTTAACGGTGAAAACCTATAGTCTACTGTAGTAGTCTACTTTTTTTTCAGTCAAAGAAAGGCATTATTAAGGGAATCGTTAAAGAATTGAATTGATAAGCAGAATCGATATTGGCACCTATATTGATAAAATCTTATCAATTCCCATTCTAAGTACACTTCTAAGTGAGGTGAGCTTGTACTGCTTTACTCACACAGGAAGTGCAAATGAGTGTGCAGGTGCTTAGGGTTCATTGTACTAGAGATACTTCAGGGTCAAAATGAGAACAATTTGAGATATATTCTGGATTATCACAAACTATGACATCTTTTTATTCAACCTACACACCCAAAAATGAGAATTCACGTAGTCCTGTTAAAATAAATAGATAGATCAATAAATAAAAAGAAAACACGACTCAAAACCTATGACTTTATTTCAGTTGCTCATGCTGACCCAGGCCCTTTTAGACTTGTGTACCTCTGTCCCAGCAGCCATGCTGTCCTGCTGACTCTTGAACCGTCCCTGCGTGAGTGACAGCTCGGAAGCCTCCGCCCAGTACCGCTACAGCCAGCCCTGCGAGCCTTCAGCCTCCACCCGCTACCGGGAGCCGCAGGAATGACCGATAATATCCCCCTACAGCCCGTGAGACGACCGAAAAGACAAGACAATAAACACAAAAATGGGTAAGGGCGTTAGACGGGTCAGAAATACTAATACGAAGCCATTTTGTCAACGGTTGAGCTCGTGGGCGTCTGTTGATGTCAGTGTGTAGCCGTTAATTTGTGACAGGCGCGAGACGACATTGTTTCTATATGCAGCTAAACGTTGGCGCCTTTTTATAGCATTAAGTGAAGACGGACATGGCTGAAAATACATTTATCGTTGTTAATATTGTGTGAATGTTCGTTTCTGATGTGATAATCAAGCTAAAGCTCCGGCAGAGCTCTCTGTTCCGAGGGAGCAGTTGGAGCAAGTGCAATTGACGCCCATGTCAATATTTGCTCGCTTGAATGGAGCTCAGGCTGTCAAAAGAGCTTAAAAACCACGTTGAAATGTAGGCCCCGACCCTAAAAGAACCGTGTCCTCAATTCACATTGAGGTAAGGAGATGCTTTGCGGGTTTATTTTGACCAGCACATAAAGAGGCAGGCCTTTTAAACGAGGATGAAGGGCAGACTCGGTGCTGAAATGCAGCCAATCGCCTGACCATGCTATCGAGCTGATGTCACCTCCTTTTACAAATACATTACAGACAAAACAAGTCCTGATATTCTGCTACTGGGGCGTTTTAGCTGTTTAATATGCAGTTACAGTCACAGTCGAACCTGGCTTGATGTTTTCCATCTAGCTTACTTGTCCATCCTCTGCTAGTTATCCATCAAACTGCCTGTTTATTAGGAACACCATGGCTAAATCCCAATGCAAGGTCCTTCAAAACAAGGCCTGTGTAAATACTGCAATGTTTATTCGAGTTTTATATGAACAATACTAGTTGAAATAACAACAATCACTCTCTGTTTGGTGTGACATAGTTTAATAGTAACACAAAACAGGTTTCATCCTCTGAAATGGGCATAAATAGGCACATCTAAAGCAATTTTAACAAAAGAAAAGACGTTTATGAGGTTTGATATGAAGCAGGACTGATTTCTTGACAGCTTAATGCACAAAAGAAACTGCCAATGAATTAAAAATACATTGGCAGTTTCAAGTGTCCCATTTATCATTCAGTTTACAAACTTCCCACTGAGCAATAGATGGCTATTAGACGTCTAGTTATTTTTCAGACCTAATTTCAACTTTCTAGATTCTTTCAAAAAGCAACTGTGAGTAGCATAACTGATCTCCAAGTACTTAACCAAAATAATTATGATAGCCGTTGAGCAATATACAGTTAGACCTCTGTTAGCCGGTTTGTCTAAACTTGGTCTAAATTTAGACGTCTAAAAAACTTTCATTTTTAGACCTGTGGTAGCCTGATTTTGGACCAGTCGTCTAGGCTACGTCTATTAGACTTCTTTTAGACCAAAAAATGCTCAGTGGGTTAGGTTTAGGTCGGGGCTGAAGGAAGCAATAAATAGCATTGTTTCTAACTCAATTAAATGACAGAAAACAGACTTTATTTCACCCAATACCCCAAAGTAATCTTTAAAGAAAGCAAGTCATTTTCAAAGATTGATTAAGCTGACCAAATGTCAACATAAAGGGGATTGTTTTAAAGCATTAACAGGGAAAGTGGCCCAAGATTAAGCAGATTAAGCAAGTTAATTCTAACAACTTGTTGGACAAAAGAGTGCAGACTAAATATGTCCATTTAGATTCTCATCCATCCAGGTCATGGTTATCTTGGCAACTGGACTGTAAAGAATTGAGAAGACGTGACTAGACGAAGACGCAGACTAAATATGTCACACGCTATAATATTTGTAGCCTAAGCAGTTATTGAAAAGACAAAATAGCTGAATAATGCTTGAAATACTGATGGACATTTCATTGTGAAAACCTGTTCAAGTACGAGGTGACAGTGAACACACAAACGCACTGCCTGGGGCCTGAAATGTCAGCAGCCATTGTTCATTTGATTATCTATACTTGAGCTCTCCGTACTCCTACTACTTTCCAGGTCTTATCTGCAAGAAGAAGTGCTGCCGTGTCTCTGCTGTCTGTACTGCTTTGAGGCTCCTAGGATTTGCAAGTGTGGCAGGAAGGTTATTTCATTTAAAATTACAGGAAGGCATATTTAGTCGATATTTAGACCTGATCTAACTACATGTAAAGCTTCTCCTTGAAAGTGAGCTGCCCTGGAACCGCTGCTAGAAAGCAAGGCTATAACAAAAACATATTATTGAGCATTTAATGTGTATTTTTTGTGTTCCAGGAGGCAAAAAACTCCAAGTATTTCAATAAAAATGTTAATCCTCATACAAGAAGGACTGGAATAATCCAGTGCAAGTCTCTTCTGACACACGTTTGTTCAGTGTAACAGGTGCAGACTGTGTTTCCATTCAGTTGAGTCAAAGTAGCAGCTTTAGACTATAGCATATGGAGCAAAGACATTGTGTGTTCAATGTCCCATTCACAAACTGCAAAAAAGTGCAAAAGGCCTGACAGATATCCTAAACAATATAAGTGAGTCATGGGTTGTAAAAGTATTGTTTCTTTCATGCCTAGTCTGCAAATGGAGCCGCTTTGTCTGCAGCTTGGAGGATTTAAATGTGTTTTACTCATATTTTGTCCATATTGAGTGTTTTATAGCTCAGACTGTACAGTAGGTCTATTGTTGGACTCTGAGTTGATAGATATGGAATGTGTTTTTTTTGGTTGGAGTCAAGGGAGTGGCTCTCTGTTTCCTGTGTAAGTTAATATTTATTTAGTAAACCAGAATCTCATGGATCTGTGGCTCTGTCCTGTCTGCTCTGTGGGTTTATAGCTTCAATTAGCAACATATTAACAAAGAGATGTGACAAGAAATTCATTAAAAAGGAGCACAGCCATGAGAGCTTCACCTCAGAGGGCAAATCTGCAGCCTGTCTGTTTTAAACACACTCATGAATGATGAATCTAATCTTTAATTCTCCGCCTCCACCTGTCTCTTCCTCTCAGGTGTTGCCCGTGGTCGAGATGCTGCGGCATGGGTGACTTCCGTCCCCGCACCGTGTGGCTCGGCCACCCAGAAAAGAGGGAGCAGAGGTACCCCAGGAATGTCATTAACAACCAGAAGTACAACTTCTTCACCTTCCTGCCTGCGGTTAGTGTCAGTCAAAGGTCACCCCCCCGACCCCCTCTTTAACCCCTCAATATCACCACCCACCTCTCAGCCTGATTCACCGTCACTTCTCGGACACATTTTCCCATTAAGACAATTTTGATGGAAGGAGTCGTGCTACAATGTTGTCAAGTTCTCAGTGTTGGTTTGCTCATAATCTGGGTGGTCTGTGCATAAAGTGTGACACATTTCAGTGACTGTTTTCAATGATAATCAATCTTGGGGTAATTTTCTAGATTTAAAACTTGCAATTTAACCAAAAGTGTGGTGTCAGACAAAGATATGCACATATTAGAAGATAAATTCAGAGAAATTATGATTCAGAAAAAATCTGGAGATGCACAAATAGCTGTGACTTTGGCTAAAAGCTGCTGTGAGGAGTTTTATTGTTCTTAAATTGGACTTAAATTTGTAGCAATGCCTTTTTATGACCTACAAAACCTTATTTATGTGATGACATGTAATGGTGACAAGAGAAATGAAGTAAACGTTCCAGCTACATTTGAACAAACAGCTGAATGTTCTCTGAGGACATGACCACATTCTTGGAAGGAAATCATATGCACAGATGTGACACTGGTTGAACAGGATTTACTGTACTAAGCTGCGCGTGCTTGACCCGAGCCTGATTTTCATATGTATTTGCTTTCCGGACATTCAGTTGTCTTAAGATCTTATGAGTTTTTTTGTATATGAAGTCAGACATGTAGCTCAAATTTGTTTGGAGAGCTAAAGACGAGAGATATCGTTTGCATTGCAAATTGTGATGTTTTTATCGTTCATGTTAAGAAGTTTTTCTCAGTTGGACACATCGTCTTGTTTATTTCCCTATGCATGGTTTTATATCCTTGTGTGTGTGAGGAGGACTCATGGTTTCCTTTGGTTGTCATCTTGCACACTGGTGGTAATGAAACTGAGTGAAGTTGCCTTGTCATGCTAAATTGGCAAACTAGATTTGGTGTCCATGTTTCAAAGACTGTTTGAAGGATTTAGTGTTTATAACTGAGCGGCATGTGGCTGGATAAGTTTTCCTTTTATAGACATGGATGATCTACCAGGATTTATCAAGAAAGTTTCTCAACAGTCAAATTTCACATTCAGTTATCCTTCTCCTGGCTGAATATGACCAGTTTAGAAACTAATGATGAACTTGATCGACATTACGCGTTTTCAAAATTTAGTTCAGAGCAGAAAATTAACACAAAATTAGACAAAACCTGACAGAAAATTACACAAAAATGCACATTATATTACAACAGGACATGACAATGTGATACAACCCTGTAAGGACAAAGCAGAACTCTAAAGTTGGTGCCATCAGTAATCTAATTTGATCATAAATGAGTGCTACAGCTATTTATCGACTGATATCAGTTTTCTAACAGTCGATACTGATACTGAGAGAGCAGGTTGGCTGATTGCTGATAGATAATGCCAATATTACATTGTTTTTCTTGGCTGTTTGTTTATATAATTACAATAATTCCAACTGGCCTTAATTAAATGTTTTATTAAATAAATTCAGACAGATAAAAACTTGGTTCAGTGAAATCATCCCACAAGGAACTTTTGGATTTCTGTTCAGATATTTGAAATTAGTTAGAAAGAATGAAAATATCATTATTATTTTTATTATAAAACTGCATTTTTCTTAACATTATAATTGAATTTCAATATGCAATATAAGCATTTTTCTTTTATTGTGCTTTATATTTGAATATCTGTACCAGCAGATTGATGGTATTTGTTGTTCGGGGAGACTTTTCATCTACCAACCCCAACATGATCTTTAGTTGCAGTAAGTTTCAGACACGGTCATATATGTAACGTAACTGTTTGTTTTGTTTTTTTATTCCCAGGTGCTCTTTAATCAGTTCAAGTACTTCTTCAACTTGTACTTCCTGCTTTTGGCCTGTTCTCAGTTTATTAAGGAGCTCCGCCTTTATGCACTCTACACCTACTGGGTCCCTTTGGTATGTTACATTTCACATTACTTTAATACTCATCATTTTGATCCTTTAATCACATAAAAAAATAATAAAACATACTTTACTGATCTTGAAAATGTGCTCATAAACAAAACCCACAACACTCACATATGTTGAGTTAATTTTCTTCATTTAACTCAACATTTCTCTCTCTCTTTAGGGTCTAGTTTTAACTATAACCATCACACGAGAGGCGGTAGAAGAAATCAGATGCTACATCCGAGACAAAGAAGTGAACTCTCAGATTTACAGCAAGCTTTCAACAAGAGGTAAGAAGGAGCAGTGCATGACACCGGTTTAGTTTCATCCGTGTGGTTGGTTTGCTCATTTCTCAGTATACATCAGCGCTGTGTATTAACTGTAGGAGGCTGCTCCTATTAAAACTTATTGGGGCTGGGGGAAATGGTGGGTAATTCAAAGCAGAGATGTAAAAGTGTACATAAGAGGCCTCGGTATAAAGTGCTACCAGCAATAAAAAGCAGGAGACCTCTTGTGGTTTCCATCACTTTGCTCCTTTGATGTGGCAGCTTGTTTTACCCATAAACACAATGACTGGCTGCCTCCATGATAGCCTTCCCACGTGCATATACTGCGGTTTATGGGAACTGAACTGCGTCAGAACTCGGTGTGATGTTTTCTGGAGTGGGAGGAAACTGAATCGAGTTTTTCTTCTTTTGTTTTGTTCGCTAAAATGTTGGTTTTGTCCATCGCTCTATCAGTTAATGAGTAATTTTGTGACAACAATGACCAACAATGCTTATGGAGATTGATTATATTCAACAAATCTTCCTATTTGAGAAGCTAGAAGTTGAAAATGTTTGTAAAATAGTTGTAGGTTTCCTTTTTTTGTCGTTGGCTCAGTTTAGAGCAACAGATGTCGCCTTAAAACGCACGCTTATTCCAATCTGAGCTTCACTTTTCTGCTGCTTTGTGTAAGAAAGCTCTATTGTGAAGCCTCTTGAACCCCAAACGCATAGCAATATTAATGTGCTTTAATGTCTTACATATGCAAAGCCCAGAGGTCAGGAGAGAGGTCAGGGGTCAGCGGTCTCCTCCAAACAATTTTGCCTGTTCATTCCAACTGAAATGAGAGAAAAGGCTCCACTCCCCCGGCATTCTTTCAGATCTGCAAGGAAAATTGCTTTGCTCAAATTCACGGGGGTGACTGATGAGGCATGCAGGACGACAGGAGGACACGAGGACTCAAATTTGATGTGAACCACACGGAGGGACTTTGTGTGCTTTAAGAACTGATATCTGAAGCGTCCTGTCCTCCTGAATCATAAAGAGAAAGGCCGATTTGAATTTTGTGTGTATTTTGCATATGAAACCCATCAAACAATTCACAATGCTCCTTTGCACTTCATTAACTCTTGAATTTGTTCTGGTTGGCAGGCACGGTGAAGGTTAAAAGCAGTGGGATCCAAGTCGGAGATCTTATAATCGTGGAAAAGGTTTGTCAAAAATAGTTTGAAGTGTTTTTGTTTCGCAGACTGTCAGCCGATCAGGAGCAGGCTGTTAATCTTGTGTGTGCTCCTCTGGTGACTGAGGTGAAAGGAGTTAGTAAAGATTTTGTAATCTTGTGATCAATGCTGAGCCTCGGCTTGTCAAACTCAATACATAAACAACAGACCCAAAGTTAAAACGCTTTTAATTAGATCTTTAACTCAAACTCAATTACTCACAAGTTATCGTTTGATTTTTCCGCTCCTTTAAATTCAGTTTATTGTTTGTGAGAGTTTTAAAAACACAAATTAGTCAGAGTTGTAAAGGAATCTCGTCTCTCTTCTCTGAGGTCTTTGGGCATGAAATATGAGAAGTGAGTCCTGTCTTCAGTTTCCAACTGAGAGCTTCTTTCTGAATCACTCATTTAAGAGCAGCTGAAGGAAAGGTCACACATGTTGTCCCACACGTTTCACTAATATGACTGAGTGATTTAGAGTTATGTGACTTACTAATAATAATGAGCAGAGGTGAAACCGGTGGCGAGGACAAAGAAAGCTTTAGAGTTTCAAAACTTTCCATGAAGATAAAATAAGACATCTTTATTAGACTTTATTGACCTCTTAGTAAGAATAAAAGTCTGATTATCAGGACGCTGCCCACATAGATTGAAGTGCAGAGGAGGGAGCAGGTAGAGCAGAGTGTAAAACCAGGCTGGGGTTTGCAGGAGGGCTTTCTTATTTTGACTGACTGGCTGTTTGGTAATGTGACACATAAAAAGTCTTAAACTTTTCCTACAGTTAAAGAGCTGCTGGTTCGGGGTGAAGGATCAGGAAGTGATGTTGAAGTCATGTTTTTCTTTCTGCCTCTCTCTCCTTTTAGAACCAGCGTGTTCCTGCTGACATGATCTTTTTAAGGACCTCTGAAAGAAATGGTAAACATCTGCTGGTCATTCATCCAGATCTCCACAACAGGCCGGCTGCCGGGCTGGCTGTCTGGGGAAATGACTTGTTTAAAAGGGCGCTGAGATGCAGGGATTAGCCTTGAGCCGGGGCAGGAAGTCCTACAATGTCTAAATTGTAATTGGGTCCAGTACTAAACTATCACTCAAAGTTCTTACGGCGCGATGCGTGGATGTGAGATGGACGCTGAAGACAAAACATTGCCCTCTCTTTTCATCTTCCAGTGGCTCATTTTGTTTCTCAAATGAGAGAATAACAAAAGTAAAACAGGGATATAAAAATCAAATGCAGAGAGAAAACAGGAGGCATGAGAGGAGGGCGCCTCATCTGAATAATCAAATATGGATTAAGAGAAGAACCCTTAGGGATAACACAGAGTGATGTGCTGATGTGCATTGCTGCCTTAATTTGCACATAAACAAAATTCACTAAAGTCCTTTTAAAACAACAACCCCCTGAGGCACGGCCTGTAAAAACCTCCTCTCATGGTGGAGTTTTGGTCGTACCCTCAGCAGACCCAAATTTGGCCCTGCAGGAGACGCTGGATCCGCATCGTGTTGTTGTTGCGTCTTCCTGTCGGGGGAGAAAAAACAACAGCTTTGTTTTACTGGAAATAGAGCTGTGTTATCTCTCTTCCATGTGGAGGCCATTAGGTCAATTATGAAGAGCCTAGGCCAGGGCTGGGCGTTTTGGGCAGGATGACGCATGCAGACCCAGTGGGGGGATGGGTTCTGGGTGGATGCCTCCACTTCCACACCAACAGTAACTTGCAGCTTTGTCCCATTCACAAAAAGAGCTGCAATCCATCTGTGACTCAAAACTGAATATTTTCCATTATTCACAAAAGCTAAATATAGATCAAACGATTCCAGAGAGAGCTGTTTTTAGTTTTCAGATAGATATTCACGTTTACAATCATGACTGGAGATTATTATGCGCCTCCTTTAGAGTAAAAGCACATCTATTGTTGCCCCCTACAGGTGGATGTGTTTATATCAGGCCTCAGTCGCTGCTCTTGTCCTCTCCTCCTCAGGCTCCTGTTTCCTGCGGACTGACCAGCTGGATGGAGAGACAGACTGGAAACTACGCCTCCCAGTGGCGTGCACGCAGAGGCTGCCGACTGCTGCTGTGAGTCCAAATATAACAGCAGAAAAAGACACTGGGGATGACGGGGGAAACTGGTGTGCTGAAATCGAAATCTGTGTCTGCAGCACTGCCTTTATTTATTTATTTTTAGTGAGATTTTTTTTGTTCTTTTTGTATTTTTTTAAGAGAATGACTGATCGGTCAAAGGTCCGCCTAGGACTTGCTTCAAGTAAAGTCCCTCATTGTTAATTCCGAAGCAGATGTTTATGCTTTCAGAACTCAAATAATAGTGCAATAATAAAAAAATTAAGTGTACTACTTTTGAATTTAAAAAGGGTTATTTTATTGATTCTGACATATGTGAATAGACTATATCTGGTCCAAAGGAGGAATTCTTCTCATCAGATATGAACAATTGGGGCTTTCTTTTGGTTTTCACTTTCTTGCATGACTTATTTATGCACTACTTGCAATTCAGTGGCATGTGTTTACATTCTGCCACAAATTCCACGGCTAAATAAAAGCCGCCACACCTAAAAAATATTAGTTTTTATCTCGCATAGTTCTACCTCGCACTCATCAGCAGTTTTTCTCCTACATTCATTCAGCAGCAGCGGTGAATTACATGCGCCGCTACTGAAATTTTACATGATCATTTAATATCAATGCGCCACTAATGAGTCTACTCGCACTGTGTGAGCACAACAACACACAACGTTATTTCCAACTTGTTTTGAGTCATGAAGGAGTCCATCAAATCCTGTCGGACCCTCTTCCACTAATGTGAAGGGTAACGTTTAAGCTTATACATGGTCTGTACAGCGAGTAGCGCGGGTAACGTGAATGTAATTCTAGGGGAAACACTGGGGATAATTGGCTCAAATTCTTGACCCCCGATCATTAACAAAAAAACAGATCAGCTCTGATTAGATAGTTGAGATCAGATCAGGACATCTCCTTAAACAGTAAAGACTGAGTAATCTGCTGTAGGCTTAGTGATGTATTAGTCCAGGCAGGTTACTTAATAATGAGATTTGATGATGGTTATTTGTTTGACTTTGACAAGGTAATGATGGTAAAAATAACTGTCAGTTACAAACCCAGAGTTCAGCTCAACTCTCACCTTGTGTTTTTCTCAAACTGAGCTGCCTCTGTCATCTTGCTCGCTCTCTGAAGCCCCCCGGAGACAGGATGTTTTTTTAAAGAGAGAAAACAATAAGTGCCTCAGGATCCACAAGTTCGTAAAAATGAAAGAACCGTCATATATGTCAAACAACTCTGGAGATATTTATTTTCTGAATGTGTCACAGCGGTTTGTCTACTAATTATGGCCTAGAGCAAAGCCTCTGCAGCGACATGCAAACAACAGAGCAAACGCTGCTCCTGTAAAGACTGTGAATGATAACTGAAATTCATCTGTGTTATCAGAGACACTGAAATCATGTTAATAAGCAGGTTTATCAAGTTTCGCTTGTTGTTGATAACCTGATTACTGTTTTTTGGTGTCTTACAGGACCTTCTCCAGATCAGATCATATGTGTACGTAGAGGAACCGAACATCGATATCCACAACTTTATCGGGACTTTCACCAGGGTGAGTGTCTTTGATACTTTGCCCCCTCTCAGATGGATTGATTCTGAGTGCAGTTTTTATAAAAGAGCCCAAGAGAGATTATCAGCCTCAACTATTTCTGTGTCACTTCAACATGACATGGCTCATAATAAAACAGAGAAGGAGCACAATAAGCCATACTATCACACAAATTCACGCACAGAAATATGCTTTAATTTCTATATCTATGAAACTTCTCTCGTATTAAATTAGCTTGTAAAAACAGAGATAAGTTATTGTCTTATGCACCTGGACCAAAGTGATCAGATTAATGTAGTTTGTGAGTTAACATCAAGAATGAAGGGAGCAGGTAGCCCAGATTTTGATCACTCTCTCTTCTCAGTTCCTGTTGACCGTCCTGTTTAAATAAAGACATAAAATCCTCTAGATATACTTCTAAAAGAGATTAAATAATCTACCATCCAGAAGTAGGTCAGCGCAGACTCTAATTTAACTGAGGATTATTATGATATTATACACAAAAACACACTAAGTCTGTTATAATTAGGATTATTTTCACTTGTTATTGCCCAACAGTTGTATAGTGAGAGCATGGTGGATCTTTGCATTGATATACAGCAGTGCCTGATATCAGTATCAGCTTCTGCTTCAAATTTACAAAATAATCTTCACCTTTATCCTTTTTTTTCCTGATTATTGTCTCAACCGTTACAGGAAGACGGGGACCCTCCAGTTAATGAAAGCCTGAGCATTGAAAACACCCTCTGGGCCAGCACCGTTGTCGCCTCTGGTAATCACAGCCAGGACCAGCCTTTGCTCTGAGCTGATGTGTTGCTTTTCTTCACAACTGTTGATCTGATGACTTGTCTTACTAAACACACACACACACACACACACACTCATACACAGAAAATAATGAGGCAGTCAGACATTCATAAATAGCTCTGGGGCAGGTAATTATAATGGTTAAAAAGTGTGCCTCTTCCACATGAGCGTAAATCCACTTTAAACCATCCTGTCATATGTAATCCATTAAGCACTTAAAAACCTGCACCCTATATTCCTAATGACATTCATTCATTTGAAAAAAGTCCACTCATGTCATTATTACAAGTCTGGGAAACATCATCCTGACATTGCATGTTTTATGTGCCTCCTTTTATTAAATTGACCTGAGGCAGCTTTTTTATGTCTTTTTCTCTCCCCCACTTTAGGCACAGTAGTGGGGGTCGTGATTTACACAGGCAGGGAGCTGCGCAGTGTCATGAACACCTCCAACCCTCGGCACAAGGTACAGTAGTGTGAACCAGAGCTCCAAAAAGGAACACATATGTGAGGAACAGTGTTTAAATGTATGATATCGCCTCTTTTTGTATTTGTGACAGATTTAATTGACATTGATCAGTATGTTCTAAACAAACAGACCTTTTCTGTAAATATGACTCGTGGTGTTTGCTTCTGTTCCTCCTTCTAGGTGGGTTTGTTTGACTTGGAGGTGAACTGTTTGACTAAGATCCTGTTTGGGGCCCTGGTGGTGGTGTCACTGGTCATGGTGGCCCTGCAGCACTTCTCCGGCCGTTGGTACCTCCAGATCTTTCGCTTCATTCTGCTCTTCTCCCACATCGTGCCCATTAGGTACGGCTCGATTTTCACTATTTCAGAGCCGATTGTGGTTTAAAGTTGTAGAGTTAATAATATCTGTTTGTTGTTTTCTGCAGTTTGCGTGTCAATCTGGATATGGGGAAGATGGTTTTCAGCTGGATGATTAAAAAAGACTCAAAGATCCCCGGGACGATGGTCAGAGCGAGCACCATACCTGAGCAGCTTGGACGCATCTCTTACCTGCTGACCGACAAAACAGGTTAGACAGCAGGAAACACACTGAATAAAAGCCAAATAGTCTGTTTGTGTGGCCTAAAGAGCCGCAGAAGAGAGACTGAGGAGGGGTTACTGTGCATGGGATCTGCTGTGGAAGTCTCCAGAAGGACAGAGTTAAGTCATTTCCTTCCTTAGTGGGGGTTTCTCTGTGGTTGGGGTTTCTCGCTCCCTGAGACCTGCTACTTATTGGGCCTTTAAATCATAAAAAGTCCAAAGTCTCTCATCTGTACACACCTCTAAAGCACAACACCTCCACCAGTGCACTTCCTCAAGCGTGAGGTGTTACACATCAGATTTACAGCCCCCATGCCCAATAAAATGATCGGCCATTTCCCCGTCCAGAGCCTGATAGGGCCGTCGGGGTCTGCGGGTCAGGCTAATGTACGTGTGGGGCCCCTGAAGTCTTTTTGATATACTGGTGGAAAATGCTTTTAAAGGGAGTGTGAGTGTAGAGGCAGAGGTTTTGAAGGGAAGGAAGCTTTGTTTATGTGCAAAGATATTATATAATATCTACACACAACATGATATATGTCCTCCACTCTTCACTCCTAAAAAAAACAGCAATACAAGTAAATTCAAAGTATTAAAGCAGTCATAAAGAGCTGTGGAAATAAGTTAAACACCAAATACAATGAACAAAATCTGTTTAAATACACCCCAATCTTTCATATCAGATATCAAAAACACCTAACCTGAGCTCTGAACAGTCAATCTGCTGGAATCTACATATCTAGCAAAGGCTGGTGCACATAATCTACAACATATCTAAGATTCAAACACACAGTTCAGTGCAGGAGAAAGGGAGAGCAGACCGCAGCAGTGGGGATTTAAATCAGTCAGCGATGCCGGTCTTCATCCAGTCCAGGAGCCACAATCCTGCTCAAGCCAGCGAGTCAGAGGCTGCACATGCATTAGTCAGCAGACACACTGTGGGGGAGCAGACAGAGCTGTACAGCACAAGTGGAAAAATTCAGTCTTAAAATATACATTATGACTGACTTAAATATATATCATAGCTGTGAAGGCGGCGAAGAAACAAGACCAGAGTCAAACGGGCGAGTTTATGATAGTGTAGGATCTTTGTGGTGTGTTTGCCTTATAATGCACTTTCGTAAGCATCAGAGACAAATAAGTGTTCTAGTTTATATTTAGTGCTGTCCATTAATCTGCACAAAAGTGTTATATTGTCTTTATTTTGATGCAATCCTTTCCAGGGACTCTCACTCAAAATGAAATGGTGTTCAGGCGGCTCCATCTCGGGACGGTGGCGTACGGGATGGACTCGATGGATGAAGTGCAGAGCCATGTGTTCAGCGCTTACACACAGGTATAAAAAAAAAAGTGTAAGTCTATGAAACACCAGAAAATGAATAAAAGAAGAAACTGCGACCAAAGCAGCACAAACATTGTTATCAGAAACATATCAGTTTGTGATTATTGTGCGGTTGAATGCTTCCTGACCTCAGATGACACCTTTTGTCCCCCCCTGACACCAGAGGTTAGTGAAGCAGGAAACAGGATTAGCCCACAAGCGAGGCACTGACCGGACTTCTTTAATGACGCTACCATTAACCCCTGGAACGCACGGGCGTCTAAAAATAGCGAGACCGCAATGCAGAGGCTAAGTGTCCATATTTACTCTAAACATCTGGTTATGTTTACACACGGCCATCACCGCCATGATTGAGATGGAAGGTCAGAAAAGCGGCTAATTTCTTAGACTGAAACCTTCGCAGCCTCAGCCTCTTCGTATTTGAGTTCATACAGATCTATATTTTTACACTTAATCAGTTCTATTGATCAGACTTGACAGCAAAAGAGCGTCTGAACTCTCATCCACTGCTTTCTTTTTATTCTCTTCAGCCCACCCATGACCTCCCTGCGTCCAGGGCTCCAGCGACCACAAAGGTCCGCAAGACCATCAGCAGCAGAGTTCACGAGGCAGTGAAAGCCATCGCGCTGGTGCACAACGTGACGCCGGTGTACGAGTCGAACGGTGTGACAGACCAGGCTGAGGCCGAGCAGCACTATGAAGACACATGCAGAGTCTACCAGGCCTCCAGCCCAGATGAGGTACGATCATAAGCTGCAAATACAGCCCGACTTATTTAAGTTTTATGAACAGAGATGGTCTTAATGCTCGTTTTTGGACCCTCATGGTGTGAGTTCAGTTCAGTTTGATACAGCAAACCTTGATCATGTTCGAGTTTTTACAGCAGAAATTATAAAAACGCTAAGATCATATATCCTGGATGACTTTCAAAGTAAAAGACCCTTGTTTTCACACGATCCTTTTATTCTGAAATTGTGTCTGGGAAAACTTCAGAAGGATCTTTTTATTTAGAATCACGTTGGGCTGCAATTTGTAAGACACCGGTAAAATAAACTATCGATCTGATGATACTGACACACAGAGACGCGTATTTGTCCATGGTATAAATAGATAAGTCCAGATAAGATGGTGACTTCACAGCACCCCTCCTCCTCCTCCCCAAACCTATGTTGTCACACACACAGCAGCGACAACAATGGCGGTAGCTGGGGTGATTTTGATCTTGTTCCAGCAACTGCAAATATCGCTGCGACTTTTATACCGACATTTAGAACAACAACAGCAACAACACCAGCTACGGCAACAACAGCAACAAGTGCTCATGCAGAGACGCAGCATGTTACGCATGCACAACAAATCCACCTTGGAACCAGAACCAGATGGGCAACCCAAACCCGATTTTGCGTTGTCATGTAAATGCACTAAGCCGATGTACAATACGATGTGTAAACAGCGATACATATTTTTGTGCCGACGCCAAGACAATACGGGGTCGTCCTCGTGTGAGGATGGAAAATATTTTATCATTTATTATCTCCGCCCCTTCTTTACCCCTGCTGCTGTAATTAAGCACCCATTTTTATAGGTGTAATATGATTTAAATAAATATAAAGGCAACAAAACAATCCATAAACATGTTCCTGACAGCCATCAAAGGTGCATTAATCAGTTTTATTCCTGAATAAGCACTCAAATGTTTCAGATAATTTTCTTTATAGTGATTTACCTCTTTGTGATCCCATTATTCAATTCGAACCTGCTTGAGCGTTATTTAAAAGCTTCACAGGAGAACAGACTTCCGATCTTTAGCCGCAGAGTTTGTCAGTAAAGTCCGTTATCTTCATTGTCGAGGGGAAACATCCACAGGCCAAATGCCGGTCCACATTTATGTCCCTGATCAGTTTATATATTCTTTGAACATCAGGAAGAGGGCTGCAGGATCCGACTCGATCCATATCCTGCGGCATAAATACGGATTTCCTTAATGTGCTCCCCAGCCCATTGCACTTTTGCCCTTTTGAATTTCCTCCTTGATAGCATGTTTCAATCAGAGCGCAGCACATCTGTCACAATCACGAATCTGTGGTTGATATCACAGGAGGAAAGTGGGGTCGTATTTTTCTCTTTCAGGTCAGACTGGATGGAAGTTTTAACAGCTTTTTCTTTGCGTTGCCGAGCCCTGAAAGGTGCATTGTATCAGTTCAATCTCGGGCAAGATTCAGTTTGTTTTCCCACAGCTCTCAGGAAGTCTTAATATAGATCTGGTTTTGGCTTTGAGCTCTATGGACACAATGTCACTGACTGTTAAATGCATGGTTTACCAGTGTTGTAGGAGGGAAAGGTGTTTGAACACACATGGATTTAACCTGTGAGTATTTCTTTGCTCATAATTTGACATCTGAATCACCTTGTATTAAAAAGGCGACCTAGATTATGTGTGATTCATTAAAAAGAGCTCATTTCTGAATCACTTTATAGCTCATAAAGAGCTCGTCAACCGTGCGGTGGTTTTGAGTCAAACCGACTAAATCCGGCAGTTTTCAGTCCAGTTCAAAAGCTTTCCAGCCAACACAAATGTTGCTATTACAAGGTGGTGCTGCCGTTGTGGTTAAACGCCAGATCCCAAAATGCCTCCACAGTGACTATTTCGAGACTGTGACTCAGCACAAACTTCATATTTCCCAACCTGGATGACAAACTTTATGGTAGTCAGAGCTTTTCTGACGTTAAAAGCGCTCCTGGTCTGGCATTGCGATACGACGTGGTCACGTGTTTTCCAAAATAAGGGATCGCGAAACCGCAGAAATTGTGGTTTTCAGATCAAAATTGAAAATGGCGAGTTGTTGTTTTCACTTATTTGCGTCCATTTGGCCGCTCGGCTTCTAAAGCTGTCAGAAGATGGATGATGGATTAGGTATGTGATTTGGCCTCTGGTCTGGAAGTTATTGAGCAATTTTCATCTCCCCTCTGTTTCTCCCCACGGACACAAGTTAGCATTGTGTTATTAATGGATGTCATCTGTTGTGTCCTTCAGAAAAGGAACGAGCAAACACAATATTTTCAGTAAAGAAACAGACATTTCCCTCATTTATCAATCAATAGTCCTGAGTGCTGAAAATGCTCGAGCTATTGATCAAAGCATGAATGGTTACTGTGCTCTCTGACATCCTGCTCGCTCCAAAGTGGCCTTCACTCTTTTCTTAGTCATTCAGGTAATGGAACATCGTGTTGCTGTTGTGGTTTCACTGTGAGAATCTTAAAACCCTCAGCAGGGGTCACATTTTCCCTTTTCTGTGCATTACTGGATAACAAAGACTTTTTATTATCTGCTTAAAGCATTAAAAATAAATCAAAGATGATGATAAAAAGACTCTAAATCTGCCTGTGAATGTTGGTGATCACCCACTGAAGCTTTTACTGTGTGTTGTTGATAGGTGTCGCTGGTGCAGTGGACTGAGAGCGTGGGTCTGACTCTGGTAGGAAGAGACCAGTCCTCCATACAGCTGCGGACCCCTACTGGACAGATCCTGAACTTCACCATCCTGCAGATATTCCCCTTCACTTATGAGAGCAAGAGGATGGGCATCATAGTGCGAGTAAGTGCTGAGATGAGGCGGCTTTTGGGATCGATGCTCTCCTTTCTTACTTAAATTTTGAGCTTTGTCTTCTCACTCAAAAAGAAGCTAATTCCTAATTAAAAATCATACAGGACCAAGAGTATCAAACTTCAACTAAGTCAAGTGTTGCTCAAATTTGTACACCCTCAATTCCCCCCAAAAAGTTGGGAAACTTCTCCAGAGTGTGAAAACATTAAATACTTGAGGATCTTATCAGCTAAGGTTTATGATATCATTATAAGATTCTCTGAACTAAAGGGACAAGGCTAATAACTGATACTGAATGATCATGATGATCTTGTCAAAACAGGCAAGACTCTGTAGAAGTAATAATAATAATAACTTTATTTTTATAGCGCTTTTAAAAACAGAAGTTTACAAAGTGCTTTGAAAAACAGTCGCAAAGCATCAGCACATGGAAATAAAGCTCAGTTTAAGAACAAGGCCTGCGAATTGAATTTGTCATAAGAAACCAGAACAATACAAGAACAACATAAAATGAGACCATGAGGACCTAAATAAAAACATAAAATAGGTAAGAAAAAGAAATGTATTAAAAAGGGGGATAGAAAGCAGGAAACAGGATAGTAAATATAAAAAGACAATTAATAATAATAATAAAATAATAATGATAAAATGGAATAACAAAAATGAGCAGGAAAAAAATAAAATAAAATCAATAAAAGGTCTAAAAGTTAAAATAAGAAAAGATTATAAGTAAAACAAAGACTAAAAGGACAGTAATTCGAAATAAAATAGAGGTAAAAGAAATAAAAGAGAAACGAGAAAAGACGGCATCATATAAAAGCAAGTCGGTAAAAGTGAGTTTTTTAATTCGACTTAAAAGAAGCGACTGTCTCTGCTGTAAGCCTTATCTCCTCTGGCAGGTTGTTCCAAAGTCGAGGAGCTCTGATGGAGAAAGATCTATCACTTTTAGTTTTGAGTCTCGACTTTGGAACGACCAGGAGACCTTCGCCAGAGGATCTGAGGCTGAGAGTTGGCTCACAAGGTCTTAAAAGCTCTGAAATGTAGTCCTTTGAGCGCTTTAGAAGTAATCAATAAAATCTTAAAATAAATTCTAAAACTGACAGGAAGCCAGTGAAGGGAAGACTAAAACTGGGGCAATGTGATGCCGTCTGCTAAAACCAGTTAAAAGCCAAGCTGCTGCATTCTCAACCAGTTGGAGGTGGGAGAGTGATTTCTTATTAAACCAGGGAGGAGGGAGTTACAGTTGTCCAGCCTTGAGAAAATGAAAGCATGGATTATTTTTTCAAGATCTGGTGGGGTGAGTATTTGTTTAGGTCACTGCGTGGGTTTGAAATCACCTCCAAAATCCAGGTTAAAACTGTACATGTGAAGAGGAATCAAAAATACATGAACATGATCTAGAAATGCAGCATTTTAAACCCTCCTCTGGTGTGAAAAATCAAAGTTAAACATTCCTTTTGGAAATCATGGACACTGCACACCCTGCTCAGAAGAGGAGACGGACCACCCGGCTTGTTATCAGCTCTCAGTTCAAAAGTCAGCATCCATGAAGGCATGATCCCACCAACGGGAGGGATGAGCGAGGGAGTGTTCAAGGCCGATTGATGCTAAATATTCCAACTTCAGACAGAAAGAGAGAAAGAGCTGCTGAAGAAAGAAATCTTTTTGTAAACTTAAGAAACCATTTTTATCCATAAACAGTCATTACAGCTCTCTCTCTCTTTAAGGCCTGTACGCTCCATTAAGAAAAACAGTAATTTTACCTCACAGAACACGCCGGAGCTGCTTCATCTTTTAGTTTGTTTTCTGTTGGATCAGAGTTAACCTCATAAAACAGGAAAGTCATTTACAAAAAAACACCCCTGATAAACTAATCAGTGTAGGCAGCAGTAGACGAGTAAGTCTGGGTCTCTCCGAGCTGAAATTACAGTTTTTGAGTCTGAAACAATCTAACCTCTGCATCCGTCTGAAAAAGCATCATTGCTTTATCTTTGCTCTTTACACCACAAAATGTTAGACAGGTCCAGCATCTGCAAATACAGGAAATCCCCTTTGATTCATTAGAAATATTACCTCCAAAAACAAAAAGAGTTCATGCTTGTTGCTAGGAGGGCAATCAGGACTTTACACCGGCTTTGACAACCAGACAAACAACAGATAATACGATCGGTATTAAAGCATATTATCTGAGAAAAACCTCACCTTTAATAACCTCTGACTAAGTCTGATGACTAATTTTATTTGTTTTGGCCTGGGTTTAGCTCAGGAAGCCTGGGATTTTAAAACTCGACTTCCTTGTGATAATATTTGCAAAGGTTTTTTGAAACCCCTTGCGAGTACCAAAATAAGTTGCGCATTTCCAGGCAACACAAAATCACCAAATTTTACACGTGCACCTTTGCTCACGTGGGCACAGGCTGGAAACCCCTTCAGAGTGGAACATACCCGGGCTCTAACATCCTATTTTTGTCCCACTCCGAACACACTCATTTTTTTGTTTTCTAGGATGAATCTACAGGAGAGATCACTTTCTACATGAAGGGTGCTGATGTGGTGATGGCAGGCATCGTTCAGTATAATGACTGGCTGGAAGAGGAGGTACGTTTCCTTCTTTTTTCCCCTTGACATGATTAAGATGTAAAAACACTGATTTTATTCCTGTTATTAATAAAATCAGACATCAAAAGACTCTGTTGCACGCTAAATCCAGATGTTGCGAAATGTTTTTCAGTGTGGGAACATGGCGAGGGAAGGCCTGAGGGTCCTGGTGGTCTCTAAGAAGTCCCTGACAGAGGAGCAGTATCAGGACTTTGAAGTAAGATTAAAGAAGTTGGACGTTTGGTTTGCTCGCCTCGATATTTTTTGACATTTATATACAGCAGAGAAATCCAGAAATATACATGTCCAAACTGAGATTTTGCTGAAAAAGGCAGACTGGTATTTTCTGCAGACATGTCCAGTATTCCTAAATGTCAAAGTGCCTCGTTTGGTAATTAGAGGGTCCGCTCCATGCACCCCACCCTCCCACACACACACACACCCAGCCCCCACTCATTGTTTGAGCAGGGCAGGGCTGCCTCCCCCTGCAGTCCTCAGCCCCAGGCCCCTCTCGCTGAAGTGTATGATTGTGTGCGCAGAGCTGGTGGGCAGCAGTGAGTCACAGACTGAGTCACACACAGAGTTTGTGTTCCTGTGTGAGTCACGCTGAAATTGTTTTTGCTTTATCTCATTCCCAAATTGCCCTGGAGTTGGAGCGCTTGGAGATGGGCGTTAACCGATTGATCACGTCTGTATTTCCAGATTTGAAAACATACAAGTCTACAGGGCTGCTGTTTTGTGGTAGTGAGGCCTCAGCGCAGTTTGGATGGCGTGTTTTATGTCGCACAAAGTTCAGTCTGGGTGTGAAAAAACTCATGTTTGCCCTCTGTGCGACATGAACCTCTTCCCTCTCTCTTATTTCTCTCTCCTGCCCGTCAGGCTCGCTACGTGCAGGCCAAGCTCAGCGTCCACGACCGCTCTCTGAAGGTGGCCACGGTGATCGAGAGTCTGGAGATGGAGATGGAGCTTCTGTGTCTGACCGGGGTGGAGGACCAGCTTCAGACTGATGTCAGGCCCACGCTGGAGATCCTCCGCAACGCAGGCATCAAGGTCTGAGAGGGGGGCGGATGGCATCATAGAGCACAGTAGCAACAAATGAAGGAAAACAAACAAACAACAGCACAAAAACGGAAGAGAACATATGTTTTCGTTTCCATCTACACGAGCATATCTTCACCAAGTGTAATGAAAGAGACTGTAGAGACTTCTCAGCAGAGTTTGAAGTGGTTGTTGGTTTGCGCTCTCCAGATGGTTGATATTAAATCTCTAACCACATTTTTATTTGAATTAGTGTGTGCACAGCAACCACAAAGATGAGCTTCAAACTGATAATCCCCTCTACTCTGTGCAGATAGCTCACTTTTGATGGCTCAGGTTTTAGAGATTTCTTCACAGTACAGGGCTCAGGAGTTAATCTCAGCTGTTGGAACAGCTAAAAGAAGAGAATAAAATCTATAACTTTGGGGCACACCTCCCCTGAGTTCCTTAATTTAATACAGTTTGTTTCTGCAGAACATAGTCAAGTAAGAGGTTATGGATATACAATCTACGCTTTCTACTTTAATCTGTTAAAAGAAACCTTCTGCAGACAATTCATTGGAGAAGAGTTCATATAAAGTGTGAGAGCTTGTCCATGCACGATCAGATCACTCATTGGACATGCTGATAACAGGTGTAAATGATCCTTAAGACTTGTAATTTTGCACTGATGCGGTTTGATTTGGTTTAAACGACCTTTAGCTGTCTCTTTGTCTTTACATACCTGAACTTTCACTCACAGGTATTCTTTCTAACATGGTGACTTCAACTTTGGGAGCTTTGCACAACACTCCTCTCTGTTCAGCGTCACCATAACTCAATCTAAAATATTCATATTGTAGACATTACATATATTCTTACTACCAATGCAGTGTTGGCTTGCTCAACCGCATTCATGTTCGTGACTCTGCTCTCTCTATAAATGTTTACAGATGCATGTTCGTACATTTAAACTGCAAATCATGGCCTGTTGTTCAGTTCATATTGCTCATTATAGTTGGATTAGATGTGTAATCACAGGACAACTTAATTTATTCTGCACGTACAGTGTTTGGTTCCTGACGTTGAAGCATCTTTTTTTTATTTTCAGTAAGCTACAGGATCAATCTTAGCATAAAGGGTATATAAGTTGGTGCATCACCGAACCATCAGACTCATCAAATTATAAATCATCTGTCTATAAAAAGGGCAAAGGTGTTAAAACCCGCAATCCCGGTGATAATCCCCAAAAATTAGACTCCTAAATGATCAATAAACTCAACTCAAGTAAAATCAAAACACTGCCAATGCAACTTAAATTCAGCGTTTGTCAGCTGTTTAAAGAAAAATACAAAAGAAGAGTTTTGTTTAACGCAGCAGAAAGTTTGAAGAGCTTATTTTCCTTTAAACATGAGTGCTTGTTGTGTAACTGAAGGAGATGTTACTCTCTGGTTTCTGCGTAGGTTTGGATGCTGACAGGAGACAAGCTGGAAACGGCCACATGCACCGCGAAGAACGCCCATCTCATCACCCGCAACCAGGACATCCATATTTTCAGAGCCGTAAGTGCAGAACAAAGACTCTTCTTCCTCCGACATGCTTATGAGGTGGGAAATAGTCGATTTTGTTCTTGTTGGGTTCATCCCAGTTCAATTTAGCTCTGACAGTTTCCTGACCCCGCTGACCTGCGGGCATACATCCTCCGAGCGACCAAAGCCCATTAGCCGGTGGTCATACAGCCCCACACAACTACGCATACAAACCGGGCCAGCTGAATAAATCACCTCCCACCAGTGAAAGCATCCAAGCCACTGTCAAAGAGAACAAACAGGCCCTCACTCACACACAGAGGAGAAACCAGCTGAACCACTCCCACAGGGAACATGCACAGGGCTCACTTCCTAATTTGTTTTGCAGCTTTTGGACTCTCACCGCCCGCTTTGATAGTTCCCCTCCTGCCTTCCCCTCTGGACTCACGCCAGAGCAGAAGGAGAGCCTGCCATATAGGAAGGTTACAACTTGCGTACAACTGTGCTTACTGGAAGAGAATAACAATGGCTGGCACGGCTTGAAAACCTCTGTCCCAGCGGACGGGGGAGTGCTGACTGGGCCTGCAACACATACATCTGGATTAGTTTCCTGGTGGCCACCAGGGCCTGATGTGGATTGACGTATGAATAGTCAGCGGTTGAAGGATATTCATTCCAGAGCATGGCTGTTGTTGACAGATTAACACTCTGCCTTGTCAGAGCTGCATTTTTGGAGATTTTTTAAAGTCTATATTAAAACCTGAAACAACTGTTACAGGCCTCAGGTGATTTTTTTTTATAATGCAACAAATATGTAGACCTCCCAGTTTTTCTTCCCAGCTTAAGTTTTGGTGCCTGTTTAGCCTAGAGAGCACAAATAAATATTCAAAAACTGGATTATTACTACTTTTTACTCAGTCCGCAGGATAGCAATACACAGCGGTCTGAGGAGCCATAAACAAACCTCAACCTAAACGCCACTCTATAGACACAAATAATGCTCAGAACAGGACCTAACTTCATCAACAGGACATATAGGGTCACAGCCATAGTACTAGACACCAAACATCTTTTTAACTTTGACTCATTTCTTTAGCAAAGAGACTAAACACAACTCACCTACTCTCTTCCAGCAGCCGCTTGTTTGTAGCGAGACCTCAGGCCAGTCCATTACAGACTGCTGTGGAGTTTCGCAGCTCAAGGAAGAACATTTATGATCATTTTTTCATGGAAATACAATCAGACCGAGACGCTAAAGCGAAAGAACTACTGCGTCTGCAGAGAAAAATGTTTAATATGATGATTATTACTTCAAGGAAATGATAAAGAAATGATCATAAATGTTTTTCGTTGAGCTGCGAAACTCCACAGCAGTCCATAATGGACTGTTTTGGTTGAGGTCTGTTTATAGCTCCTCAGTCCGCTGTGTATTGCTATCCTGCGGTCATTACTAAAGTTGGTATAACTAGAGAAGTAAGCGGTCGGCAACATTCATCTCTGGAAGGGGGTGTCTAACTCAGTGTTACGGTTCAAAAACGCACCGATTGTAAGAGAAAGATGAAAATGTTTCGATATGATAGTAATAAATTTGTCAAACACAGGGACTTTTTGTCCCTCATTGCCACCATCTATTTACTGAAGGGACGGGTGAGCAAAGGAGCATTTCAGTCTAGTTCCTGACTGCTCCATATCATTTCATATTTCTGTTTCCACACTGTTTTTTTAACACTAACAGCTGCTATAATATGTGTCTTTAAACTGCACTCAGGAAGTTGACAAACACCATTTAATATTTTTAAATGCCAAAAAACTGAGTTTATTTCAACTTTGAAACAATGTCCGACAGTTTAATATCATTTAAATTTAGTAAAAGCGAGTATAACTTCCACTTAATGTTGCCCAGCTCAGGATTTATTCGCTCTAACGTTTTCTCTCGCTGCACCTGCAGGAAAAAAGTGCCGTTCTTTAAAGCCAGCGGTCTGATAAGAATCAGGATGCAGCGCCTGACAGATTGTCTTCTTTGATAATTTTTGCTCGTGAGTGATCTGTCTGTGTGTGTGTGTATGTGCTTTTTTGATGTGCACTCATGACTGTGGTTGCTATTGCCCAAGGTGACAACCCGAGGGGAAGCCCACCTGGAGCTCAACGCTTTCAGGAGAAAACACGACTGTGCGCTGGTGATATCAGGAGACTCGCTTGAGGTACAGCATCAGAGTGTGTGTGTGTGTGTGTAAGTGTGTGTGTGTTTGTCTAACCCTTTACCACCCACTCGTCTCTCCTTATGAAACTCTGACATGATTTCTGTTTGATACGTGATAATATTGCTGCCACTGAAGCATCTCTGGAAGTGGTATCTGTGGTTAGACTCACTCTCCAAACCGCTGCAGGGGTTAAACTGTAACTTTGGTCGGGGGGTATAATTGAGATCAGCTCCATGTTTTGACCTTAAATGCTCACCTGTCCGTTACTGTGGCTTTTTTTGCAGGTTTGTCTGAAATACTACGAATACGAGTTCATGGAACTCGCATGTCAGTGTCCCGCTGTGGTTTGCTGCCGGTGTACCCCCACCCAGAAGGCCCAGATAGTCAAACTGCTGCAGGAGCGCACAGGAAAGCTCACCTGTGCAGTAGGTGAGGAGACAATAGCACCAGTTAAACAGCTTTTTCACAGCGGGGGATTCAGTCTAATCAGTCTAACCATATTTCAACCAAAGCTCTAACCCAAATTTATGAGCGTGGATGTTACACCACAGATAAGCACGGTGCATATGCAGTTCTACAGTACGATTTAGCATTAGTGATAACCCTGGAGGCTCTGAGATAGGTAGAATGATTATTATTAGTGCCTTTAAATTAAAATTTATTTCACTTTGTGTGTGATGAATCTAGAATATATGAAAGTTTCACTTCTTGAGTAAAATATTAGGGGAAAAAATGAACTTTTCTGGGACATTTTTAGTTTTTTTTAAGCTGCACCTGTATTAGTGCTCACAGCATGAACAGCTTAACTCATCTGGGAAGGGACCATTAATGTGGAATGGTTTACACAGGTTTTGGAGCGACATATGCGGCCATATAATAAAGCAGTTTTTTAGTGAAGACCTTGTATATCTCAGTAGGAAGATGCCAAACTGCATCAGGATGATATTTTACTCTAAGAACTCTACAAACCCGTCTCCTAGGTTCCCAAATATTTAGTGTTTTTAAGCGAAGAGGGGGTGCAACATACTGAGAAACAAGTCCCTGTAACATCTGCGTTGAAGAATATTACTGCGAAACATTTAAATTGAGAATATTTTCCATAAAACTGCAAAAGTTTTATTTTTTAAGATGTTTTCTTTGTAGTATTTTCAATCAAATATGCAAAACCATTACATTTGGGGTTGATCTACTGAATGATCACGACCTCCCAGGGCTTGGTAAGAGCTAATAACACTGGTATCGCCTCTCAGTTGCTCTATTACACTATGATATGATCATGGAATGTTATTTCAAAATAAAATGGGATTTTATGATTAACGCGTAGCCGCTGCAGTCACTGGCCAATTTTTCAGGGCTTCTGGCATGGTCAGTGATTACACAAGAGGATATCTGGGCCAAGGCTTCATTCTCCACGGCCTGGTCAAATTTACGGTCAGTCTAGAGACTGAAAACTTAAGTGTAGAGTCGGGTAAGGAGAAACATCCTAAATCAGTTTGGTTGCTGCACTAAATTCTTGAAGTAGTCTATTTTCAGAGATATCAGTCGAGACCCACGGGTGCCGGGATTGAAGCAGGATTGGAGCAGATAAATCCTCCTGCTCTCTGTAGGAACTCCTCTTGTTCAAACAGACACAGATTGCAGATACAGGAATGGTTTCTACTTCTAGGTTTAATCAGAGCATGAAAAAATCTGTATCTCGACTGACATAGTTAGTTTTTTGACCAGCTTTTGACCTAAAATACTTTGTTTTAACATGAAATATGTGTTGCCGCCTTTCTCACCTGCGTCTTCATGAAAGTTTTTGTCCTCCTTTAGTCGTGTTTGGTGGTTCTGCACCATTATCACTCAAGTCAAAGGGGAAATTTTGACTTCTACTTTCATATGTTTTCAGTAGACCAAACCGCTGCTGCTGGGTAGATGTATGTTTACTTTGGGACCTGTAACTTTCAACTTATTTCACTGATAATTGAGCTTCTTGTTTTACGGTCCTCTGAAGAGACGACCCAGCCCTTTAATCTCCGCCTGTATCTGTTAAATTCCTAACAGATCTGTCATTTCACTTACTTTGGCTCTAATTCTGATCTCATTATCAGGCCAAACTCAGGGAGTGTCTTGTGAAATACACACTGACAATACTCAGTAAGAGTTTGAAATGGTGAGTCACTGATGTGAATCTTGACACCTCGATGGCTTTTGTTTTCTCTTAGGGGATGGAGGAAACGATGTCAGCATGATCCAGGAAGCCGACTGTGGCGTGGGAGTGGAGGGAAAAGTAAGACTCTCTCCATCTCATCCCTTCACACCGACGTGCCGCTCTCACAGATTTTTGCTTTGTGTTTCCTGTCAAGATCTCTCTCATGTTCGGAGGCATGTCGAGAGACGTGCACACAGATGATTCCTCTTTTTGAGGATCTATTGTCTGAACAGAGGAAACCGAAATGACAGGATGCTTTTGTGCTTAAGTAAAAGTTCGAGTCTCTTTTAAGCTGCTTTTTGTACTTCTCACTATCCTGTCAGACGGGATTTTTCATACATGTCACTGTCAGATATTAGAGTACAACATACTCTGAGAATTTTTTGTCTTTTATAGAATATTTGTCTCCTACTTTTCCTGCCATAAGTTCTCCTAGAACTGTGTTTTACAGACGGCGTGAAGGACAGCAGCCAGTTCGCTTTGCAGTGCGTGAAGATAGGATTAAGCTAGCTTGGCTGTGATAAAAATCTGCCTTCTGGCTCTTGTAAAGCTCATGAAATCACATGATAAATCTTGCTGTACAAAAACTGGAGTGTAAAAAAACATCAATTTGGGGTTTTACTGTCAAATTTGCAACAGTTAGAAACAATCTGATTGTAAAACCGCAAAAGACTTCCAGTGTTTTCTGACTGTTTGAGGAAAAATGAGTCGTATTTTCAGCTCTGAAAGGCTAATGTTTGTCGAATGCAGATCTCCACAGATCAGATGATGAGGGGATTCCTGATTGAAACTCATGTCATGCTTGCAGGGACTTTTCCTGCCCTGGATCTGTTGAGCAGTTCAGTTAACACACTTGTATATTTGTCACTGTATGATCCACTCCAGATTAGCAGTATGAAACCTTCTCTTCAGGTCAGCAAACACATCTCACAGCTTGTCCTCATATCCCTCTCTGCTCTGTGTTTGGCAGGAAGGAAAACAAGCGTCGTTGGCCGCTGACTTCTCGGTGACTCAGTTCAAACATTTAGGCCGTCTCCTCATGGTCCACGGTCGGAACAGCTACAAAAGGTCCGCTGCTCTCTGCCAGTTTGTCATCCACAGGAGCCTTTGCATCAGCACCATGCAGGTAGAGTAAACCTATAGGAAGAGGACTATGGCAGCCATGTTGGTATGCATCAGAAGTTCAGAAAGTCTTCATATATTTTGGCTTTACTTTGACAACTGATTTGCAAAAGCCTGACCCAAAAATGGCCTGGAATGGCATTAAATCTTCACTGTATAATCACAATAGTTAATGCATTGTGTTTTTCTGAATATCCCAACATTCAAATCGTTTATTTCTTTACTTACTGTCACACTTACAGCCACAAAAATTAACTTAAAAATGCCTTTGAACAGCCGCTGAATCTAACCAAACCATTTAACTGAGGAAAAAGTAAGAAAAAAGTTAAAACAGTCAAAAAAGTGCCTCCTATTTCGTAACAAAACGTCCATACATGATCGTCTTTGTTCAGGTATCACTGGACATTATTCACACACACACACACACCAAAAAAAGTTGTGATACTTTTATGAAACTTTGCAAATAGTTTCTTCATCTAAAATGCTGTAAATACTGTCAGTGAAGGAGTGTGCAATATATTATAACTTTAATAATAATGATAATAATAACTTTTTTTTTATAGCACTTTTAAAAACAGCATCAGTACATGGAAATAAAAACAAATAAAAACAAAAGCTCGGTTAAAAACAAGGCCTCTGAATTGCGGGCCAATTTTATTTGTCCAAAAGAAAAACATAAAATAGGTTAAAAAAAAGAAATGTAATAAAAAATGGGGGTAGAAAGCAGGAAACAAGATAGTAAATATAAAAAGACAATATTGATAATGATAACAAAATCCTAACAAAATAATAAGGTAACACTTTCTTTTACGGTGCACTTATTACCAGGTAATTAACAGGTAATTACCTAGTAACAACATGAAATTATCTGGTAATTACATGATAACTACGAAGTCAATACTGTCTAGTTTTTCTTTTTTTCTTTTTTCTGTGCAGCTCCATTTTCAAAAACAATTTGGGGTTCTTATTTTCTATGATTGACACTTGATACAGCCTATGGGCGTGCGAAGATTGCGTAGCGATACGCTGTTTGAGCCGAGTGTCATCACAATGACTCACTTGCCGAATGCGTACAACGCTACTGTGAAAGTGGTGGTTCCAGGAAGCAGAGAAAATCCTGGAAATACCAGAGAAATTCGGCTTCAAATTAGTCTGATGGAAGGTTAGACAGTATTGACTTAGTAGTTATCATGTAATTACCTGATAATTTCATGTTGTTACAAGGTTATTACCTGGTAATAAGTGTACCGTAAAAGAAAGCGTTACCAATAATAATGAGGGTAATAGTAATGATAAAATGTAGTAACTAAAAAGAGCAGGAAAAAACAAAAGTTGAAATAAGATAGAGGTAAAAGAGACAAAAGAGACAGAGAGAGAAATATATCCAGGTGACTCGATAGATTGCGGGTTGCTCCATGTGAGAGTCTTTCAAAATATAAACTTTATTCACCTTAACTTAACTGTGATTTTTCCCTTTTTCATGCAAATTAAAACTATAAACTAGTTGTATATTTAGCTCTTTGTATATAAGGGTCAGATTACATGCTTCACTCTCGGTCCTCCACACCGAGTCATTAAGTGAAAGTGACCATAAAAGGCTTAAAAATACCTGGAAATGAGTGTTTGCTATCTTGAGATGTGGGCTCTGTTTATCCACAACACCTCAAATCTAAATGTGAGGAAATGATCGGGGTGAGGCAGGGAGACGTTTCAGGGGTGGTCATGGAAGGGTGGGGTGCACGATGACTCAGAGGAGTCAGCCCGTGGTGCCCTTCTGAGTCCCCCCCCCCTCTATAGCCAACACCGTCTCAAATCTAATTCCCATGTCCGAGTCCAACCTCAGCCCCCGCCTGGAGGGACGGCCCATGAGTCACAGCTCGGTGGACTTTGGGGTTTCAGGGAGGCCCTCCTCCGCATGTCTCACATCGACACCAACCACAACCGCAGCTGCGACCTGTCTGCCCCGCTGTGGGGCCGTCTGGATGACAGGCTGACAGCTCAATACTGGCATCATCCGTATGTTAAAGACACATGTTGAAATTAGTCAGAGGAGTTTGACTTTCTCCAGAAGGGTGCTGTGGTGAAGCGAGGAGGAGTGCAGCGTTTGGTTTTATGTGCTGGGTTCAGATAATTACCAAGTCAGAGTGTGGTTAGCCTTGGATTTGTGTGTCACCAGGGTAAACTGTTTTCTTCTGCTTCTGTGATTTAGAAATAAACTCCTGCCTTTTGTTTTTATCAGCGACTCTCAGGCGGGGATGATCCTCGTTTCCTCGTGTATCAGCTGCCGTGTAATTTATGGACTAATTGATTTCTCACCGAGTTGTTTTCCTTCTCCTTTCCCTCTCTCTGTAGGCGGTCTTCTGCTCGGTTTTCTACTTCGCTTCAGTCCCACTCTACCAAGGATTCCTGATTATCGGGTGAGATACAAACTGAATGGTGATGACTTATCTAGAGAGCATTTGGCTGTCTTGTTTCCTTGGCATTTCCTCTGAGTTAAAGCACTGTTGAAATCTGAGCTGGGGAGGAAAATATGAAGCTCTTATCGACCGTATTGATGCTGAATTGAAGAATGAAATGTGTGAAACTTTTTATAAATGTGTTTGTTCAGCTACTCCACCGTCTACACCATGTTCCCCGTCTTCTCCCTGGTGTTGGACAAAGATGTGAAATCTGAGGTTGCCATGTTGTACCCTGAATTATACAAAGATCTCTTAAAGGTAAATCATGAAAACTCACTCCTGCTGCAGTTTAATACAGAAAAACAAGGAAAAAGATTAATGATCTTGTGTTTTCTCTCCGCAGGGTCGACCACTTTCTTTCAAGACGTTTTTAATATGGGTCTTAATAAGTATCTATCAAGGTAAGAAAAGGTCCAAAGCATCAAAACAAACACGGAAAAGAAAATCAGGTTACACGAGGCAAAAACAGACAAATTAAAACCCTGAGAGAAAAAACTTATAAGTAAAATAAACACCGTCTTTTCTCTATATATTTGCTTTTAGAGCCCACACACTTTCTCGTTTATTTCCCAGTTTTATGTCTTTATTTGTCTGAAAGCCTGAGGTAACTTTTCTGACATGGACCATTTGATGTGTAAAGGTATTGACAGTAGCATCTGCAGCTACGCCCTGAAACCAGTTTCTGTCAAAACATGACCTCTTACTCAGATTTTCCTCGGCTGTATCTTCTCTCAGACTTTACAGATACAAAAACAACCTTATTGGATGAGTAGAGGTAGAGGTTAATGCAAAAGACTTCTCCTTTGCACATTTCTGCAAGCCAGGGTGCAATGCATGTTGGTGTTTAGTTTTTGTCTGTCTGTGATCAAACCAGAGGTAGTTTTAGATCAGCTGTGAAGCTCTGTATGCTGCTCAGGAGAGAGAGGATCAAGGAGAGGAGAGAAATATGACGACTGTTTGACTATCATCCATTCTTGTTCAGTGTTACCTGAACATGTACCGATAAATCAGCGGGCCAGTCGATTGGTGCCGATTTCTGGCTGATCTTTACATATGAAACTGATTTTATCCACCGATCTTATCTACCTCAGTAAAGGTCTGAGAGTCAGCCGTTGTAGCTTTTTGCTTTGCCAGTAAGACACACGACAGACATCCGGAGCATGATCAACCAAGCATGTTGAACACACTACAAGGAAACCTAAAACTCAGGACAGTTTATTGGTGGATTGAGTTTTGTTGTTAGTTTGTCCTGTAGATTATTATTTTACGAACTTCCTCAAACTTTATTTCCTTTATTTGTAAAAGCAAAATACTGCTGTGCGCTTTATTTTAGTTGGAGGCTCAAAACAGGCCTGCAGTCTGACCTCTTTAGCAGGTTTGTTAATTTTTAAAATGTGGAAAATAAAAGACTAAAGAAACTGATATAATTTAGTAGTTTGGACAGAAATATTCTAAACCACGGGTGTCAAACTCAAGGGGAGGGTCAAATCTGGCCCACAAGATCATATCATATTTGTATTATTATTGGCCCACCAGTATGAAGTCTGCAGATTTCCTCCAGTATAATAATGTAAACTTTAGCACCATTATTTAAAATGTTCTTAATAAACCATAAAAATCTGGGAAATTAAAGAGTAAGAACGATTCGATAAATAGTCAAGAATGTGGAGGAAAAATATTTGGTGTTTTATTTCACGTTTTGATTTTACATTTCAAGATTACAAGTCAAACATGATTGGATTTTTTATTTCATGCTTTGATTTTGTTCAACTCAGTATTTAGACTTGTGTCATTTTTATATTTTAGATTCCAATTTTAAATTTTAAGTCATATTTTAACATTTTAAACCTGAGTTCAACGTTCTCCTCATGTATTTGCTCTTTAAAAGCATTATTTTTCTATTTTAATATCATGCTCTGATCTTTTGAACTAATAAATAAAAATAGTATAAAAAAATTACAAATTTTCTATCTCAGATTGCTTTTAAACTTATCTTTTTATTTTTTTGAATTTCCAAATGATTTATAATCATTGCTATTTTTTAAAAAGGAGGTTGACAGTTTTGGTGAAATGTTGACCCTGTTTGGACCCTCAGGTTCGACCTAAATCCAGATTATGGCCCTTGCTGTGGTTGAGTTTGACACCCCTGTTCTAAACTTTTCATTTTTATTTGAGAGATTTAGCTTATGTGCCGTTAAAACGAACACAACAAGTTTATATTGTTTCACAAGTATTTAATGTTTTTCATTAAAATAAGATTGGAGTGTCAAAGTTTTATGTTGTCAGTTATATAAAAAAAAATCGGTATCAGCCAAAATCGGTATCGGCAGGTCAAGCTTTTCAAAGATCGGTGATAGGCCTGAAAATTGTGATCGGTGCACCCCTAGCGTTACCCCCTCTCTCTTCTCCACAGGGAGCATCATCATGTATGGCGCCCTGCTGCTCTTTGAGTCCGAGTTCGTCCATATCGTCGCCATCTCCTTCACCTCCCTGATCCTGACGGAGCTGCTGATGGTGGCTCTGACCATCCAGACGTGGCACTGGCTCATGATCGTCGCCGAGCTGCTCAGCTTGGCCTGCTACGTCGCCTCGCTCGTCTTCCTGCATGAGTTCATAGGTAAAAAAAAAACACTCACACAGGTACTAAAAGTGTCTTTTCGGCCTTGTAGAGGTCGACTCTTGGCAGGTATCAATTCATTTAGAGAAATAACATCAACAACAACAAATGCATAAATTTTTACTGCAGCCTCAGTGATGTTATTGTGCTTTTACCGACCTTGAAATAGTACGTCAGCATTCAGCAGTAAGGAGGATATTCTTATTCATATTACCCCTCTGGTGTGTAATAAGCTGGATACTAGGAAGGCTAAAGGTGAGTGCAGAGACAAATTGTCCTCATGCCAACCATCCTGTTAGTTTCCTGTGGACCACCAAGGTTCATGTTTTTATCACAGTGACGCTGAGTTACATAAAAGCAGAACCCCGGCTCTGAAAAAGGGCTCGTATTGTTGGTATTTTTGTAACTCCACTACAGTCTGCATCTTTCCGAGCTCTTTGACATATTTTGCTCAAACTCACAGAAAAAAAAGGAGCCATTTTTAGCGGCGCCAAATTAAGACCCATGACTTACACAATATGCTAACCGGGAGAATTCCCAGCCCTTATTTTCAGCTTTATTTGGGGTGTGGAGCTCCATTTTCAGCCTTCAGTCTCGAACCGCTGAGGACCATGACTGGCATGCGGTCAAGTGTGCCCTTTTTGTACACTTTTCTTCCCTCTTGAAGGCTGACTCTTAGAGATTCAAAACGCCTTTCCTCTGATGCATGTGCACTGGACATTTTTCAAGAGTATCTGAAACCGGCTGAACTGGCTGAAATAGCTCCAGTATTAAAAGATTGTCAAGGAGTATTAGCGAATTATTCAGTCCTCAGATGCTGCAATACTCTCAAACAGAAAACTGGTTCATAAAGTTGGACTATTAGCACTGAGAGCTGCTTTAACACAGCTCAGCTCTTCTGTTGGAGTCATAATGTTCATGTTTCTGCAACCTCAGCCGTGTAAAGTGTTGATAAGACAGAATTTGATGGTTGATTTAATTGAAAATAGTGCAAGGGAGACCTGACCAAGAATGGCAGCGATACAGAGTTACAACAAACAGTCACACAGACTCAATACAGAATAAAAATGTGAGGAAACATCAGTTAAAACAGCGACACTCTGAGAGTTTGTCCTCCAGCCTTTTAACTGCAGATTTAAAAAAAGTCAAAGACGCCGAGTTTGGCAGCTTAAATTCAGTCTGCAGATTATTCCACACAGAGAACCTGAAGTTCGGACTCTGGGGACAAACTAATCAAACTAAATATCAATAAGGACATCACCCAACCAGTTACTTTATTCTGCAGCAGTGACTGGATATGAAAACAGCCCTCCAGAGAGAAAGAGTAAAGAGTTTTAGTAAAATGTCATCATAGTAAAAATGCAAATAATTTGAGAATCAGAGGAAAACAAAAAGGAAAAAGCCAAAAACCAGCCCTAGATGGCCCTCATGTCTCTGACTCTGAGGTGGGAATCACTGCATGAGTTCATAGTCACTTAAACTGAAACTATATGAACGAGATACAGAAATGCGAGCAACTTTTCAGGGTCTGAAACCGTTCAAGATGGACTGAGACAAAGTGAAAAACTAATCTGAGGTCTGACAGTTCTCCTTTTAAAAAGAAGAGGGACCATCTGACATAATACTAGGGCAAAATTGAATGTAGGAGTTTAGCAAAATTTCTTCTTCCAAACGATGGTAAAAGTCCGTTAATCCTGAAATCTCACTCCCAGAATTTCTCATTAATCTACGAGGACTAAGTTGAGTTTAAGAATCCACCTTTCCACTTAAAACTGTTGGTGATGCTTTGAAGGTGTCTGTCTCCTCCCCTCCCCCCCAAACCTCCTTTTCTGACCTGTGACTCTCGGCCCAAACCAGACGTGTACTTCATCACCACGGTATCGTTCCTGTGGAAGGTGACCGTCATCACGTTGGTGAGCTGTCTGCCGCTTTACATCCTCAAGTACCTCCGCAGACGCTTCTCCCCGCCGAGCTACTCCAAGCTGACCTCTTAAAGACTCGAGACGAGCCTCCGGTCTCCTTTCTTCTTCTTCTTCTTCTTTTTGACAAACAGAGGGACGTCTGTCTTCATCGAGCAGAGCCTGCGCTTGTACCAGAGAATCAAACACGGATTTCTCCCCTTTAATTTATCGGACTTTGACACGTGAAGGACAGTTTTGTCTGGGACGGATTGTGTACTGAGAGTTAAAAAAAGCACTTTAACTTGATGTTGATGTTTGATGCAAAGACTAACTGACGATTTCTGATTAGGTGGAGAACAACTGCAGTGAACTGACGAATGAATTAGACGCTCTGACTTCTTATTGATAAATGTGCAGCGTTGTCAAATGTGGCACCGAATCGGCTCAGTGTATAAAATGCAGGTCAAGTTTGTGTTTGTGAGTGGAACAGCTGGTCAGCTCTGTATGTGTGTCATTCGGGATGGAAAAGTCACATTTTTAGTCTCATCTTAAATCTGTTTTTATTGTCCGACGCTGAATTTGACGTAGCGTTCTCACTCAGGAGTTGATTCAGACGCTCCTTAAACAGTGAGGCTGAGGAACACACGGTTAAAAAACAAAAGTTTACAGGCTAGACTTTGCATAAAACACACGTCTGCAAGTTTGTGTATTTGTTTGTGCGTCAGCGCAATGTGACGGTCCGGCACGGCACGGCACGGCGGAGGTGGTGCGGTTGTTTATTTTAGCATGACCCGTGATGTCTGATGTTAAATCTGTCTTACTCTCTTTGTAACGGACCCTGACTTGTTAGTGTTTGTGGAGCGCGGTCAAAACAGCCACGAAGGAGCGCCGGTTATTTGTAGCTGAGAAACCTTCAGCCGGGGGCTCCGTCCTGGCTGTGCAGTCCACAGGAGGATTTGCAGCCTCTCATGTGGCTGCTCGGCGGGCCGACACCGGCCACTCCTAGCATTGCATGATGACTCACTGTAACAGTGACCTAAAGCCATAACTGAAAATATCCCACTGACCAGAGTCCTGCTACTGCCCCCTCTTTTCTCCTTCTACTCCCACTAACCTCCACAGCTCGTCTGCAAAAGAAAAAGGGATCAAACCACCTCTGCTTCGTCTAATACAATGTGAATATTGTTAAGAAGTATTACTAAAACTGCACACTGAGAAAAAAACAAGACACTACACTCCTCATACTTCATTTCACCAGCGGTTTGGTGATGAAGACACTGTAAATAATCGGCAACTAACAGAGGAACACGATCGCAGTCACGTATTTCGAGGAATAATTTCAGTCATTTTTCTCTCACGCGACTTGAATCACGATGTGTCAAACAGAGCGACCAGGGTGCCATAAAAGTAATCATTTTTTAAACGGAGAGTAAAATCCAAACTGAATTCAGCAAGCGGTTTGCACAGAATTTTGTTTTGTACAACTGATTATTTATATTTTTATGTTGTAATAGAGTTAAAATGATGCTAAAATGGTTCGGTTGCTTGTAAATAACCAGTATTTTTAATTTATTAACATGTTTTATTTATGGTGTTAATCACACTCGATTCAGCAGAAACAAAAAGGGAAGGTCTGCGTTGATGTCAATGTTGTGATGATGATGATTAATAAACCTCATTTTCTTTACTTCTTTTTTTCTTCATGTTTATGTGCAAACACTGGAATACTGGTGCTGATATTCCTAAACTTCTTATCGTCAAAGAAGTTTAGGAAAAGACTTGTCCGCCCAGAACTAATGGGAACAAAAGCCAGAGGTGGGGGCTTGACGACTCGACTCGAGACTCGACTTGGACTTGAATCCTGTTTTTGACTTGCTTCAAGAAATGACTTGGACTCGCTTGGGACTTGATTGCTAAAGACTTGAGACTTGACTTGAGCCCAGTGACTTGAAAAGTCAAGTCTTTTCAAGTCACTTAATACCTTACAGCAAGCCCAAACTGTTTAAAAAGTGTCGCATCAACTAATAGTCAGGAATTACGGCCGTTGGTAACACTGTGTTGTGTTGCCAAGTCTGCTTATTTCCCGCAAAAAAAATCGCTTGTTTTTGGAGGTCTGTTTCCTTATTTCTCTCACAAAGCTTGGCAACACTGTCTCAAAAAGTATTTCTAGTATTGCCCGCCTGTTTCCACGTGTTGCCTTGTGTCTCTCTTTTGTTTTGTTTTGGAACAGTGAATTAGAGAATCAGTTTAATGTTTAATTGTATTTGAGTTTTCCTTATTTTTGTGCACATTATCTAAGTTTCCAATTATTGAAGTTTATCTGATTATTTTTTTTATGACATGCAAATAGTGAAAAATGCTCATGATTTATGTAAATCTTTGGTATGACTTGTTTTTGACTTGAAAGAAACGGTAAGGACTTGGTTGGGACTCGAAGTAAAATTCCTAGGACTTGGTTGGGACTCAAAACAAAAAGTTCAGGACTTGACTTGGGACTTGTCTGAGTTGACTCGGACTTGAGAGCAAAGACTTGAGACTCGACTTGGACTAGCAACATAGGGACTTTCCCCCACCTCTGACAAAAGTCCACAAAAACTGGACTCTAGGGGTCAAAACAAACATTTAATCTGAAGAAATTAGTGCATTTGTTGGAGACTGTTTTATATTATTATTTTGTACAGGAGGGTGTTTTTGGGATTCACTCCAGATGAGCCTTTGTGTAAAGAGCAGCAGCTTATTGATGAGCTGAAATAGTTTGTCAAAGAGAACAATGGGCTGAGAGGAAATTGCTGTCTCAGCCTTCAGATACACACAATATCCATCAGGAAGATCAGGTTTATACTGGTACCTGTTTGTTTCATGTGAATGGAGTATTATTTCCAGATTGTTCTATAACTCAAACCCAACAGCAGCTCCCAGAGGACTATAGCCTCTGTACATGCGGCGCACTTAAACCACTTGGCCAATGCCAACCTTTATCGTTCTTATTTTAATAACTGAATCACTTTGTTTCCTAAAATAAATAAAATACTCTTTGTAAAATAAATAAAAAACACATCAACACAACAAAATATTAAATAAAAAAGTAAGTCTGGACTCTGCAGCAGAACATCAAATGCTAGTCTGAGTAGGCCTGTCTGAAATAATGAGTTTTGAGATCACTATGTTTCGGTTTTAATTGAAACGGGTTATTTTTGTGTATGAAACAGATGTAGCCTCAGTGGTGTGGAAATTCTGACTCCATCCAACTTTCAGTCTATAAACGAGTAAAGAAGTCTTCTAATTCATAACTATATTGCCCCCAACTTTAATTTAACTTTTTACCCACTATTAAGCAGATTTATGTGAACGGTAAGTCTTAATATCTTCGAAACCTCCTAATTTTAAAGTGAAAATGCATTTTTAAATGAGTGTTAATGGGGATTCTGTGTTTTTTGTAGCCAGCCCCAAGTGGACAGTTGAAGAACTGCAGTTTTTAGCACTTTTGCAATTGCCTCATTTTCCACAGCTTGTTTGAAAGCCTATGAAGCTTTAATGACGTACAGTGCTCAGCATAAATTAGCACACCCCTTCAGAGTTGTCAGAAAACCTTTAGTTTCCTTTGAAAATCAATATTTTCTGTGTCAGATAAAACAACAAAATACTCCTCCAAATGTAGACCGTTGATTGTGAACAAGATTTTTTAAGTTGAATACAAAAACACATTTTTTCTCGATCTAAAATCAGGATATAATAATGAGTACACCCCAATCAAAGTTCTTGGAGCAACGCTAAATCTTAGTTACCATATCACCCTTATTTTCATCTTATGGTAAATAAAATGTTTATGTTAAACTCAGCTTTGTCAAAACTTTGGAAATTATACTTTTGCTCATCCAGATATTGAGTGATACATTACTTTTATTATTGGGTGTACTGGCTTATCTAGGGCACTGTATATCAACTACTATAATGATCTTGTGTTGCCATAAATAGAAATTTACTGTTAGTTTTGATTAACATGACAGGAGACTGTGACTCTTAGAGTTTTTTAGAAATCTTTTATAAGGAATAAGTTCTTATTTTCTCTTTGTTTAGAACTTTATTTTCATGTTGAGTTCTTCCACATTGAATAGTTTGTCGGGTAAAGATTAGAGAGCCAATAAAACAACAAAAGAAAACCATTTCTACAATATAAATATGTGATAATGGCATTTTGCAATGATCCTAAAGACTTCGACGACATTTGAGGTTTTATGAATCAAAATTGTGACATAAAGCCGCAGAAAGTAATAATGGAGCTTAATGTGGTTTAATGACCCACTCATGAACTATAAAAGTGAAACCAGTCGGGCTTAATGTGGTCTTTGAAGGCCTGGTGGGCAGAATGGAATTAAAACTGAGGGTATCCCAAACTGTTGCCCAAGACGAGAATAGTAAGAACGAAAAAAAGGAGATTTTTTTTGTGAATCAAACAAAACAGTAACTCTTTCCTTTTCCCAGGGCATCCCTCGTACATGGAAACTGAATCTGGACTGCATCTTTTCCTCCACGATTTGCATGTAGAAACAATTATGGTTATTCTGGTTGTGTTTCACGTCAGTGCCGTTTGTGATGAGGTGTGAGTTACACAGGACAAACTGTACAGGCAGAAGAGGAGGAGGAGGAGGAGGAGGAGCCGGGTGTTTGGCACTCTTTCACCAGAGGAGGGAGTCCCTGATGTCTGGAGAGGTGCTGCTGCTGCTGAGTGAGTCTCAGGTAATCCACAAAGCCAAACTTAAACATCTGATATAACAAAACATAACAGTTTAACTCTTAGGATAACATATTATAAAGTCCACTCTTGATTTGAGGTGAAGTTTTAAGAAGGAACTTCATTAATTAATCATGTTGTTTACAAGTTATGGAAGTGTAGAAGCCGACATGCCCAGAGATGGTTTTATTTGGATTAAAGTCTCTGTCAGTAAATCTTTTCCCCCTTTTTCTCCAAGCATCTCCGTACTGCGTGTTCAAATTAAACAACACTGGATGCCCAACTTTTTTTCTTCTTGTTCCATCGCCCGCATGCGTAAGTTAAACCATTAAAAGAAAGCATTTAGGTTAATCAGTCCCATGAAAAGTGAAATTCCACTCCAGAATCAACAGAGCTTCCTGCTCGCCTCTACATTCGTGGTCTTTCCTCTTTTCCTCCGGTCATTAAGACCGGCTACGGAGGCCCCCCGCTGGTCCTCTGCCAAATCCACAATCCAATCAAAGTCAGGGTTTATTTTGAAATTTACTTTGCATTTTACAAGGTTAGGATTTTTAGCCTTTAAAAAAGAGGTCGCTTACAACTGTTGCGCAACGAATCCGGGCTAATTACCACAAGGTCGGTGCATTTTTATCTTTGGCACTTAGAGACTGGAATTTGTTTCCAGCTTGGAAACATCGTACACGCTGCTCCCAGTGGAACAAGACGAAAAAAAGAGAAAGAGACAGCGGGGAGAGAGAGAGAGAGAGGGAGACTTCGAGGAGTGTGCTACAGAGTACACCACAAGCTGTCACAAGGTCCCGACTGGAGCGGTTAATACAAATGATAGCATGGAACCATGTGGGACGCAGATCCAACCTTCGGGCCAAGAGCGACCACATCAGCAAGGTCGCTGAACCTTCGCCAGTTTCCTGCCGAGAGCGCTGAACTGCAGCTTCTAGGTCACATGTGATTGGTTTGAGGCCTACTGAACAGAGGCGGTAGAAGTATACAGATTATTCCAGGTGAAACAGAGAGAGAACTAAGCTGAATCCTTCACAGCTGTGAGTGGAAAAAAACAGACTCAGAAATGAAGTTTATGTGAGACTTTGAGGTTCAAACGCTCGACCTTTAAGACGTTACGTTAAATTTGACAAACATTGGCTCCATAGTGCAGATTGGACAGATCATTACATCCTGAACTGGCCTTGGCGTTGTTGAAAATGTTGAGTACTTTACTTTTATTGAGCTGGAAAATGTTAACGACACTTCGATATTGATCCTGGTCCCGGTTTCCTTCATACATTGTTTATTTTTACATTTTTGTTTTGTCAGGTCTGTCGGCGTCATTGACCTGTTAGAAAACGTCAGAGATCAACATGGTTTAAACTCAACAAAAATCTAATTGTAGGCACACTCAGTAGATAAAAAAAGACTTATTTCCCCTGATAAGTTAGAGTTACCTCGGAAGTCAGAAGTCCGAGCTGAAAATGACGTCACACCCGAGTTAGCAGCGTTTTAGTTACCAAGTCAGAAAAAAGCAAAATTGGAGGCCTGAAACAAGATGGCTACATCTTCAAAATATGTCAGAATATAAGGATATCATAACAACAACCAGCATCGGCAAAAGGAGAAAGAATTACATACAAATAAATTAAGTCGATTTTTACGTTTATGTAGGCTAATTCCTGGAGTGTTAGCGAAAATGTATTTGCTTTTGTTACTTTTGTTTTCATCGTTGTGCGTCGCTTACCTCACATGGACTGTTTACAACCATGGATGGAGAAACAGCTTTCCCGGGTGAAGCCAAAACCTAGAGCTCCCCCTGGTGACAGCCTGCTGTAAAGGTCATGAGCTGCGTTCGAGTTTCCTCTGAAGTCAGATGTCGGAGCTGAAAATGACGTCACATCTGAGTTACCAAGTCTGAAAAAAGCTAAATCGGAGGCCTAAAACAAGATGGCTACATCTACGAAATATGTCGGAAAATAAGGCAAGCGCTAAAGTAACTTTCGTAGATGTAGCCATCTTGTTTTAGGCCTTGCCTTATTTTCCGACATATTTCGTAGATGTAGCCATCTTGTTTTAGGCCTCCGGTTTTGCTTTTTTCAGACTTGGTAACTCAGATGTGATGTCATTTTCATCTCCGACATGTGACTTCCAAGGTAACTCAAACGCAGCTCATGACCTTTACAGCAGGCTGTCACCAGGGGGAGCTCTAGGTTTGGGCTTCACTCGGGAAAGCTGTTACTCCATCCATGGTTGTAAACAGTCCATGTGAGGTAAGGGACGCACAACGATGAAAAATAAACATAACAACGTAACGTAAAAATCGGCTTAATTTATTTGTACGAAATTCTTTCTCCTTTTGCCGATGCTGCTTGTTTTCATGATATCTTAAATCTGTCACCATAGAAGCACCAAACTGTTTAAAATAACAGAAACCTTCGTCGGACGATTTGGAGCGACACCAATTGATGAAGAGTCGACGGATTATTTACTACACATTGTTTCTGCGCTGTGTAAACATGAGATTTTGGCAGTGACAGACCGCTCAGAGAGATATTGCAGGGCATGTACACACACACACACACACACAAACACACACACAAACACACCCTCTTCTGGCACTATTTATAGCTGTTAGGGTCTGGAATGCTTTGATTTGTCTTAGCACCCATGGCTGTTAAAGAAGAGCTGCAGATGTGTTTCCCTGCCCTCTCTAATGACACCGCCTAATGCCTCCCTAAACAAGCCAACCACCCGCCCACATAAGTCCAACACACTCTGGATTAAATGTATTCTGTTCGCTGATAAAACAAGCGATTAATAAGGATTGCTGAGGCAGTTGAATTCATGGATCTGCTTTGCTTTGACGACCTAATATTGACTTATTTTATCAATAACGTGCCGATAAATACAGAGAGGTTATGAAATACTGGACGGAATTGGAAACCTGGACAAGACAGAAATAGTGTAGACCAGCAGGGGGGTTGATATTGTTTCATGGGATTTCATAATGCTGCGCTCAAAAGGGAAAAATCCATGAGCTAGTTTGCCACTTTTCCACTGGACTTAAGATGCTCGAGTTCTCTCTACAAACATCCGAGTATCGATCAGAATCCTGTTACATAATGAGGCGGTTTTTCAGCCGCTTGTAGATGTATACAGTTTCCATGTTGATGGAACGTATTAGTTCATTCATACAACTCGGAAAAAGAGGGGAAATGTTTTCCAGGGATCTCAAGTTGTGGCAGGAAGGAAATAAGATTCCTTATTGCACAATGACATGCCAGCACTGCACCCAGACTGAAATCCTGTCAGTAGTGGTCTGAACGCTCGCAGTGCTGCACGTCTCACAGCTAGAGAAGAAAAAAGATGATTATCAAACAAAATCTGATTTTTCGATGCTGCTTTTTTAATAAATTATGAGCCATGACCTCTTTTAAACTCATATTGAAGTCCTCTTTTACTCCCAAATGTCTGATTGTTGAAATATGTCCTGTGAGGAATTTTAGGTAGTTATGAAACCAACTTGAAATGAACAGTGACGTCCCTTTAGGGCCTTAAAAAGCAAACAAGACAATGCAGCTTTGTTTAACAGCTGCAAAACGGCATGGTGTCAGGTGAGGCAATAACAGCACAGAGATAGAAAACCTCTGATTTTTACTTTTTCACATCAAATACCAACAATGAGTGATAAATCTGACTGTACAGAAACCAGGATGATTAAAAAATGTTAAAAACATGTAAAGAAAGTGGATAAAAGATCTCAGTTTGTCTACACAGGGCACCGAAATGAACTCTAATCAAGGGTTAAAGTCAAAATGTGAAAATGATGTCAAAGTTAGGTGTAGAATAGGTTATATAAGATTAAATTAGACTGTTTCATGCTCTCCAATGGGGACAATTCTTTTTGAAAATATGTTATTTCAATCTTATTTGTCGTATTTTTGTCTTTGGATAGAGTAGAAAGTGGAAACCTGGCTGTCTGCTTTGAGGGTCAAGACCTCTGAGCATGGGGGCCATGACTGATTCACTCAGTTTCTTATTTGAGGAAATTAAGAAATGTGTTTTTCTATCTTAGCTAGCTTTAGCATGATAGTGTAGATTGTAGGTTAAGACAAAACTACTTCTCTCAGTCGTCTAGTTCAACTGCTATGATTATAGTGAAGAAAGAAACTGTAAAACTCAGATGAGCAAAGGCAAAGATATCAGATATTTACGAATGTTAAAATTAGCCTCAGAGGTAGGGCTGGCCAATAAACCGAAAATTTACAGAAACCGATATCTACGACAATAACCGTATCATTTTGCATGTATTGGTATATTCAGTGTCAGAAAAATTAAAGTTTGTTTTGGATGTGTGAAGGTAGGCTATGGTCTCATGTCCCTTTAAGATGCCGGAGCGGCGGCTGAAGTAGACGAAGTTAATGTGGGAGGGGGTGAGCAGCTTGTGGAGTAGTTATCGTCCATTTATCGTTATCAAGATGACCTGCTCAATATGTCGTGGTATTGATTTTAGGCCATATCGCCCAGCCCTATGATCGCCTCTTCAAATTGAACAGTTGGATTTACTGATTTTTTCTAAAATCCACTCCTTTCGTGAGAGCGACAAACTGTGTTTATTCTTGAGACATTCAAAATTTACTGATACCGAAATTTACGACAATAACCGATGTCATTTTGCCCGTATTGGTATATTCGGTGTCAGAAAAACTAAAGTTTGTTTTGGATGTGTGAAGGTAGGCTAGGTCTCATGTCCCTTTAAGATGCCGGAGCAGCGGCTGAAGTAGACGAAGTTAATGTGGGAGGGGGTGAGCAGCTTGTGGAGTAGTTATCGTCCATTTATCATTATCGAGGTGAACTGATCAATATATTGTGATACTGATTTGAGGCCATATCGCCCAGCCCTACTCTGAGGGACAAAAACTTTCAAACACCGGGTTGTGAAGACGTTTAAACCTGCTTTTGAATATGCAAATATTAAATTAACTCGCTTTTAGAGCAAGCTTCTAGTGGCCACTTGAGGAATTGCAGTTTTCTGACCTATTACCAGCATTTTTCAGCCTGGCATAGTTGTACTAAGATTTCAACCCAGTTAGAGAAAGAATTCAACAATCTGTCCTGCTATTCCTAAATAAACAAGAAGCCAAAATTTAAAGTTCCTGTGAGATACTTTTGGTTTGAAGGCATGAATACGAATTTCAGTCTATCTTATAAATCTCACAGGAGCTTTAACCACTTAGAGAATCAGCGGTTTAATGATAACAAACCTTATCAGAGTGAATCAAAGCAGGTCATGTATCAGAAAACAGATCTAATGACCTACATGGAGGCAAAAGTCCATGCCTCCCTCTGCCCCCTGAATTTCCTCTCAAAGTTTTCCATGAGACACGACTCAATTAACCATTTCCATATTGAGGTTCCACTGCTCGGGTTTAAAAGCTCAACCACACATGTTACACTTGGAAAACTCAAACAGGGCAATGCTCTAACCCAGACAACTCTACCTCAATGAGCTGTTTTTACAGTGATGGAAAATACTGCATGAACTCGGAAAAAGTGGGCTCTCCGTGGAGAGAAAAAAAAAAAGAGAGACGGAAGTGCAAAGTCGGCCGTCTGGACACAGGCGGGTTTTCCTTTCTTAAGCGTGTGCCGTATTCATTTACTCATTCATAATTTGAGTTGCATAAGAGTTCCGTAACAGCGGAGGAATTTACTTCTGGACAACGAGGCTGCTGCTGCTGGACGGTAACCCCTAAAAAAAGAGAGGGCTCTCTGGTCACCGCGGCAGAACAAACCGGGATCCCCTCACTCAGGGCTAATCCATGTCTCAATCCAAAACAGATCCTCTGATTACCCCCCCAACCCCCTTTCCTTCCTCTAGTACACACATTTTCCTATGAATGGCCTTGAGTCTGACATGTCTGATGTAAGCACCGAGCAGTCGCTGAGGCCATGCAGACAGCCCAGAACATGAAATATGGTGAAGATGTCAAACTCAAGGCTGACGGATTATTGAGTTTTATCGTTTCATGACAGATAGCTGTAAGGTGTGTGCTGCTGCCATGCCGCTCAGAGTCGTCTCTGTAAATTCTTGGTGATATTTCCTTTTTTTTTTTTCAGCTAACAAAAACATTGAGCAACAATTTTAGAACATTTTATAGACACAAAACTTCACCACCGGTAAACTGTTTAGTCATGGCAGCCACAACAACTACACAGACAGCACCGCAGTCTATGTTTAAACTCAGAAAAATGAACATTCAGGCATTTTTTCTCGTTTTCTGTTACATAATCAGGAGCTTTAAACGGCTGATCTTATATTTAGTCTGACTGCATTAACTCTCTTATAAATCAATCCGTCTGTTATATTATTTACACAGAACCAACACCAAGACACGATAAGATCTAGTCCCATGGAACAGAAAAGACTCAAAGCCTTATCTCATCTTAATCCACCATGAGCAGAGCGCTTTTCGGCGTTTAACTGCAATAACTGGCGAGACAAAACCTCCTTTGAGAGTCTGCCCACTGTGTCTGTGAATCTGGATTCAGTAGGACATTTAATGTGCATGAAAATATCTTCATTTGCACTTTGGATAAAGTCCAACATAGTGTGAGGATGCATGGTTAGGAACGAGCGCCAGCAGATTAGATAATACGTGGAATCTAAAAAAAACTATTTTAAAATGATTTTAACGTGTTCTGCCTCTAAAAAGACAAATAACTGATCATGGTTTAGGATTTTGGGGTGGCCGCAAGATTAATCATATTCCTCTAGAGGGCATGGCCACCCCTGTCCGCTCCCTAGATGCGACCCTGCTCAGCCGGCCTTTTCTCTTCAGCTCACAAAACGATGTTTCCTTCTCAGGTCTTAAAAATGACTTTAAAAGCTTTTAATTATATAAAGTGGGCAGTAACCACAAAGCGAGGAATCAGTGAGTTGTGTTTGTTTGTTTGACACATACTCATTTCTGAATATGTGGATGTTTCCTTTCTTGCTCTTGTTTGGAGGTTATTGACGATGTTACGGCTAACAGCATATCAGCTCATTAATTTATTGATTTATTATCATTATTTGACTCTTACTCTGTCGTGTCTCTGATCTAGTTGTGTCCCGCTCTCTATATTGAGGATTTTTGTTTTGGTTTTATTGCCCATCTGTGTTTATATACACCTGTTTTTGCTGCTTATTTATTACCTTTACCTCCCGAGTCAAACCACAAGGTTATTTTTTGTGTTTGAACTTTGCCAGTTAAAATAGACTCCACATTCGGGCGTTTTATCCCCCATTTGGGATCAATTCAAAGGGGGTTATGGTTGCGCTAAATCCAAACATACTCCTGTGTGTATTTTCACTTTTTCACTCTTTATTTTGGAGTCTTTACCATAAGCGTGGCGCTGCATTGAAAGCACCTGAGCGGGCACGAGTCCATGGCGCTGTAACAGTAATGTATAGTTTAGCTTGGCTCTTACAGATGGTTTATTTTACAGCTTCCTCCGCTGGCAAAGCCTGAAAATGTTCATGTTATAACAGCTTGACGTGAACGTTTTCAACCACCTGCTTTAGGCGAACACATTCAGATTTAGTTTCGAGCTTCTGTGTGGCTCCAAACACCTGAAAACACCTCAACTTCACCGTCTTTGTTGTTGGAGGTTTCAGATCATATTGTGCGAAATGGGTGACGAGTTTTGACACCTGGACTCTTCTACTACTGAGCCGTGCTGTTGTAATACATGCAGGATGTGGTTTGGCTTTGTCATCATGGATTAGTCGAGTCTTGGGATGATGGCGCCATATGTTGTTTCAAAGCCTGTATATATCTGTCAGTGTTAAAGGGATATTCCGGCATTAAATTAAGTTAGGGTCAAACATACCGTAACACCGAGTTAGACACCCCCTAGAGAGATGAATGTTACTGATCGCTTGCTTCTCTAGTTAAACCAACTTTAGTAACGACCGCACGATAGCAACACAGAGAGCCACGCACTCAACCAAAACGCCACTAGATAGCCACAAATAATGCTCAGAACAGCACCTAACTTCATCAACAGGACATACAGGGTCACAGACATAGTACTAGACACCAAACATCTTTTTAACTTTGACTAATTTCTTTAACAAAGAGACTAAACACAACGCACCTACTCTTTTCCAGCAGCCGCTTGTTTGTAGCGAGACCTCAACCAGTCCATTATAGACTTCAGCTCAAGGAAGAACATTTATGATCATTTCCAAGGAATTTCTTCATGGAAATGATCATAAATGTTCTTCCTTGAGCTGCGTCACCCCGCTGTAGTTCGTAATGGACTTGTCCGAGGTCTCTGTATGAACAAACAGCTGCTGGAAGAGAGTAGGTGAGTTGTGTTTAGTCTCTTTGCTAAAGAAATGAGTCAAAGTTAAAAAGATGTTTGGTGTCTAGTACTATGTCTGTGACCCTATATGTCCTGTTGATGAAGTTAGGTGCTGTTCTGAGCATTATTTGTGGCTATAGAGTGGCGTTTTGGTGTAGCATGTCTCTGTATGTATAGCACATTTGCTTCCTTTTAATCTGTGACCTTATATTTCTGGATCATGTTTATATCTGATTTCCTCTGTTTTGACCCACATTTGTGAATCTTTGAGGTGATTATGAGCCAATGCTGTGATTTCCACAGCAGAGTCATGCCTGAGTCATCCTTTCTTTTTCACTCTCAATCTTTTCATGATACTATGAGTAAAAAAAAACTGTTTTATCCTTTATTTGCTCACACTGTCTCTCTCTTAAATAGTTTCCCATCCATCAAGTTCAGTTTCCTACTTCACTCTTTAAATCTAGGTCACACTCGTGATGGCACACTTTACAAACTTTTACAAACTACACGGTCGTCGGCTGTCTCCTGGGCTTCCTGATGAACCTGTCTTGTGGTTGCATGATTCGAAGAGCTGTAATTTTACACTCATAATCGGTCGAGAAAAGGGAACCTCGACAGACGAGTGCTATTAATACACATGACGGCACATAAACTGAGACATGACTCAGACTCTGTGTATAAGATTAACTCCTGGATTGTTTGCCAACACTGCAGTGAGGTCTGTTTTGGATTTGGAGTAGTATGAGACAGTTCATCAGATATGCTGCAGGCTAATATCATCATCATCATCTTCATCATCTCTGTTACACAATAGACACTCTTTCTTCTGAGTTATTTCAGACAGGTTCAGGTTTGATTCCCCCTCAGTTTGAAGTTTTTATGTTTCGGAGAGGTGGAAATGAAAAAGTGAGTCTATATTTTTGGCATCCAAAACATCCATACTTTTTTCCCCTTAGATGCTTCCTTATGTAACTTATATTGCAATGGAGAATGTGTCTGGGGTCAGTCTGTGTCTTGTTCATCCTCTTTTTCCACTCGACTATCAGAATATGCAGCACATTTCCATTAGGACATGGAAATATCAGATACTTGCCTCTCCGCTCAATGGAAACAATGGAATTCTCTATATTCCATGTTCAAAACCGAACTTGGAGTTGTAAACATTTAAAAGGCAGATTTATTCTCACATTATAGGAGTAAAAGTTGAACTCTTCCACAGTGGAGTAAAGTGTGTTAAATAAATTTCATGTCGAGTATATCCTGTAATCAAACTTCAACTCTTTTTTTCCCTCTCTTTCTCTCTCCCTCAGCGTCCTACAGTAATTTCTTCATCCCCACAATGAAGTTCTTGTGTGCTACTGTCTGAGAGAAGCCGCAGAAATGCCTTGGCGCAGGACTCGGAGACGTCATGGATTCCTGAGTGTGGGGCTTTGCAGGAAAGCCCTGAGTCTCCGACATGGATCGGCTCCAGGTTTCCATGGCAAAGGCGCATAAACAGGAGGAAACACTGAGGGAATCCCGTTATTTTACAGCATTGGACCATTATAAACACCCAGAGCGGGGAAGGAAGCCGCTCTTGATACTCAAGTAATCCTTATAGAGCTCTAGGAAGAGGGACTTCATAGCAGAACCGCTGCTGGAGCTGATGCGGCTGCATGTTTTTAGCCACAGAAACGGAGTTTGCGCGCAGCTGCCGTGTCGCAGCCTGAAGTTTTTCACCGTCTCCTCAGAGTTTTTTCTCTTATTCTGACATTTTTAAGTAAGGAGAGCTTCTTCTTCTTCTCCCTCCTCCATTATCGGACATATTTTTTTATTTTTCTCTATATTTTTTTCTTGCTTTTTTTCTTCTCCAGATGTTTCGAGAAGCTTGGAGGCTGGCACAGTACCACACCATGAGGTCCATGGATCAAGGTACTGCTGAAGTGTTGTGATTATCTGGTAATCAAAACATTTGATTTCTAACCGATTCAGTAGTTTCTTTTTAGTCAAAGTTTGAGTTTATGTGTCAGTAACTTTTCAGAGACAGTTTGGATGTTGATGTTTGGAGACAGACACCGTGAGGGGAGACCACCTGGATATCGAAAACCGATCTTAACACCTGATTATTCACGAACATGGGATAGAAACTGTGTGTATGAGATAAAAAGAGTTATTTTTAAACTGTGACATGATTTCAAACTAACGAGATGACATCAGGGAGTTACATAAGAGCACAAACCGAGAATTGACAGAGTTTGATTCAATATTCTGCTGCTACAAATGAGGTGTCGCCACATGTTAGTAATCGGCTCATGTCTCAATCATTTGGCTCATTAAATATTTAATGAGGTGCGCCGTGCGTATCGTGTCCGTCTCCAAAATAAACACCCAATAAACGAGCTAAATGTCAGCTTTAATACTTCCTCTGTTCTTACAGAGTCTAACTTTTGTCCTGAAATGTGTAATCATAAAAATCTGATGGTATTTTATTGGGTACATGATGTGCATGAATGCTGAGTGAGCATCCAGGCTGCTGGCTGAGTGGGTGGGAGGAACGCCCCGGGTCTGCTCTGCGTCGTGCGTAAATCTGGGGATTCCCTCAGGAGTCACGACCTGTGGAGTATTTTTGTGAACTGTCAAGCAGCGAAACAACACACATGGCCGCTCCAAGTAAAACAAACCGGGTTGACAAGTTGGAAAAGTGCGTTTTGGTTCCCCTTCTGTACACTCTGTCTGATCGCTCCAGACGCGTTTTTACGCAAAGGTGTTGTCAGTTGTTAAACAGGTTTACGAGCTCGGCCAGCACCCCGCTGTGTCACTGCAACGTGTCAGACACCCGGGGGCAGCACCAGGCTGCAGTCTGTCAAAAAAAGAGGCGCTACAATCTGTTCAAGCGGGGCAGTAATTCATCAACACCGAAGTGCGTTTCGCTTTTCTGTTTTTTCTAAATCTTCGGCGAGCAGCGGAGGCGTGATCGCACTCGCAGATAAACTCCTAAAGTCTGCGTTCAGAGCGAAAATAGACCCGCCTTCCTCTGAAAATAAACTGCGGCGAGCTCAAACAGGAAACTCGGGCGCTTCACCTCCTGCAGCTCACCGATGCATCACCTGACACCGAAGCAGCAGGTTCCCCAAATCCACATCAGCGCCGCAGCACCGGATCAGCGTCCTCCTCTCCGCTTCGCCTGAAAGATACGAACCGATTTCAGACAGATGACCTCTTTCTACGACGAGAAAGAGCTGCAGGAAGAGCTCAGCCGAGTCAGCTGCCCCGATGAGGATTTGGAGTTTGAGTACTTGTTTGAGTATGAGCCACCGTGCAGCGAGTTTGCAGGAGGGAATCAAGGTTTGTCCGGGGCGTTTTGGCGTGTTGGTTGACTCCTCTCTCTCTGTCTCTGAGTTACTCACAGGCTTGAAATAGATACCTGAGCTGCTGCTGCTGCTGCTGTTTATTTATGTGAATGAAAAGAGAAGCAGGAAGTAACTTTGACAGGCAGCTTGTTGAATGTTTAACATCAACATGAAGAGGACTGCTCGGCTGAAACTTACTGATTATTTTATCTCTTTTTCATACGTTTGTTCAGATTAATCATGAATTTCTTTGTTGATGCTGTTGTTGTTGATTTGGACTCCTCTCCTCTCCTGCAGATGATCCAAACCTCGCATCTCAAAAGGTCCTCAGTCCTGAGTCTGAGCAGGCTTTCCCTCTTGAAGAAGCCTCCCCGTACGGCATCAAGTCCTGCAGCCCCTCCTACAGCGAGCACAACACCGAGGTTCTACCGGGGTATGAGAACCAGGAGGCCAGGAACTACCTGGACAGTACCCGGCCCGTAGGCTTGGCCCTGAGCCCGCGTATCGAGATCACCCCCTCCCGTGAGCACTACAACCATGGTCGGGACTCCCTGCAGAACCACCACCTGAACATCAGCCCCAGACCCACCCTCACCGTCCCCGGGCATGACAGCCTCTCCTACCGTGAGCCGCAGTGCCTGAGCCCCGCCAGCAGCAACTCCTCCACCAGCTGGCACTCCGAGAGCTACTCCCCCTGGGCGTCCCCCTGCGTGTCCCCCAGCAGCGGCCAGAACCCCGGCGACCTCTGCCCCCGACTCCAGAACATCCACACTGGCTCTCCTCGCACCTCCCCAGGCACCTCCCCTCGCACCAGCCTAACTGAGGACGGCTGCCTGGGACCCCGCTCGCCTTCCCCCAGACCTGGCTCCCGCTCCACCTCCCCGCAGGGCAAACGCACCTACGACATGTACAGGAACCCCGGCCTGATTCCCGGGCACCGCTCCCGCAGCCCCTCCCCCCACAGCGGCCATGAAGATCACAACATAGGAGCCCACTATCCACACAGCAGCCTCGCCGACGCCATGAACGGCTTTGGCAGCGGGCAGCCTGGCCTGGTGCCCACTAAAATAGTCAAGACCTCCAACCAGGTTTATACTCTGTACCCAGAGAACCACGTAGACGGAAACTACCTGGTGTCCTGCGACCAGGACATTAAAACCAAACCGGCTGCAGAGCCTTTCTTTGTAATCCCCCCTATCTGGTCCAAACCGCTGGTTTCCAGCATCTGCAGGTAAATCTGCTGGAGAACCCTCAACAAATAAAGTTCAGACCACAAACATTTCTCCATCTTTGCAGTGAAAAACAGACGTATTTACATCTTTATTTTCTGTGTCCTGCAGCATCCCCGTGGCCTCCCTCCCCCCACTGGAGTGGCCGATCCCCTGTCGCACAGACCAGTACGAACTCCGCATCGACGTCCAGCCGAAGCCACATCACAGAGCTCACTATGAGACGGAGGGGAGCAGAGGCGCCGTCAAAGCCCCCACAGGAGGACATCCTGTCATTCAGGTAAAACAGGATTAAGTTACATGAGCAGAGGGTCCGAGGAAACCACAGCTGAGGGGGGGATCAGAGGCTGTTCTGTGTCTGCGATCAGCATCAGAACAAACACAGGAACACATGGACAGGTGGAACACTGAAGTAGTTTTATACCAGCTCAGCTACATCTAAATCAGAGCTTCAATCCTCATCCACATTTATCAATCATCAATCAATCAATCAATCAATCTTTGTTTGTGTAGCACTTTCATGCACGACCATGTAAAACACCCAAATCTACCCCAGACCAACCCTTCATTCCCACTCCAGAAACAGTCTTACTGTGTGCACTGAGGAGACGTCATTTTAAAACTCAAGATAAAGAAACACTGAAGGTTTAAAATCTAAAAACAAAGAAACAGAGAATGAAATTTAAGAAATACAAACAACAGTAAAAGATACTAAAATAAGAGCAACAAAGTAGCTCAATAAAAGACGATCCTGTCAATAAAACTAGAAGAGATAAATGCTAAAACATTTAAATAAAGTTAATGATATAAAATGTAGTTATTTAGAAAATATGGACCCAAACAGACTTCTTTTTTTAACCTCATGAGTCCTGAAGTTCTGCTCCCTAAACATCTAATCTAACTCACGACCTATTGGGGATCACTGAAAACTCAAAAGTGTAAAACCTGAACTTGATCTTTGAACAGGAAGTTTTTCACTCAAATATGACGTCCTCTTATTCTCCGACTGTTTGAAACAAACTTAAAATAGAAAATAGAATTAGAAAACCATCAAACTGATCAACTTAATGCCCCTTAAGCAGTCGGACAGTCATCCAATCCAATCGGCTTTATTCATACAGCACATTTAAAAAAAAAAAAAACATTCAAGTTTACTAAAGTGCTGCACAATAAAGTTAAAAGAACAGACAATGTTGAAAACATCAAGATGAAATAAATAAAAGCAGGTAAAAAACATTTAAAATGAAATAAAAACACAAAAGCATAAAAGAAATTAAAATGATAAAAGGACAGAGATCACACAACTCTCATGGAATAAAAATGAGTTTTAAGACGTGATTTTAAAGTAGAAAGAGTGAAGGGATGTTTTGATCTTCAGTGGCAATTCGTTCCATAATTTGGGAGCCACAGCCGAAAGAGCTCGGTCACCAACATGTTTTAGGGACAACGAGTTGAAGCATTTAAGAGGTCAGTATTGTACTGTGGTGCTGATCCATTTAAAGATTTAAAAACAAACAATAAAATATTAAAATCAATTCTAAAATGGACGGGAAGCCAATGGAGGGACGCCAGAATTGAGGTGATGTGGTCATGTTTACGTTGACCTGTTAAAAGCAGCAGCATTTTGGATGAACTGTGAGCACGTGAGGGAAAGAGCGTTACAGTCGTCCAACCAAAGTGTGGAAATAAAAGCATGAATCACTCGTCAAAATCATTAAAAGATAAAACCGATTTAATCTTGGATAAAAACCTCAGATGATAAAAAACTGGATTTAACAATCGATTTAAAAAATCGATTTAAAATCGTCGTCAACCTTTATACCAAGATTTAAAACCAGGTTGGGAATCAGTTTGATAGATCATCAGTCAGTCAGGTAGAGCAGGAGTTTACAACCTTTTCCCACTTCTTCTACCAACCAATGAGGTGAGGACTCAGTCTCCAGGTAGGACATCTTTGAGGTAGAGAATCAGTCAGCCAAGTATGGTGTCTGTCTGTTTGCCAGGTAGTGGATCGAGCTGTCAAGTAGGATATCGGTCACTCTGTCGTAACTCAACCACTAGACCCCGATCACAGAGGCAGGGATTAGTCATCAGGTAGGGTATTAGTCAGGTAGAGAATCCAGCTGTTAGATCTGAATTACTCTGAATCATATCATAGTTGACCCCCTCGTACCCTGACAGAACCCTCCGAACTGAACTCTGATTGTCTGATTTTGCGTCTTTTTATAGTCTGCTGTTGTGCGTCGTCCCCCTGTTTTCTAACCACACTCGCACACACAGATCTATGTCGATGCTGTCTATAACTTCCTCTCACGTACTGCTTTTTGACCTGAAGTGTTGAAACAGTCAGACTTTGTAGAAACGTGTTAAAAAAAAAAAGGAAAGGTGCCTGTGGTTAAGATAATTGTGGACCAGGAAAGAAAAAGTCACAACTTTGCGTCCAAACGCAGCATGTTGAAATTAGCTGTGACACAGAAACGGCTGGCTACGCCGTCCAAGAATAGATCCAACTTCCCCTTCTCTGCGTTACTGTGGCAACGTTTCAAAGCTGTTTTTGTTGGTGATAGCAGCAGCGACTCGTTGGAAATAAAGTGTCTCTCGCTGCTTTTCCGTTTTCTCCCCCGATCCCAGAAAGCCTCACCCTGAGGTCAGTTCTGCCTGGTTTGCCCGGCCAATCAGATGGTCAGGCCTGGCTAGACACAACTGCACTCTTTCACCTCGTCTCTCTCTCTCTCTCTTCTTCTTCTTCTCCTCTTTTTTACTCAGTTTTTTTCCTCTTTCCCACTCTTTCTCCCTCTCTCGTTTTGAGTTTTCCAGCGCCGCTCTCAGTCATGACTCACTGCTCCTGTAACTGCCATGACAACCAGCCGAGCGCTCACATGGCCTGTTGAGTGTTTGCTGTCGGCGTGCTCTGTTTCACTCCACTCTGTGTGTGTGAGCTACCTGAGCATGTACTAGCACACTCATTCAAGTTCTGCTCACATTCAGCAGCTGCTTGTTGATCATTTCTGCGAGAAATACGAGAAATATAGTCGAGCAAACCTGCAGCTGGATGCACAAAAAGGAACCAGTCTGGAAAAAAAAAGCAGATACCTGTTTTGTAGTGTAGTGTAGTGTTTTGTGTTTTGTGTTTTTGCACAATGCAACAACCTCATGGTTCTATTTCAGGATAAAGGTTATGCAGCATTTCGATGCAAGCTGGTGCTTTGTGGTTTTTGCAGGTTTCCTCAGGAGGCACCCTCGGGTTAAAAGTAACAACTCTGTCTTTCCGCCGCCGTCTATCAGAGCATCTTCACCTTTTCACTTCTAAGACACGACACGACAAGTACCTGTGAGGGCAAGTTTCGCTGCGTGCTGGCCAAAAAAACTGGCTTTGTGAGCAGTGGCGGTTCTAGACTAAATTACTCCCCGGGCGAGCACCTCTCCGAGTGCCCCCCCCCCCCCACACACACACACACACACAAAAAGAGATAGAATTTTGAACAGATAGTTTTGTATTACTATGTAGTATTATTATTATTATAACAACAAAAATAAAATATTTTTCAATTGCAGAAATCCTTCAATAGAAAAAAACACAATTCTGAGGGCCATTTTGAGAAGGGCCCCCAGATCCTGAGCTTTTCTGACGTGTTAAGGTTTACAAAAAAGCTGCTATCTCGGCCTCTGTAGTAGATAGAAACAAAATTCAAAAGGTATTTGAGAGCTTAAACATGTGGCTTTCAAGAAAGCTCTCTTTTAATATTGCGAACCTTCATCACATTTTTGAAAACCTTGAACAAACAAACTCAAATGAAATAAAGCGGCTGTATAAATAAAAGTAAAGGCTCTGCACTGGAGAATGACAAATAATTTGCTTTCTGTAAAACAAGTGGCAGTCATGACAAAGTGTCCATTCAATACAAATGTAAATATAGAAAATAAGGTGTTGAAAGGGTATACAGCTGCCCCAGTATAGTGCCAGTACAAAAGCAGAACTAAAAACTAAAAAATGAATAAATAAATACGTGACTGACAGTGTGTTCATCTCTGTTCTCACCCAAAGTCACGCAACACTGAGAGAAAACGCTGATAGTGTGAGCCAAATCACTCCATATGAAGAGTTTGTTCACACTGCTGGATGTTTCTCCTCTGAAGCTGCTCTCTGCCTCAGTCATTGTTTACTTTACTCATGAAGCTCATCAAGCACGTAGCAAGATCCGAGCAAGAACCCGAGCGCTTTATTCGCCTATCAAAGGCAGACGGGTACGGTAATTTCATTCACCACGACTCCAGAAATGATTAAAAAACTACAAAATGACGTATCCGCGCTCCCGCTGATATGCTGACATGCGTACACAGAGCAGAGCTGTTCCCCCGCGACTCTCTCCCCGCCTCGTCTCCTACAGTCTGTCAGCCTCTGTGCAGCACCTTCGGAGCAAGCAGGGGCGCCTACAGCAGCGGGGGGGCGCCAATTTGACAACAAGAGTTAATACAAAACCGCTTTGCGGTTAAGATTTATTATTACTACCTTTTATTTTATTTTTTTGGAAGTGCTCGTGCCGCCCCCCCATGAGTCATGACACAAATGCCGCCCCGGGCGGCTGCCCTGTTCGCCCGTGCCTAGAACCGCTACTGTTTGTGAGTGTCGTAATGTTGTAAATCAAATCAGAGAAACACAAAAATCTGATATTTTTAACATGTATGTTCAGCAGAAAACAGACGGGTGATACAGCAGGCATTAAAGCTCCAGTAAGGAGTTTTTAGCAGGTAATAAAAGCCTAAAAAATTATTAATCCTTTATGTGCCCTTCAAAGCAAACACATGAAAAAAAATGCTGTCATATAAAAATAAAAATCTATGAGCTTACATTATCACCTAGGGCTGGGCGATAAACTGAAAATTTACAGATACCAATATTTATGACGATATACGACGTCATTTTGCCAATATCTGTATATTCAGTGTTAAAAAAATTGATAAATCAAAGTTTGTTTTGGATGTGTGTAGGTAGGTTATGGTCTCATGTCCCTTTAAGATGCTGTCCTACGTCAGAGACGTGACTCCACCCCATCCAGTCTGTAACAAAGAGGGAAAGACAGGTGAGGAGATGGAGGACGGTTCAAAAGTTGTAGCAGCTGAAGTAGATGAAGTTAATGTGGGAGGGGGTGAGCAGCTTGTGGAGTAGTTATTGTCCATTTATCGTTATCGAGGTGAACTGATCAATATATCGTGATATTGATTTGAGACCATATCGCTCAGCCCTATTATCACCTCTTCAACTTGAACTAACTTTGTCTAAAATCCACTCGCTTCGTGAGAGTGACTAACTGTGTGTATTCATGAGACATTTAGGGACTTTTGAACTCCACAGAGAAGATGAGTGTACTTTGAAAGTCCGTTCAGATCCAATCCCTTAAAAAAAACAAGTATTTTTATGATGATCAGTGTTTTAATTCTGGTGAAATAGAGAGATCTCTGCTGTTAGCTGTCTGTGCCAATGAAAGGCTAAGATAAAACATACAGGGAATAGATGTTTGGCACTTTCAAACATCATGAGGAAACTCTAAAAAATATCTTTGTCAACTCCAAAAAGTTCATAAAAAGTCTCGAGTTTGATTTTAAAAAGTGCTTCACAAAGAGGTTCTGATATGTTCTTGTTCTGTTTTAATCTGCGTCTCTAAGTTAAAGTCATCAGGACTCGTCTAAATCCTCCCTGCAGAGTTCAGAGATCTAGTTTTTGGCTCAAGGAGGTGATCCCTCTGTTGGTTTCTATCCCAGGCTCCAGAGGTAGGGCTCACGTGGGTGCGTTTACACGTGGGTGTGACAGTGATTAGCCCCATCTTGGGGAAACAACATCTGGAAATGCAGAGTTTCGAACAAACCCAGACAGTTTGGGATGACTCAGACATTTCCTTTAATTTCTGTTTCTGTTTTAACGCTCTGTTGTTGATTTTTTTGTGTGTTGCAGTTACATGGCTACAGAGGCAAGGAGCCACTCGGCCTGCAGATCTTCATTGGCACAGCCGACGAACGCATCCTCAAACCGCACGCCTTCTACCAAGTCCACCGCATCACCGGGAAAACAGTCACGACCACGAGCTACGAGAAGATAATCCACGGCACCAAAGTCCTGGAGATCCCGTTGGAGCCGAAGAACAACATGAAAGCAATGTGAGAAACCAGAAGATGAGAGTTTTTGAAGATTTCACCTCGAATGATTCGCTAACGTGTTCGTCTCCTCTCGCAGAATCGACTGCGCCGGGATCCTGAAGCTCAGGAACGCCGACATCGAGCTCAGGAAGGGCGAGACGGACGTGGGTCGGAAAAACACGCGCGTCCGTCTCGTGTTTCGCGTGCACATACCCCAGCCCGGAGGACAGCACGTCTCCCTGCAAGTGGCCTCACATCCCATCGAGTGCTGTAAGCTCCTGAACATAAATCACTCTCACAGCATGATAAGCCTCTCGTTCTGTTTCACGTCTTTAAAAGTGAGACAGTGGTGTGTGTGTTTAATCCCCGTGTGTGTTTCCTGTTGAGGTCAAACTTTACACAAAACAAACATCGTAAAAAAAAAGGGAACCCGCATTCAAATGAGTTTGGAGCTGGTCTGATAGTCCAGAGTCCTGCGTACAAAGACACCTTTATGCTGCCAGGGCTTCTATCCAGTAGGTGGGCGCTGCCTGTTGGAGTGTGTGTGTGTCAGTGTGTGTCGGTGTGTGTACCTGTTTGTATGTGCCATGTAGTAAAACCCGTGTTTGGGTACATCAGTACATGTGTACACAGCGTTATTAAAGCACCTGGCGTGATCAAACTCAAACAAGAAGGCCCTTTACTCGGCTTCGACTAACACCCTCCTGGAGACGTCATATCAGCCGTGACACAATTTCCTCCTGTCATCATAAAAATTCATGACGCAGACCCTCAGATTAGGAGACGACTTTATTAGCGTTCTTTCCCATCTGTTTTCTCGTCACATTAAGGACGAAGACGCAGTTAGTTCCTGTCTGAACCCCGGGAACAATCGCCGTCAGTGAAAACAAACTGAGCGTAACGTTGTTTACAGTGACACCTGAGGTACATCTGTCAGGGAGATAACAAGACGAGTCAAGTCACGGTGTGTTTGAGGAGGCAGAGCTCCCCCCGTCCGTGATGTAGTAGCGTGAACAAACCTGTTCAAAGGTCACGGGGTTGTTTGTCGACGCTTCAGCTCGCATCAGTGAGTGTGGAGTTTCAGCTGGGCTAATGGACGAAAACACGGCGAGGGAACGACACGGTGCTGGACGTGGATGATGGCGTTTAAACTTTACATCTTAACCTTTAATATCTCCTCTCCTAGTTTCTCACAAATCCAGTTTCAGCTTCTTTAAAGTCTTTATATGTGAGAGAAGAGGAGCAGCAGGTATTCTTGAGCTGCTGAATGAACGATGAGTACGACGCTCGACCTGGTTCAGGTTAAAAGGTTTTTCCTGCTTGCATTAGACCTCCATCAGGTCACTTTAAAGGGATATTCCGGCGTAAAATTTAATTAAGGGTCAAACACACAGAGATGAATGTTGCCAACCGCTTACTTCTCTAGTTATACAAACTCTAGTAACGACCGCACGATAGCAATACACAACGGTTTGAGGAGTCGTAAACAAACCTCAACCAAAACACCACTCTATAGCCACAAATAATGCTCAGAACAGCACCTAAGACAACTCACCTACTCTCTTCCAGCAGCCGCTTGTTTGTAGCGAGACCTCGGGCGAGTCCACTATGGACTACAGTGGGGTGTCGCAGCTCAAGGAAGAACATTTATGATCATTTCTTCATGGAAATACAATCAGACCGAGACGCTAAGGCAGAAGAACTACTGCATCTGTAAAATGATTAATATGATGATTATTACTTCAAGGAAATTAAAAAGAAATGATCATAAATGTTCTTCATTGAGCTGCGAAACCCCGCTGTAGTCCATAGTGGACTCGCCTGAGGTCTCGCTACAAACAAGCGGCTGCTGGAAGAGAGTAGATGAGTTGTGTTGATGAAGTTAGGTGCTGTTCTGAGCATTATTTGTGGCTATAGAGTGGCGTTTTGGTTGAGGTTTGTTTATGGCTCCTCAGGCCGCTGTGTATTTCTATCCTGCGGTCGTTACTAAAGTTGGTAAAACTAGAGAAGCAAGCGGTCGGCAACATTCATCTCTCAAGGGGGGTCTAACTCTGTGTTACGGTGTGTGTTTGACCCTTTAACCAGTTCTCCAAAGAATCTAGTCTAGACCAATTCATGGCTTTTTGTTATAAACAGTCTACAAACAAACATCTTACAAACATCCTAAATGGCAGCAAATCGAATCTAAAACAGTCACCAGCTTTTGTTCCATACGGAGAATAATCTAGTTTAACATCATTTTGTTCTGAATTAATAACATAATCTAATCTGATTTCATCGGTTGATAAAAATCAGTTATTGGGTTATGTTCTTCGAATATTAGATTTCTTCATGACTCTGTTAGTTTAACTCCAGTATTTTTTCCTCCTTAATAATTTCCAACAGCTGGACGGAAATCCACAAGTCCCATGTGGCGAAACTTTTCCAAGAGTATAAAAAAAACAACAACGGGATATTGGCGTTTAATATCGACCACTGGCTGACCTGCTCTGTCGTTATTGGTGTCAGTATCAGCTGTAGTAAATCTGCTTCAGTCAGTCTAGACCTGCTCTTAGATAAAGAGGAGAAGATTATATAGTGATTGACAAATACTGATGTCGACAGTTAACTAGCAGGTCAGAAAATCACTGGATGGATGCAAAATATAAATATTATGTTGGTTTTATTTGTGAATAATTGATTAAAAAAAAAAACCATTTAATTTAAAAAAACTTTCATATAATGCAGGAAACTTTTTATTTTAATTGATGTCTTGAAATCAAAAGCTAAAAAAAAAACAGCTGTTATCAACTCAACACTCGTGGAAACCCTCGCTGAAGGCCCAACTTCTGTTTTGAGTTTTTCCCCGATCAAAAACTGGCGCTGATATCATCATCAAAATTTAAAAAAAAAAGTCTGTGTCTAAAAATAATGTGAATAAATCCTTTCTTTGACTGACAGGGAGGTCTTTTTATGTCATGTGCATCACTCTCTGTACATGCAAATAAAAACAGCCCGACTCTTTTACATATTTTAGATCATTCAGCAGATAATTCAGTCTGAAAAGAGTGTGAAGTGACCGGTTTCTTCATGCAGCAGCAGCAGGTTGTATTTGTTGCAGAGCTGTTTCATCAGCTTGCACTATCATGTTACCCTCTCCTCAGATTTATACTGCTGCTTATTTAAACTGAAAACAGGAGATGTGATCGCTGGATGACTCAGCATCACCTCTTCACGGGGAAACGCCATCACTTCTTGGTAAAAGGTGTCCGTGAGTTTGTGAGAAATTGCGGGTTAACATTTTTCTGGTTGTAGTTTATGAAATGTCAAACGGTGAGGAAAGCCTTAGGTGATGAGCTCCTGACAAAGACTTCATGTTACTTTGATCAGCTTTATTGTTCCCTCTGCTAAGGCTGAATGGATGTTCCCTCTTGCAACACAATAGGTCGCACAACAATACAATACAATAGAGGAAGGTAGGATGAGACAAAATGATGATATGATACTGTACAATGAAGCACTGAGTGATACTATGAGGTACAGTGCAAGGATGCAATACTGTATAACACAACCTATATATATATTTTACTATATAATCCAATTCTAGATAGATATATTTATAGATATGGTTTTATTTTTTGATTTTAAGTAAAACCAAAAAAGGAAAAGGCTGAAGTAATGCTTATATGTCTATGGAAGTAAATCTGTGCCATCTGATTTTGAATTTGAATTTCTAATTGAATTTTTTTTTTTTCACGATGATGAAATAAATTTAGTGTAAAAAAAATCAGTCTCTCAAAAGATTTGTTTAGTAAAAAATCAACTTAAAAAAATATGCAAATAAAAAAATCAACGTCAAAAAATTCAACGTAAAAAACTATATAATGAAAAAAATCAACATTAAAAAAATTCAACATAAAAAAATTCAATGTAAAAAAAATTCAGTGTAAAACACACCGACTCAACATCCGGGTAACCAGGGAGAGCAATCATCCTGGCCCAATCATCCATCGTCCATCCAATCAAATAACGCTAGATTGGTCATGTGACACCAACCCCAGTGGAACATTTAGGAATCAATTTTTTCTCCCTGGTTACCTGGATGTTGAGTCGGTCTGTTTTATACTGAATTTTTTGACACTTAAGTCTTTGACATTTAATGTTTTTACATTTAATTTTTTTATATTGAAATTTTTTACATTAAATTTTTTGACATTAAATTTTTTTATGTGGATTTTTTGACATTTAACTTTTTTATATTAAATTTCTTAATATTGAATTTTTTTAATTCACACATTTTTTCAAAGTTGAATTTTTACTAAACAAATCTTTTGAGTGACTGATTTTTTTACGCTGAATTTATTTCATCATTGTGAAAAATAAGTGTCAGAAATAAAAGTGCGTGCTTGAAATTCAATAGTTTCGAAATTCAACGTCTGATTTTGATGCAAAAAAAAATATATCATCTTTAGAAATTTAAATTCAAAATCAGATGGCACTGATTTACTTCCATATATGTCGCCTATCCCGTTTACAGCAACAAATAATGCTTCACAGCTTCACATTACAGTTTCATATACAGTCTAACACAATATAGACAAAGTTCAGTTTTATGTTCTAATAACATAACTAATAACAGAAACACATCTGGATTTAACATTAGTTCTTACTTTACTATATTACAAATGATCCAAACCTCTTAAATTATAATTACTAACTCTTAGTTTTAAAAATTTCTTAATACTTTTTAAAATATATTGTTTTCAACTTTGTTAAGAATCTCTAATACTTTAATATTGACAACATCTCTCAGCTTTGATGCTTTATGAAGAATAAACTAATTATTAGTTGGTTCACAATATCCTACCTTATTGACTATTCTCATTGCCTAATACAGGTTTTTCCTGCATTTCCCCATAGTTCTGCACAACAAGAGAAATATTGCATAATCAAGGAACTATAAATCAAAAACAACCCCCCCTTTTTGTTTAACACTTTTCTTGTTTTGTACAGTTTGCCAATAGATTTTGAGACTTTACGTATTTTATGTCCAATGTGTGATTTCCAAGACAGCGTGCTATCTATGATCACACCTAAAAATCTCGCCTCATGTACTCGAAACCTGAACCTGAATATTCTATACAAGACTTTGACATTTTATACGATACAAAGCAAATACCCGTGACAACTACATGCACAAAACACAACAAACAGTATATGTGTTTGACATAAGTTTGACAAATGTAATATAACGCCTCTGTATGTGTGTGTTTGTGTGTGTCCCTGCAGCCCAGCGCTCGGCACACGAGCTTCCCATGGTGGAGAAGCAGGACATGGACAGCTGCTCCGTTCTGGGTGGCCAGCAAATGATCCTGACCGGGCAGAACTTCAGCTCCGATTCCAAGGTCATCTTTATGGAGAAAACCCAGGGTGAGAGTGAGACCTCAGATCATATCATCATATTAACTCCATCAAACTATGACTGAATTTACGAAATCCTCATGCTTTTACACAACACAGTGTCACAGCGATAACTAATGACATGAGTTAGCATGTCTGTTAAACACATTCAGAGCTTCTCATGTCACCACTGTCATTGTTAAGAGCGAACCGTAGGAAATATTTGCATGATCCGAGCGATAACGCCGCAGCTTCACTTCCTTTTGCCCTTTTTGTCCCTCTGTGACTTCCATGATGTCTTATCGCCTCTCACACAGCTCAGTGTGTGGCATGCAGGTCGCTTTTTAGAATTAATATAAAGTTAAAGGGAAAATCTGAGTTTCCGGCTTTTTAAAAATGAATATTAGTGCTGAAATTAAAGCCAGAAGAATCCCTTCTCAGGGTTACGTAAGAAAATCTGGACTTGACTGATTTCAGATTTCAGCCGGGGGAAATTTCACATGTTGCAACAGAGGGACAAGGATGACACAACATGAAGCATTGCTGTATTATATAAAATTATTATATCATTATATATATTAAAGACCCATTTACACACAGATGTACTACAAATACACATAAGATAAAGAAATGACTGCAAATTTATCAGATCCTGATTTAACGGTATAGTTTAGGTGCATAGACACTATAGTATGTGAGTTAAAGAGGCAATCAGCGTTTTTTTAATCTGCAGATAACATCCAATCACCTCCTATATTTCATCACAAGTTGAGGTCTGTCGACATCCTGACTATTTTTGGGTCTCACAACAAGAAGTTTTGTTTTCTTCTTCTTCCCTTTTTCTGGCGGAGGATTGAGGAAGTAGGTATTAGCGGTTGGGTGAAGGACAGAGTGGCTAAATGAGAGGTCAAGTTCACGCTAAGGCTACAACAAAAGCTACTCAGGGATTTGATTGGAGAGATGAATGTTGTCGACCGCTTGCTTCTCTAGTTATACCAACTTTAGTAACGACCGCAGGATAGAAATACACAGCGGTCTGAGGAGCCATAAACAAACCTCAACCAAAACGCCACTCTTTATCATTTCCTTGAAGTAATAATCATCATATTAATAATTTTTCACTGCAGACGCGGTCGTTCTTCTGCCTTAGCGTCTGAAATGATCATAAATGTTCTTCCTTGAGCTGTGTCACCCCGCCTCAGTCACTTCTGTTCAGCGTTAGTTTTATAAGAGTTATTCTGGATCAGCGTCTGTGAACCGTTGACGGGACATGTGTGTTAATCACCTGCTGTTAATCACGGACACTTGTGTTTACCTCTGGCTGCTCTGCAGCGTGGACACTCATGTTAAAGTGCTTGTCTGATATCGTGACTCACTGAATCCACTTCTGTCTGAAAGATGACTTTTTAAACTCACGAACTCCACAGGCTGCCTAAACTAGATCTTGGACCTGGACGCCCCGGTTTCTTTCCCATTTTTTCAGCTCCGGGGTTCCCTGCCGCTGCGTTACGACACACCACAGTAATGGATAGTAAGACAGAGATGGAAAAAAGAAATCTTACGAGGCAGGATTGCCATGGTTTTTGAGTTTTTGTATGACACAGAGTTCTGGAGCAGTGCAGCTGTGAAATCCCTCTGAACCGGGGACAGCTGCGTCTGGATGCAGCTCCTCCGGACTGGGAGAGGAAAGCTTTTCCCAGCCAAGTCGAGTCTGCTCTGGCTTTCTCTCCTGCTCATTCCTCCCTCCCTTTCCACCTTCTTACACAATAATCCCCTGAGGGAGAACAAGAGTCGGGGTATCCCTGCAAACAAACGCTCCGAGCCAAGAAAGCAGTAGTCATCACGTTTTGTAAGACCTGGAGGGAGTTGATCATAAAAGTGAAGTTTGAGAAAAAAACGAGAATCTGGCAACACGAGTGGAATCCCCCTTCCTCCTGCTGACTCATTTAAGCCATGTGTTTGTAATTTAGCAATTTGACAGAGGGTTTCCCACCTACTGCAACATCCAAACAGAGCTCACTGCAGCACATGTTGGATCATGTGTTCGAGCACATGGAGTTCACATTCACAGACCCCGTTTGGTTTTCTCCTTTTTCACCTGGATGACAGCTCGACTGTGATCTGATGAGGTGTGATGTAACAGAGGCTGTAATCGGTTCAGACGTGGAGTAGTGAAAACACTCGGAGATCTCATCACGTCTGCTTTAAGCTTTAAGGAGCAGACCGGTGTGTCTCCTGATTTATGGTGGACCGGAGGTTGGGTTGGTGTTAACCTGCGGATTATTTTAACCTTAAGATAAACTCGGCTGTTTTAGGAAGTGGTTTCAAAGTGATACCATGTGGGAGCATTAAACAGGATGTATACACCCCTGATGTATAGACCTCACTGAATTCACGTCCCGAGGTGATTACTCGAGTTTGTTCAGAATCAGCATTTTCCAGATTTGCAAGCTCAGGTCTTACAAAGTTACACCGCTGTGCACTACATCTTGAAACAATCAAGCTTACTTACTTAACAGCTCAGTGAATCACCGGTTTGTTTAACGTTTGGTTTTCACATCAACGTTCTTTTTTGTTTTAGATGGGCAGCAAATCTGGGAAATGGAAGCCACAGTGGACAAAGATAAGAGCCAGCCGGTACGTATTACGAACCACATTGTGATGCACGACAATTATGTCGGTTTCTGCAGTACTGACTGGAGCTCTGTCTCGCAGAGTATGCTGTTTGTAGAAGTGCCGTCCTACAGAGACACGTCCACCTGTCATCCTGTCAAAGTCAACTTCTACGTCATCAACGGCAAGAGGAAGCGCAGCCAGCCTCAACACTTCACCTTCACGCCGCTGGCATGTAAGAATGCTGCGATATGTAGTTTGATTTTATCATAATATTCAGAAAAAGGATCAAATATTGTTCATAAACTGTTACTACATGGCTGGGGTAATTATAGTTACTGACTGGTCAAGTTGTGGGAACATGCTATGGCAACTGTCAGCTACAGCTCGATAACAGACCGTTGCTATGAAGAACAGACTGTTGCTAGGGGTGTCAGCTCAGTTTGATGATTTAATCCGACTTTTTTACCCATTTCAACTCAGTACTATCAGACCATCTTCCAAGTGACCTATCATGTTAATTTTCTATTATGTTAGTCTGAGACACCCATGGATTAGAGTTACATGATGAGCCGTTCAAAGACTCCATTTATCTCATAGAGATTATCTCATGAGATGAGACGAGATGAGAAGAAATGAGATGACATGGGATAAGATGAGATGAGATTGGATTAGTTGAGAATGAGATGTGATGGGATGAGATGAGATGAAATTGGATGAGATAAAATGAGATTGGATAAAATGAGATGAGATTGGATTAAATGAGATGAGATGAGAAAGAATAAAATTGGATGAGATGGGATGAGATGAGAAATTTGCTGAAAACTAACTAAACCCTTCCTCGTCGATCCTCTCACAGCTCCATCCATAAAGACTGAACCTCTAGATGAGTACGAGGACCACATGGGATTCTCCATGCCTCAGATCTTGGGTTTGTCCCCTCACTCCTACTACCACAGCCCCCGCAGCGTCCTCCATCCAGACAACGGCCTGGTCTCAGGCATGTCCTCCTGCCAGCGCCTCAGCTCCAGCCTCCCAAACCAAGATGCTCGTTTCCAGCAGCAGAGCCCCACCATCGTGTACTCCCGTGGGGGGAAGAGTCTAAGCGGCAGCCCCAACCTCTATCAGCAGCCTGGAGGGATGATGCCTGACCCTCATCGCTCAGTCCTGGTCCACACTGGCTCTCCAGCTCAGCCTGTCGGACCCATTGGCTCAGGCCAGCACCCCTCGATCATCCAGTTCTCCCCGACCAACCACCACCTTCTCCGGGCAGGAGACCCTCACACCATGCCCCCTCCGCAACCGGACAACCAGCAGATCATCTACTGCGACGGTTACTCCCCACAGGCAGCTGCTGCCCACTCACCCACATCCCCACAGGCTCAGGCAGCCGTGTCCCACCCTCAGCACTATCCCACCGTGATCCAGCAGCAGCAGCAGCAGCAGCAGCAGCCGTTCACGCAGAAGGAGCAGCAGAAAGGACGGGGACCGCCGGGTGGGGGGCAGATGGAGGCTGCCGGAGACGGACAGAGGAGGGTGACGGTGAAGGAGGAGAACTTGGACCAGGCCTACCTTGATGATGGTGAGTGTAAGTTGGTGCTTTTATACTCCGAGTGGATGAGAGAGCTTGTGAAAGATCGTAGATTTTGACGCCTTACAGACTAAGTGTCTCAAACTCGTTTTTATCCCTAAATGACGGTGAAAATGTGATTTAACGCGAGTCTGTCAGTGAAGTGGAGGACGACAGGAAGATGAATAATGGATATAAGCTCTTCCTATCTTTGAAGTAGATGGATGATAAGACCTCCAACCAGAGATACGGCTCTGCCTCAGAACAATTCAAGGATATTTACAATATCTCCACAATCTCCTTTACACACACACCCCCGATTTGATCTATGGGCTTTAGTATCGCTCAGAACAAAGCCACCATAACACGCTCACACTGTTAAAACAATCCTCTCAGGAGGTGCAGTTATGTTCCACTCAAGGTGGAAATAACAGAGGATTATGAGTCATATGTTTATACTTATGCTTGTCAACCCCATTAGCCTCTGGCTGAATTAATGTCAGGCAGGAGCAGGAGGCTGAACTCTCACATTTAGGAGTTAAAGGTTCTGAAAACTTGACGCTGTTTTACAACGAAACGGGTTTAAAGTTCGGTGTGTGTCGGCCAGGTGAGCGTCACAGTGGTGTGAGTCTGTCTTCGTGTTCGCAAACACACACTAGGATTCATGTTTTTTTTCTCTCGCGCTTTAAAGGCAGAGAGGGAGGGAGAAAAAAGTGTCACTCTCCTGACCGCCCGGACATGTTGACACTGTTATGAAGTGAAAAACAACCTCCATGGCAACCATTGTCAAACAGTGGAACGGACTGCCTGGGAGAGCTGGGGAAAGCCTCTTTGTTTGTTATAGTTGGCCGCGGCTTCTCCTTGGCCTTACGCCCCTCGATTCAGCGGGGGAACCCACCAGAGGATTAGCTTTTTTTCCGACCACGGGATTCTGCCAATCTGGCACAAGAAACTCCTATCTGCAGCTGCTCTCCTCCAGAAATCCAGCCTGATCTCTGAAAGATAGCGGGGAGGAGGGTGGAGGGCAGGAAAAGGGAAGGGGCTGTATGTGTGTGTGTGTTTGAAAGTGTGTGTGTGGAAAAAATGAAACGGAGAAAAAAAAAAAAAAAAAAAAGCCTGCAATGGAATTTGTGTTTTTTGGATGGGACTTTCAGGGTTTCCCTCCGCAGTAAACAGCAACAAGGATGAATTAACAAGGAGCTGGAGGCTGCAGAGTTTTTTTGATCCTCCCTTCATCCTCAGGAGATGACAGCTCCTCAAGATGTCTCTGCATCTTTGTCCAATTAAAACCCTTTTTATATCGTTTATGTTTATTTTAGCGCTGCGAAACACATCAGGGAGAGCTGGGACGCAGAATGTGGTTTGGCATTGTCCTGCTGAAATATGCAAGGTCATTATCTAGATGTTTCTCCAAAACCTGTGTAAGATCGTTCAGCGTTAATGGTGCTAAACCAGGTCTGTGATCCACTCGTACTAAAGCATCCTAATGGTATCATAGAAGACTGATAGAAACCTGGGTGGTCCGAGTTAGAGCAGAGGAAGTTGCGTCTATGATTTTCATAGAGAAAGTCACATTTTGACAGTTCAGTCCATCTAAACCATTTGTGTTTACTGACAGTGTGATTCCACTGCAGAGCCATGTCTGATTTAAAGATCACAATCATCAGAATCAGAAATACTGTCTTAACTCAGAGGGGGGAAATTGCTTTTTGTCACAGAACTCCAGTACCAATACGGTAAAAGGAGGAGATAAATAAGTAAAAATAAAGAGCTAAATAGATAAAGATAAGTAAAACAGGTAAAAATAAAGAGAAAATAAAGAGATAATAAATATAGTAATAGATACTAAATGTTGGTTTTCAGCTTTTATGCACAGAGATTTTACCAGATACTCTGAATCTTTTAATAACTTCATGTACTAGAGGATGAAATCCACAAATTCTTTACGATTTCTTGCTGAAGAACTTTTTTTATGCTTCCAGGTATTTTTTTATACAACTTTTATGACCTTATGACGGAGTATTAACCCTTTAACGCCTGAAACCACAAACTATGGCCAAGAAATTCAAATTTTTTTTATAGCTGAAATTTTTATTTCACTTACTACTGATAAACAACAAAAAAAAATATGTATGTCCTTAAAATTTAACAAATATATTTATTTATCTTGTTTGATACATTAGATGTTTTTGGAAACTGATAAACCACATCAGGACATTTTTATCATTTATTCATGTATTCAGGTGTTTTTTAGTAATTTGTTTATCATATTGATTTGATAGAAGAATCATAAATATGTATCAAATATGATACAAAAATATTTGTATTTTTACATACATATAAAGGGTTAGGGCCACATAAAAAAAAAATAAGACTTTGTCGTTACTTATGACAATAAAGTCATAAAAAGTAATTATTTAAAAGAATAAAGTCATAATAAAATCATTATTTTCGAGAATAAAGATGTAAAGTATTTATTTGTATTTGTATTTGTATTTATTTAGCACAGATTAAAAACAGTACATGGAGGGGACGAAGCCAAAAGGTGCAGACGACAAAGTAACTCGGACATAGACAGGTTACACATGTACAATGATTAGGGAAAGGTCAAACAGATAATCATCAAACAGTGATAAAGACAATAAAGTATGCATAAAAAGGGAAGAAACGTGATCATAACAAATAATGATGTATTTAAGACATGATCAGAGGAGATTTTAATGATATTTTAAGGGAGTTGAGGGATGATATTGATTTTAGAGATGCATCCAGATTATTCCACAGTTTCGGTCCTCTAAAAGTGAAATTAGACTGATGACTAGAAGTTCGACAAAGTAAAGTCTTAAAAGTGAAGTGGAGTCTTAAAGCTGCTTTTGTGGAGGAGGAGGAATAATGATTTTCCTACGACTTTATTTGACCTAGGTCTGACCTAGGTGTTACTGCTTTTATACCATTTTTAAGCTCACACTATCCGTCAGATACTCTCAGATTATAAAAACAGAGCGTTTTGCGTCACCTTTGGAGGGTGTAGCAGAAATTCAAAGAGGTGTTGTGTTTGACACATATACACCCCCGTGTGATATTATCAGAAACTGATCACAAACTCGTGCGTAGGCCTTATTTATAGTCACAGTTGGACACTTTCTCCTCTGCTTATCACTCCTACAGGTGATAATAACCCACCTGCCCTCATTTTCATGCAGAAAAGGGGAAATCCAAACATCTAAACGTTGAGAGCATAAACATGGTCCAAAAATCCCCCTGCTTTTGCATGCAGAGGTGTTTCAGTCTGATTCTGACCACCGAATAATCATCTTTAAAAAAAAAAGGACTACCACCGAGGAGAGACTGTCAACATTACTCATCGCGCTTCGGTTTGTAGTCACTTGAAGAAAAACGGGGTGAAGCCACATCCTGGCACTGTCACACTGTTGTGGTCGATAACTGTCACATCTCCGAGCCGCCTGAAGTGTGTCAACCTGCGTGAAGAGTGTTAAACGCAGTAGAAGTCTCTCATGATCACTCCCACTCAGAGGGGTTTCATCCTCAGCCCTCGCATGAGTTCCCATGCCCCGACTGAACCCTCAGATAAGATAAGATTATATTGATATTTATCAATAAATCATACAAAAGAAAAATCTACCTGCATTTTCTTCACTTTACAGAAGTGGGGAAAGTTTGCCCAGAGAGTGACAGATTTAGTGGGTGTGGAATAAAGCCCAGAGGCAGTGGAGCAGGTGAAATTGTTCCAGCAGGTAGAGATCAGGGCAGCAGAGATAAAGCACACAGCAGCAGCAGCAGCAGTGGCGGCAGCGGCCCCGTGGACACGCATTAGTCTCAGCTCACTTCCATCCCATTTGAAAGGCTTGATCAAATACACAGCTCAGCCGTAACTAGACAGTGTTACGACGGCTCAGACGAGACTATGATAAAGAAGTGATGATACAATACATATGGTTACATATTAGGATACTGCTATCTGACAGTTAACACGTTTGTTTGGCTTTTTAGTGTTTTTGTGCTCAAGTCCTTTTTTTTCTGTACAGCTCCATTTTTAAAAGTTATTAGAGGGTTCATACTCTCTATGATTGACACTTGATACAGCCTATGCACTTATGAAAATTGCGTAGCTCACCTGGGGGCAGGGATTTTTTTTGTACGATGGTAGGGGAAGGTCCTGCCTCCTTCACCTACGATTGGTTATTGCTTATGGCTGTGAAACATCATCGTCTGTCGGGTTCGGGTTATGCTGCGTCAGATTTTCCGTCGGTAGTCAGATGTCGGAGCTGAAAATGACGTCACATCGAGTTCCCAGCGATCCAAAAAAAGCAAAATCAAAGGTGGAAACAAGATGGCTACATCTACGAAAGTTATTTTAGCACTTGCCTCATATTCAGACAAGGCAAGCGCTAAAATAACTTTGGTAGATGTAGCCATCTTGTTTCCACCTCTGATTTTGCTTTTTTCTCACTTGGTAACTGAAACACTGGTAACTCGAGTGTGATGAATTTTCCTAGCCAATCAGAGGCGAAGGAGGCGGGACCTTTCCCTACCATCCAATGAAAAAAAAATATCACACCTGGGGGCAGGATATTTTTGTCGGATGGTAGGGGAAAGTCCCGCCCCCTTCGCCTTTAATTTGCAAGAAGTGCTGGGCTCCGATTGGTTATTCCTTATGGCTATAAAACGTCATCGTCTGTCAGGTTAGGATTAGAGTCAGGTTTAGGATTAGGGTTAGGATTAGGAGATTCAAAATTGCGATAATGTTCTGTATTGTCCTGTTGGATGTACAGAACCGACAGCCCGCACTCAGCTTGAGCGTGTAATGACGTTTCACAGCCAATCAGAGGAGAAGGAGGCGGGACCTTTCCCTGCCATCCTACAAAAACAAATATCGCACCCGGGGGATACACTGTTTGAGCCGAGCATCATCACAGCAACTTTCGGCGACTCTCCTGCCGAATGCGTACAACGCTACTGCGCAATGTTGGTTTCAGGAAGTGGAGAAAAATCGCAGAAATACCGAGAGCTTCTTGGCTTCAAATCTGTATACTGGTGGAAAGCGGAACCGAGTTGTCCATATCCTATGGTTGAGCAAAATGGCTAAAAGCAGCAGTTGTCGACTAAGATGAGTTTTTTAACAGCTGAGACCGACACCGATACTTACAGAGAAGGTCAGCTGATTGGCCGATACCAATGATGGTGAAGCATCATAGAAGCTTCAGCTGAACTTTGTTGTTTTCACTGCAGAGAAAGAGGAATATGGAGTCGTTCATATTCTGTGTGAGCATTACTCAAACACGTACTTGACAATAAGACCAGTAACCCACCGGATCTGTGGTCTGAGTGTTGGTTAGCCATCAGTCCACTCGCTCCACTTTCTCTTTCTCTCTATAGTCACTACAATCAGCCTCAAACCTGCAGTCCTATAAACCCATGAACACACACAGAGTACACCCTTCTGCACACAAACACTATATTAGCATGCAAATACTTGCAGACACGCAAACACACACAGTCCAGCTCTCAGCAGGTAGTGTGTGTGTGTGCAGAGACTGAGTCAGCGACTGAACAGTGTGTATCTCTCTCCTCTCCAAACGCTGGTCGTTAAATAAAGCTGCTCATTGGTGCAGAACTCAGGAGCCAGACACTCACCTATTGAACAGACTCGCCTGAGTGTTCCCCAGACCCAGCCTCAAATACCCAAACCGTGCCAACCCTTCATTAGCTTCAGTAAAGCCCCTCTGTATGTCGCCCCGCTGTGGTGCTCCTGCTGCTGCTTCTCTGAGCTGGTTTTATACTCAGGAAAAACCCTGTGGCAGCACCGGGGAGATGAAAGTTTCTTTAAGGCTGAAGGTGTCGGAGGGGATTCCTCCGCAGACTAGAATAAACAGGGACGCTGACGGTGTGACGACAGCGCAGCACCCAGTTTGGCTGCTCCTGCAGTTTTGCAGCCCTCTGATGCTGCCCCGGCTATAAAATGCGCTCAGTGTTGAAGCTGCTGTAACTACGTGGGCTGTTTCTCTTTTCACATCTGCAAATGATCAGATAGAGAGGGTGGCCAGTGAAACACAGAGAGAGAGAGAGAGAGAGATGGAGAAATATGAGTTTGTTACATGGAGGGGATCTCTGCTTTGATTGCTCAATTTCAGCTTCAAACTTCCTCACTTGTGCTGATAAAGAACTTTATCATTTCAGCTGTTTTAACGAAGTTTAGCTTTTAATGGAAGCCTCATGGTTTGACGGCTCCAGTGAGGCATGTCAGGGGTGATTTTTACTCCTGGTAGAGATCTGGTTTAAAGGGATATTCCGGCATAAAACTAAGTTAGGGTCAAACACACCATAACACAGAGTAAGACATCCCTCGAGAGATGAATGTTGCCAACCGCTTTCTTCTCTAGTTATACCAACTTTAGTAACGACCACAGGATAGTAATACACAGCGGTCTGAGGAGCCAAAAAACAAACCTCAACCAAAACGCCACTCTATAGCCACAAATAACGCCCAGAACAGCACCTAACTTCATCAACAGGACATATAGGGTCACAGCCATTAATCATTTTAGCTTTGTCTATTTTCTATTGCAAAGAGACCAAACACAACTCACCTACTCTCTTCCAGCAGCTGCTTGGACTATAGCGGGGTGTCGCAGCTCAAGGAAGAACATTTATGATCATTTCTTTATCATTTCCTTGAAGTAATAATCACCATATTAATCATTTGTCTCTGCAGACGCGGTAGTTCTTCTGCCTTAGCGTCTCGGTCTGATTGTATTTCCATGAAGAAATGATCATAAATGTTCTTCCTTGAGCTGCGACACCCCGCTTTAGTCCAAGCGGCTGCTGGAAGAGAGTAGGTGAGTTGTGTTTAGTCCCTTTGCTAAAGAAATTGGTCAAAATTAAAAAGATATTTGGTGTCTAGTACTATGTCTGTGACCTTATATGTCCTGTTGATGAAGTTAGGTGCTGTTCTGAGCATTATTTGTGGCTATAGAGTTTTGGTTGAGCGCGTGGCTCTCTGTATTGTTACTAAAGTTGGTATAACCAGAGAAGCAAGCGGTCAGCAACATTCATCTCTCCACGGGGTGTCTAACTCGGTGTTATGCTGTGTTTGACCCTAAATTAATTTTACACCGGAATATCCCTTTAATCCTAGCAGGAGTTGTAACTTTCTCGTTGCAGATTGATAGTGACAGTATAAAGGAAACACAGTCGTTCTCAGCCTCTCTTATTTCCTGTATAAGACCACAGTATGAGGCTGTCAGCTGTTAATCTGCTCAAAGGTAACAGGAGGGAATTCAACCTTCATACGCTGAAACATCTCTTCACACCATCTGTGTCGAGCTCTGCTGTTTATCTGTGAGCCCAGCGCCTCGAAGTCGCTCGTGTGTGTGTGTATGTGTGTGTGTGTGTGTGTGTGTGTACACTGGCACTTGGAGACATTATAGGCTGGTGCCACTGCTTCCACTTTGCCTCAGGGAACTCATTAGGTCGATGAGTAATATAAGTATTTCAAAATGGGCCAAAAAAGCTTTTTGCCTGTAACTAAGTCATTAGGAGGATTGTGTGTCTGTGATTTAGTTACCACGGTGACGGGCTACACTGCGAGATTGTGTTTTTTTTTTTAACATAAGTGTTAGAATCTAAAAATCAACATTTTGGTGATTCATTTAGCAACGTGTTACCGCAGAAAGTCACCAACGGAAGTTTTCTTGCTTTTACGACACGCCTGGTTACAGTTACAGACGATAAACAAGGACGGGTTAAAGTTTTGGTCAGGTGTGGAGAGGTCAGCGAGCATGCACACACACACACACACATACACACAGATTCCACTCAAACCAGGAATCTCACAATAAGGTAGCTGCCAATCCTAACAGCTGTCTTGTAAACCCGCTGTGGTGACACTTCCTGCTGAAACCCTCTCCTTGTAACTTTGATTGCGGTGTGTGTGTTACAGGACCTGTTGTGTAAACACTTGTGTTGTCGTCGTTGTTGTTGTTGTTGTTTCTCTAATTCTGACATCCATGTATAGCCTGATGATTCACGCTGACTCCTGTTGCCATGGCTGCATTTGTTGTGCTTCCTCCTCAATGGGCCTGTGGGGTCACTTCATCTGAACATCCACAGAGTGTGTGTGCGCCCCTGGGTGTTCCTGACACACAGCAGGATTTCTGATCGGAGATGTTTGAGATCGAAGACTTTAAAGGGATATTAAAGGGAGAGATGAATGTTGTCGACCGCTTGCTTCTCTAGTTATACTAACTTTAGTAACGACCGCAGGATAGCAATACAGAGAGCCACGCGCTCAACCAAAACGCCACTCTATAGCCACCAATAATGCTCAGAACAGCACCTAACTTCATCAACAGGACATATAGGGTCACAGACATAGCATTAGCCATAAGCAAGCGGTCGGCAACATTCATCTCTGGAGGGGGAGGGGGTGTCTAACTCGGTGTTATCCCTTTAATGGTGGAGAGAGGAGAGCAGGGAGAGGAGCAAGAGGAGGCAGGTGTGTTTATCCATGAGCGTCTGAAAAGCCAACGGACAGAAAGAGGGCGAAGAGTAGAAACAAGCCCAACTCTTGACATGATTAAAGATGTTATGAATCATGTGTCACCTCCTTTACCAACACTCCTCATAAACACGGCCATTATCGCTCCTCCATCGTCCCTTTTGTTTCATTTTATTGTGAAAAGATTCAAACACATATCCTGCGCCGCTCTCTAACAACTCTCTGTTTCTTTGCTTTGCAGTGAATGAGATCATAAGAAAGGATCTGACCGGCGTTCAGGCCAGAGGGCAGACATAGAGGAGGGACTCGAGAGGAAATGACAACATATCCCGCCTCCCCACGGACACACACAAAGACGGACACACACACGCCACGTCCTTAACCTTCGAGAGAGGTGACGCACATCCACCAACAATCAGGCCTTCTCTTCCTCATTCGCTTCACCCACACAGATAGAAATATCAGCTCCCGGCTGCTGTGTTTGCTTTGGACGTTTTCCCACCAATAAACAGGAGAATTCATTAAAGCTGTCAGATTGAACACGCAGGCATGTTTCAGACATGAGGAACGATAGCAGACAGTGCCTTACGCTAAAAAAAAAAACCTTTAAATCAATAAAAAACTTGTCATAACGTCAAACCAAAACAACTGAAAAGCTTTATACAACTGTAAACCAAAACTTTGTCGTCTCTCTTGTGTTGTGTGTTTTCTCTAACATGCTGATCATCTCATTTTAAAGTGCATTTATCTCAATGAAGTGAAGCGCACATCACCTTAAGCCTTTACAGTAAACTGTTGTGACACCTCCTAATATGCACTGTTTTCAAAATAAGAGGAGGTCCATGATATAAATATATATATATATAACTTTTTATATAATAACTGAATCATGTGAATAATAATGCTGTGTTTTATATTCATGAAATATATATTTGTACTGCATTATAGTCCGCTCATGACGCCAAAGACGCTTCAAACTGCCTGCAGCGATGTTACGAGTTTACCTTTTTAAATGATTTCGATACTGGAGTTGGTTTCTTATTAAATCGTAACATGAGAAATTATTTAAAAACGTATCTTTAGAGTTTTGTACGCTCAAATTTAAAGGCTTTTTTCTGATGTTTGTATTGCTTTAAATGGAGATAATATCCCAAAGCTCATACAGTATGTTGTGTTTTATTTTGTACAGCTGAGTCCGATCAGTGAACTCAAAGCTAAAATACGTGCCTATGCAGAAGCTTCACACTCGCCGATGTAAAAAGCAAACCTGATGAGAATTTGCTTTAAAGGGGAAAAGTAGATGACGGATATTTTTGTAATATTTTACAGACTGGATTGGAGCTCAGAGGATAAAAAATGCCATCAGATTATTGTAAATATGAAACTGAAGAAACACCTTCGACTGAATCTAAATGTTTGTATCTGATTTTTTAAGACAATAAGAATTAATTCTAATAATTGAGCCAGTGCAGCACAGATGCATTTGAATGTACTCCACGTTAAATAACATTTAAAATAACCTTTTTTTTTTTTCATTTTGTAAATATTTGTCATAAACTCTGTCCGTCCACGTGTTTGGATAAACTGAATAGACCAAAAAGGGAAAAGTCCTGTTTCTGTCTGTTTTAATACACACACATGTTATAGTTATATTATCTGAAGGGAAATCTGACATGTTATGTTCAAGCTTTAAGTGTCTCTTTATAGGTGATGTTTTTGTTGTTATTTTTTAATCTGAACAGAAATCCTCTGCAAAGAAAAAAGGTTATTAATGCTGTCTTATTTGATTCTCCGTGTTGATAGCTGTCACATCTCGTTTGATTGTTTTAACTCGATGTTCTGTGTCTATCCCTCTGATATTTTTGTATCCTTAAAGTAGCAATAAATAATATCCGTATACGTAATAATGAGTGTCCTTGTTTTGGTGTTTCAGACCTCTGTGATCATAAATGAACTGATATTATCATGAATATGAAGCTCATCACTCTGACTTCTGGTCTTATAAAACAGCCGAGTACATTTACAACCAGACTATAAGTCTTTAATGTTATATATAATTATTAGAGATTATATGCTTGTGTATTTCTGTTCAACACAATCCTACAGCTACACTTTGGTGCCTCTGGTAGTGTCAGCTGCACAAACTGAGAGCAACACATGACGAGTTAAACTTAACTAATAAGTTTAATTATCATTTATCTCTAATGATGTTCAAATTATTGTTATCTTTCATCAATCAGCGCTGTAACCAAAACTTTTTTGCATGCTTTTATTTAGAAAGTTTTCCTATCTGGCCTTTATGTTGTTCTTTACCCTGCATTACCAAACTATGCTTTTATTTTGAAGTTTTTGACATCCAATAGATGGGCGTTTCTCAAAGTGTGTGGCCCGCCCGGTAGAATGCACCCCTGCCGTAAATTGCTACCCCAACAAAATTGTGACAAAATAGGCCATGTATAACTTTATTGACAACATTCCTTCTGCTGTATTTCTCAAAACTAGAAAACAAACATAAATTCTTCGGGTTACTTCAATCACAAGTTGCAAAAAACCTTTCAGCTCAGGACCTTTAATATAATGTCGCACCAATATCTTTGCTATTTTAATTCTGCTCATGTACATTCACATAAAAACAGTTGTAAAATGAGTTTTCTTCTTTTTAAACTGGGTGTTTTTTCATTTTCATACTTTATATTATTCAGTTAATATTTAAAACATTCAATACAAACAAGAAAAATCTCAAACATGTGAATGAAAATGAGCAGAAAGAGGAAAACTCTTAGACAGTCTGCCCCTCTTTTTTAAGATATAAATCAACTCAACACATAGTAAAAATGATGAGTTAGATGTGAGCATAAATTAGTGATTAATTACCATTAGGAAGAGCTTACAGTTGTCTGCTGTCTAATATAAGAGGAAAATTAAACAGACCAACAGTAGACAGTGACTCATCAGGTGCCGACCTGAACTAAAACAGACAGACAGACAGAGTGTTGTTGTTTTTAATACTTATATAAGTCCAAATAATTAAAAAATCACCTGTGAAATGAAACTGTTGTGTTGTTTATACAGACACACACACACACACACAGAGGTCCACGCTCACACACACACACACACACACACCGTCTCTAACTCCTTCCTTCCCTCAAACACCAAATAACAACAAGAGGGGGCCTCACATACCCGGAGGCTGCAGTTGCCATGGAGACGGCTTGTTTGGTGCCTGGTCCCCGAGTCGGGAGGACGTCTCTGTGAATGAACCTTGTGTTCAGGAAGTCTCTGGTCATGACATCATCACTGCAGAGAGAAAAAAAAGGAAAAGAGGAGCACGTGGGTTTTTCTCTCAAACAGTCACACTCAGCCCACTCAGGCAGAAATGCTGCCGTGACTCACTCAACCTTTAGCGTCCGTCTGATGGTGTCATGAGTCCGGACCGTGTTTGGACATTTACTGTGTGAAATCAAACAAGAATGAAATACATGATGAGTTTGGCATTTCATTCACTGTGTCGAGAAGAAAAAAAATCCAAGAAGACTGAGATCATCGTGACACAGAGGCCACGGAGCCGACCCGACCACAACAACAGTCAAACACCAGATTTCAGATGTTAAACCCTCATAAAACAGACCTGAAACAGTCTGTTACTCATGTTTAACCTTCTTCATTTGGTGTTAAAGTAAAGTAAGAAAAGCACACGTGGACTTAGACAGAGGTCATCTGTAGAGCAGCAGGACAGCAGGCTGTTTGTGGGACATGAAATAAGGATGACTTTGTGTGTTTTCAGACACTGTTAAAAAGTCTGCATCATTTTCTCAGAGACGTGAGTCAGTTTCCTGAACTTCAGGTGCTGAATGTTTAAGTGCTCAAACTCTTTGGACTTATGAGGTGGAGCACAGATGGAGAAACTTAGCATTGAGACATTATTTTAATAGGGAAAGTTATTAAAATGTGAAGGTTTATCTGCAACAATTTCATCGTTTTTGGGAGCTTTTTATCCTCAAAGGCCACCGTTTTTCAGTTTTTTAAATCTTTACATATTCTAAGACTACAACAGAATAAGATTAAAAACAAATAATGACGGTCGTCCCACAAAAACCAAAGGATGAGAACTGCTTTATTCAGTCTGACCTGCTTATTTATTGTAAAGCTACAAACAACATTAGAGCTCCTGTTTTCATTCAGCTATGAGGAGGTACATTTCAAAATAAAAGCACAGTTTCACAAAACAAAGCAAGATAAACACATTTTATTTATTGGAATAAAAAAAGTCATTTTATGGGTCAGTAATAAATACCAAATATGACAGGTTTGTCCAGATACTGTGGAGCAGAATCTAGTGTAATAGCTCCCTCTAGTGGACACTTTACAGTCACTCTACTTCTATATTTTTCCATTTTCAGGAGTTAGATTTTAAACTTTAATTATTTATATATTTCCCTCTCTATCTATCTCACCTTGACGCATATTTATTTAACTTTCCCTCTGCACAGTAACTCGTGATTCTCTGATTCTCTCTCCTATTTTCTCCACTTTACTTGAGAGTTGGAAACATAAACTGAGCTGCAGTTCTGCCAACAGCCTGCAGAGGGAGACAAACCCCTGTGAGTGTGACTCAGGAGCATGAGGAGCTCGTCAATAACACTCCACTGGAATAGAGAGAGTGTAGTGGAAGTATATTATAGCACATGAGAGCTGCTTCTGCTGTGGAGTTAGAGGAAAACTTCAGCTCAGGGTAAATTCACTCACTTTAGAGTCACAGTGGAGTCAAATGAAGCTCATCTGCATAAATCTCACTGTTTTAGATATTGTGCACGTGTAGCAGGTAGGATTCAGAGGCTCTACAAAATTAGGTAAGCTCCGCCCCCTTTTCCCCGCCCTCCTATTTAACCCACCTGTGTCAGGAGAGCTTCCTGCCACATGGTCTGAACAGAGGAAATGAAGCCTGGTTCGTTGTTTTCGTCATTTTACTTTGAGTTCTGACCTTCTTATTTAAGTGTATTTGTTCTTTTTCAATTGTTTGCTTCCAGTTTGCACTTTTCCCTGTCTGTCGGCGTCCATTGGCACAAGTAATGTTAAGCGGTTGGAGGAAACCTGGATAGATGAACGTAAACAGGTAAGAGTGGCTGCATTTTGTTCACAGGAAGACAACACACTTTTAACAGAGCAGTAGTGTCTCTTTCTTGTGTTGAAGACACAATCAGCTGCTGTTTTTGTCTGTTTTTAGAGTTTAGTTTGGTTTGTTTTTGTTTGGCTTGCTTTCTCGTCCTTTACAGCAGTGGTTCTCAACTGGTCTCACTCTGGGACCCACAATTTCCCATGGTTCCTCAAAGTCTCAAATGTTTAACATAAATACACATGAACACATGAGCACATGAACTGAGGACGACAACAACAACTGAAGTCACATATACAGAAAACATCAAATATCAAATTGCACAAAATAAAGACCAAACAAAAACAAACAAACATGTATTTTATATTTATTTTTATATTTTAATGATCACTATCATGGGAGATTTAGTAAATTCTCATTTTGTCGTTTTTTACCTGCACAAAAACAACGTCGGTCATGTCCAGACAAGATCAATTCAGTATAGATGTCTGTATGAGGGGTATACTGACAAAGAAAGGCCCAGAGGCTCACTACAAAAACTTTTAGCAACTATTAGCAATATATCATTTTAAACTCCAGTTCATGTCAGAGTCTCATCACTCCCCTCCCAAACTCACTTCTCACTTTTATTTTACACTTTCAAAACAAGATCAGCGAGGCCGTCGAGCCGTCCAACCTGTCATAATGTTTATTTTCTTTTCTTTTATGAGCCGCTGCTGCTGAAAAGTCTCTTCTGGCTGCGAGGTGAACGTTGACATCAGCTCTGAAGTGGACCTGATGCTCATTAAATCAGAGGAAACAACAGGCTGCAGAGGTAAATACAGCTGCCGCCCACCACCAACAACAACAATACACACAAACACACACTCACTCAGTTTCATTTCTTTAGTCTTCTCCACCGGCTCCAGTGTCAGAGTTCCTGTGTTTACATAATGCTTCCTTCTCACTGACAGAGGAGTGATTGGGATGTTCACAGAGAACCTCTGGAGTTATATAAATTTAGGTCTTTGAAGGCATCATCAGTTTGTTCAGTAAAATGACTTTTTCAAGCTGCAGCTGCTGCGTCTGCAGGTTTCCTCCTCACAGGGTGCCGCTGTGGTCTCATGTTTTATCACAGTAATAATAAGCCTCTTAGATTTACGATCCCCACCTTGAATTTATTCCACAGGAGCTTTTCCTTTTTTTTCCCTCCTATTATGTATTTCTCTCATAAACACGCCTCACGCTGCTTTACTGTGCGCTCTACTGTAATTTCCTGCGTCCCCGTCTTGACTTGCAGCAGCTCCAGTGGGTGTGAACTGGTTCGCTTTAATCTAAGGTGTGTGTGGGTGGGCAAAGGCGAGGTACCGGTCTCTAAGCAGCGTGCTAATGTTCCATGACCACCTCACTTTTCACATGTTTTGAGCTCTAGTTGCCGTTTTCAGATTTATTTTGCGGTCCCCTGTCTTTGACATGTTGTAGGGGTGCTCGATTTGTGCAAAAATCATGATTGTGATTATTTTTACTGATGTCGAGATCATGTTTATGAAACACAATCATGGATTTAAATCTGCTCTACATGTGTTCACAGGATACATAAGCTTTGATTTAATTTCTTATTTAACTTTAGTCGTGGAAAAGTGAGTTTTACTCTGATGCTGCAAGAATTACGCTGATACTTCATCATGGTTCGGCTTCACGCCCCCGTTTAGTCTGGCATATGTTAGTTCGTTGAGTCTCGTTAATGCTTAGATCATCTCTCTAGTAGTAGTCATTCTCAGTCTTTCAGTCTTATTTCTGTCTCAGTTTCCAAACCGGGTAAATTGAGGCCTTAATTATTATAACTTAAACGAAATGATAAAGAAATGATCATAAATGTTCTTCCTTGAGCTGTGTCATCCCGCTGTAGTCTGTTATGGGCTGGCCCGAGGTCTCATTACAAATAAGCGGCTGCTGGAAGAGAGTAGGTGAGTTGTGTTTAGTCTCTTTGCTAAAGAAATGAGTCAAAGTTAAAAAGATGTTTGGTGTCTAGTACTATGGCTGTGACCCTGTATGTCCTGTTGATGAAGTTAGGTGCTGTTCTGAGCATTATTTGTGGCTATAGAGTGGAGTTTTGGTTGAGGTTTGTTTATGGCTCCTCAGACCGCAGTGTATTGCTATCGTGTGGTCGTTACTAAAGTTGGTATAACTAGAGAAGCAAGCGGTCGGCAACATTCATCTCTCAAAGGGGTGTCTAACTCGGTGGTTGTCTTTTATATGTAGTTTATTCCTTGTTTTGTACTTTAGTATCATTTTGTGTGTATTATCCCTTATGTTTACTCATTCCGACGGTCATTTCTGTGTTTCCTGTTTTGTTTTGGAGTCCTTTTCCCCAGCATGTAGAGTCATCAGTCTCGCCTGTTGATGCTAAACAAAAATACCCAATGTAAAGATTAGAGAAGTCTGAGCCCCATCTTAGTAGATCAGACTAAAACTCTTATCTTGAAGTTACAGAGGAGAGGAAGAACTTCCTTTAACAGGCAGAAACCTCGAGCAGGACCAGACTCACGTAAGACAACCATCTATTTCAGAAGCTTTAACATTATACCAGCAGCTCTGATTGACTTCATTTTCAGTCCTCAGCACAGATTGATAATCTCGTCCTCCTCGCAGTAATTAACCGTGGAGTTGATTAACTTCTTCTATCTGTGACGCCTCGGCATTATCAGCTGTTTGTTTACTGATCTGATTATCACAGACGCAGTATCATATTAATGAAGGGAAGGCCTTCGCTCACAGTCCAGTGTGTTTTTCTTTTCTTTCTGTGTGTGTGGCTTGAGTTACCGTTAATTGTCGTCATGGAAATGTTGTTTCTTTTTGTCGGTCGGGGATGGAAGTTAAATTAGCTCTCATGTTACATGAGCACTCAGCTGCAGGGACGTCCCGGAGGAGAGGGAAAGTGGCATCGATGGTTTTATACCAGAAATTACACAAGTAACAAGCTGCTTTCTCTGACCAACAACGGTTCTTATCTCTCTTTGTCACACACACAAACACACTCATAATTTTATATTTATTCATGATAATGACACGGCATAATTCGTGTTCTCAATCGGCTCCTTTTCAGATTCATCAGGGTCATAAATCCTTCAGTGAAGTTCAGGTTAAACTTAAAATAGTTTTTCTAATCTACATATTAAATTTGATTTAGTTTAAACAAAGTTAAAGTACTCACATCACCAATAAGGTCTTCCAGTGAGCTCCCCCTACAGGCCTGGAGTACTACTTGCAACACTTTTTCTACTTTTCAGACTTGAGTCTTGACTTAGAACGGTCGTTTGATTAAATGTTGAATTTGTCAGGTATGGTACTTTGTCAATCCAGCTCTTCCCTGCAAATATCAGATATCTGATGTGCTAAAATAACAACCTACTGAAGTGCTTTTCCATCAAAATAAATTAAGAGAAATTCTGGCAAAACATTTATTTTTCTTTATGGTAAAAATGAACATATTTGTCAGTCTTGTCCTGGAAAATATTTGCTGTTTTGCAAAGGTTGACAGAAATGTTATTATCATATTATTATTATTATTATTATTATTATTATTATTATTATTATTATTATTATTATTATTATTACTGTTACTATCATTATTATTTTATTATTATTATTATTATTATTATTATTATTATTATTATTATTATTATTATTATTATTACTGTTACTATCATTTTTATTTTATTATTTTATTATTATTATTATTATTACTGTTACTATCATTATTTTATTATTATTATTATTATTATTATTATTGTTGTTGTTGTTGTTATTATTATTACTGTTTTTGTTATTACTGTTTTTGTTATTATTATTTTATTATTATTATAATTTTTACTGTTGCTGTTATTATTATATAGTGTAGTAGTAGTAGTTGTTAAAATTGAGCTATGTTTCTGTCTTGAATATTGAATTAATTCCTCGTATTTCAGCACATAAGCCTCTTTGTTGTAAATCAGACTTTTCTCTGTTTAGCTGAAGAGGACGATGTCAGCATCCAGAGCTGCTTTTCTGGTTGTTGTTGTTGTTTTTTCTATATCAGTTTCGTTTTGTACTTTTCTTCTTTAGCCCTGAAGCTACCTGACTAACAAACTGTGTCTGACTCCCAAACTCATGTTGGTACAGAACAAACACTTTCCAGCACATTAAAGATGAATCTCTCTCTTCATTTCAGAGCTGAGATGAGCTCTCTTCGCTGCGCTCCCCGGCTGAGGTGAGAATTATCATAAACTCTAATGTCTTCATGTGTATAATTTCTGACCTTTGTCTCATTAAAAATCTCACCGCTCTTCAGACTCCACACTGTCTGACTCAAAAAACACCGAAAACAATCCAAGAGCGGACATTAAGAGTCTCCGTCTCACTTAAACACTCATCTACATCCAGCAGAGGCTGTTTGTCTCAGAGTCCAAATGATCCGAGTGAGTAACCCTGTTCGAGAAGAAACGACTCATTTTAATGACCGTCAGATACTCGGAGTTTGGCCAGAAAGGAAATAACTTCACCAACATCTTATTGAGAGACTTTGTCAGACCAGACAAGAGCAAACGAACTTCAGGTTTAGAGATCAAATTAAGAAAACATCCTGGTTCTCCTTAAAACCTAACAAAATATTGACCTTTCCTGGAGATAGGCACAGTTTGTTAAACAACCTGATTGAACTTTGATTACAGTTAATCAGTTTAAATTGGCAGATTAACTTTATTTGGGTTTTAAATTTTAAATTTCCTGTTTCAGTCATTTCTGGTGAGTCTCAGTTTCGCTGTAAAAAGTGAAACTGAATAGAAGTCTGCAGTTTTCTTCTGTAACATCATAAAGGACTTTTTCAGAGTAAATAAGTCGAGCTTTGTCAGGTCAGTCCTGAAAAGAAGAAGAAAACACTTTTTTTCTTTCTTTCTTTTTTTTCTCTTTCTTTTTTTTTTGGTTTAAACATATCTTTATTGGTTTTTGTATTCATACAACAACATCCAACAATTTAAACATATGGCAGTTACGAAAATATCTAATAAAAATTCAATCCTACAAAAGAGGTAAATAATTAAAATGTCCTGATAAAATAAATAAATTAAAAAATTAGAAAAAAATTGAACTGACAAAGTACTGAGCAAAAAATAGTTTTTTAAATCATTTAAAATAATAGCAATAAAAATCTATTACTTTTATTATTATTATAACAAGACTTGTAAAGATCTCGAATAATACATTTTTTATTATCATTATCATTATTATTATTATTAATAATAATAATAATAATAATAATGATTTGTTCTGCCTGTTTTTGCTCTCCATACCGACTCTCTTTCCTGCATGATTGGCCGATATAAACATATAATGAACTGAGTTTTTCCACTGTCCTGGTTTTTGTTCAGATTTTATAGAAAGAGTTAACGACATCATGACAGGAATGATAACCTATAAAAATCCTCTATACCACCTCACAGAACGCTTCAATTTAAACATCATATTCTTAGATAAATGTTTGGTAGTAATTACCAACCATCCAACTTCACAAAGAAACATTTTAATGTGAGTAATACGCACTCCTAATAACTGTTATCAAAAGAGCACAAAGAGGTAACAAAGGAACCAATTAAACGGCTCACAGCGGCGCGGAGGAGAGGAGGTTCTGCACAGATTGCAGCGAGCGGAGAGAGAGCTGTTATTTTAGCCCGGCTATAATCAAAGTGATCAACAGACAGACCTGCTGAGTTAGAAACTGACATGTCTTTAACCCCGGCTGCAGACACCAGACTGACAGATACAACGAGGAGGAACAGGAGAGACGCTTCTGCTAATTTGTTTTATTTTCAGACTCGTGCGCATCGCTGTGAGGCCTAATCAAAGAAACAAAGAGGCTCTGAATGGAGCAGAAAACAAGAAGAAGAAAGCAGGAAGCAGCTTTAGTGAATTAATGAGGCCTGACTAATTGGGTATTCAGCGGATCTAAGCCCTTTGGCAAACAGGTCATATTCAGAGTTCGGCTTAATCCGAGCCGTTGACCTCGGCATAATGAGAAACCAAAATATGCAGAAAAGAAGAAGAGTCCAGATTTGCATTAAATACATAAAACTGGAATGATAGTGTCACTTCAATAAATCCTCAAAGACGACTCCCTCAACACGAACCTGTTTATCATCAATACAGCACACACACACATGTGTCACATGACTTTATGTACCACATAAATTCATCTTGGACTCTGTCACATAGCAACACTGTGGTATCCATAGAAACGGAATTAAACTTCAAACCCCGGTTATTTAAGTCTTCTCATTGAGGATACGAACTCCTTTAAATAGGAGTGGATAATTTTGCCCTGAACCTCGTGTTCGAGTTGACTCTATTTGAGGATCTGTCCATGAAAGTCAAATTAAAGAAATTCAAAGAATATCTCCTCCTCCTCCTCGACGACACAAGTGTCTGTGTCACATCTCCTACGAGAGGAAAAGTTCAGCCCTGACCTTGGGAACAGGAACTGAATATGATGTCTGGTTTATTCTCGGCTCTCTGGAATCACATGATCCTCATCAGGAGGTCTTCGGTTTATGAATTAAATTGAAGAACTCTGAGCGAATAAAAACTGCTGTTTAGTAACTGCTAAACATGGAAGCACAATGCTCTTTGTATGAGCTTTTGGGAGTATAAAACAGTCCTGGGATCTCATTGAATAATTTTTCAGCTCTTTTCTGTGTGATAAAAACACAAAGACAGTGAAGTAGCAGGTCAAGAGATGCTTCATAAATAAAGGTGTACCAATGTATTAATAATAATAATAATAATAATAATAATTCATTTTATTTGTACAGCGCTTTTAAAAACACTCAAAGACGCTTTACATGGTACGTAAAAATTCAAGATAATAAGACAAAGACATAAAAACAGTAAGATGGACGAAACAGTTAAATATTAAAAGCAATTTTAAATAAGTGAGTTTTTAAAAGGGATTTAAAAGTAGTGGGGTCAGGGCAGTGTCTGATGGAGGGAGGTAGCGAGTTCCAAAGGGTAGGGGCAGCTGTGGAGAATGCCCGATCCCCCCAAGTTCGGTGCTTGGGTCGTGACAGTGGGGTGAGAAGATGGGCAGAGGAGGAACGGAGGTTACGGGGGGGTACATGAGGCTGGAGTAGGTCGGTGAGATAAGAAGGGGCTTGATGATGAAGGGCTTTGTGGGTGAGAAGGAGGATCTTGAACATGATGCGTTGCTGATGCGTCTTAGACAGAGATGGACGTGCAAACACAGTGAGGTCAGATAGAGGTTCCAACTGAGCATTTTTTAGTCTAAAAGAGGTCGAATAGATGTCTAATAATAATAATATTTTTTAATTTATTTATTATAATATTATTATTATATATAATTATTTATAATAATTATTTTGGTAAAGTACTTGGAGATCAGTTATGCTACTCACACAGTTGGTTTTTGAAATAAATCAAATAATGGGTTAAAGTGAATGTCTAAACTCCGTCTAAAAATATAAAGAATCTAAACGGTTGAAATTAGGTCTTAAAAAAAAACTAGATGTCTAATAGCCGTCTGCAGATGCAAGAGATCACCACAGTCCAGGAGGAGGGAATAAAATCAGCTACAAGGAAAATTTTCTCAGTAAAAAATACGACTATGAAAAACAAAATTCAGTTTCAGCCTCTGTTTTCTCACCAGGTTCAGCTCATGTTGTTTAAAATTTAGCGAGTCATCACCATAGATGATATATGCTATGCACAACTTGGCTCCGCTTTCTGTCATATACGAATTTGAAGCCGAATTGCTCTCTGTATTTCCGTGTTTTTTCTCCATTTCCTGGAACCACCAGTTTCACGGTAGCGTTGTACATATTCGGTGGGAGAGTCACTGTGACGACTCTGCCAAAACAGTGTATACCCCGAGTGAGCTACGCAATCTTTGCACGCTCATAAGCTACATCTATGAAAGCTTGACTTGTCCAACTATAAGCAAGAGCAAAGTAAGCACTAAAATAACTTTCGTAGATGTAGCCATCTTGTTCCCGCCTCCGATTTTGCTTTTTTCCGATTTGGTTACTAAAACGCTAATTTCTAAAGTTTGTCCTCGGCTCCATAGGGATTGCTGGAGGAGGCGGGGTTTATGACCTATACTGCAGCCTGTCACCAGAGGGTGCTGTTCTCACCGTGGCTTCACCCAATGAGGAGGCAGACGGCGTCCATTCCATATACAGTCTATGGTCTGGACATGCAAACAAAAATATACACAATGTTGGTTTAATTCAGCCTGTGAATATTTTTCCTGAATTTTCCCGATTTGTCCGTTTTCATTCCCTCTCTCTTACTTTCATCAAAGTAAACCTGTTGTTACAGAAAACAAGCTCTGAAAGCTCTCGTCCTTCTGATGACGAGCAGCTGATGACCTCTGACCTCACAGGCAGCAGATGGAGTCATCCCCCTGTGGAAACGCTGTCACTCGACGGTTTGAGGGACTCGTGAAAATGAGGAACAAGAACTCGGCGGTCTCTTGTAAATGGCACGACGGGCCTCAGGGGTACAGGGGTCAGAGACTAAAATAGAAGAGGACGTGTTTTCATGAAAACACCTGAGAAGATCCTTTGAAGACCGAGACGTTCAGAGACCTTTACAGGGAAACGCTGCACAGTGTACCCGACATTCTCTGTCCCCGTCAGTCCCCACCTGAATACTGATCTAAAGGTGAACGATATGATGGATTCTGAGCTGAGATGAGTTTCACTGTGATCATGCAAACTACTCCTCTCCATTTGCATGATGCAAAGAGGATTTTCTTTTTTTTCATTTCAGATAGAAGCAGATACTCTGGTCTCAGCACTCCTGACCTTTATTCAAGCCATCTAATCACAGAGTCAATTTACACCCAGGATACAAGGTGGGTATAATTATAGGCTGGTGGGCTGGAAACAGCTGGAAACTGGAGAAACTGAGGATCGGAGAAGACGACCACAGGAAAGATAAATGTGGGACTGATTACAGGTAGCCCTGTAGTCTCCTCAGTACAGTTTTTACCTGCATGTGCATGTGCATTAACACGAGTCACTGAGCTGACAGGGTGAGCAGAGGCTGTTAAAACAGCGTGACTCTGTGGTAGAAGAGTCCTGATAAATTCACCTCCTTGCACACGTTTAAAATCCTCTCTGCGTTCAGCCAAGGAGACCGTCGAGATGGTTTAAGAGAGCTTGATCTGAACGCAGAGAAACTGAAGCTGATCTTAGTCTGGATCACAGAAGGAGGGAGAGATTTTTAATGTTATAAATACCCCGGTGATGACTGTCGACTGTATATAAAATGGACGCCGTCTGCCTCCTCGCTAGGTGAAGCCACAGCAAGAACAGCACCCTCTAGTGACGGGCTGCAGTAAAGGTCAAAAGTCCCCCCTCCCCATGCTAAAGGGACTATCTTTCTTGGTGAGCCTGGCAACGCCTCAGAGTCCCCAGGAAGAACCGGATGAAGTGGCTTAGGACATTATAAGTCTGGTCTTCCTTGCTTCGGCTGCTGCTCCCGTGACCCGTTATCTCCAGATGAGCAGCAGAAATTGGATGAATGGACGGAGCTGAGCGGTGATCACTGTGGCTTTAACTCCTACATCCTCACTTCCAAAATACCTAAATTTCCTTTAATCACTGAATTACTTCACAACAGCTGCGATCTTTGAGCCGTGTCGAATTTGGCGAACACGTACTAAATTTTTTAAAATCGTCCTCGTCTTCCTGCTCCATTTGAAGAAGACTGAATATTTCAAACTGCGTAATGTTTTCTTGCTGAATCACGGACAAATGGGCTCTGAGTTTCAGCAGAAAGTACGAATTTTCAAGAGCTTTCTTGATCAATACGGTTTCCATTAATGCTTTCAGACAACATCATTACATTCTTGGAAATGGAGACTCTTATTCGAGGTATAAGAAGCAGCTTTGAGCTTTTTTTTCTCTGTAGTTTTGAAAGGAAAAATGAAGGGAACAGTCTCACCTACTCCTGAAAGTCTATTTCACGTCTGAGTTTTGATGTTATGTTTTTATAATGGGCTTGCTTTAAGGCTTTGTTAGTAAAAGTGGGATTAAAGGCAGATTACAGCTTCCCCCCGAGGAGTAACGCAGGAATAAACAGTAGATGCAGATCTGAACTCGTGGCTTTATATCAGCATCCTAATGGCGTTGTGTGTAACCGCAATTCAAGCACTAAGATTAGCCTGTTAAGGGAATTAAGGGTGAAGTCATGCAGGTCAAACTGAACATACAGTCTCTGGAGAGGAAGCAGGGAGGAAAGGAGGCTTTTCGTCCATGGCAACAACACGACTAATAACACAGGAGTCATTATCCTGCTGCAGCTCGAACAGAAGAAGAAGGAAAAAACAACAACTGTACGCTAGGCTAAGACCTTTAGCTATTTTTGGTTCCCGGTGAACTCTTGACATGGATGTGTGATACTGAAGCAGCAGATGTGATGAGAGAAGTGTGTTTTCCACTTTGTTCAGCGGGAGAATTAGTCACAGTGTCGGGTAAAAACCAGGTAGTAGAGATCGCTCAGTGTCATGGAAGTTTGTTATTTATATTGCGTATTATTGCTGTGGCAGTGACAGAATTAATGGGATTAAACACTAATTGAAGTCTCGGCTCGTTAAGCTCCATTTCTCTAATTAATCTCAAACTCTGGATTTTGCTCTGTTGTGTTTCCTGCTGGTTAAGGTGGGGTAGTCAGGATCTGAGGAAGTTCCAGTTTTTGGGAGAAATCTTGAATGTAAACTCTACCCCCTCCCAACCAGTTTTCCCCTCAGCTCCTCCTCTCCTCTCAAGCCCCGCCTACAAACAGACCCTCCTGCTCGCTCGTATCGTTCCAATTAAATTCAGATATAATGCAGATAAATACTTCAGATCATTACAAATGGGGCCCAGTCAAGGTGAAAGTCAAAAGCATTGGTGCTACTGTAGATGCCAACAGACTACCAGCAAACACAATGTTTGCAGGACTTCTACAACTAGGATAAAGTGACATAGTCCAGGACCCGAGGGAGGACAGTTTAGCGATGGCGCTACAACACGCTACAGCAGGTCCGTTTGACAAGAAACACTTCTGTTACAGACACTTGTCTTACTTTGTTAAAGCGGTTTACCTGTCCAGCAGAAAGGTTACAGGGTCACCAAGATCCCCAAGCGTCCCCCATCGTTTATGTTGACCCGGCTTTTTAGCTCTTGTCCGGTCTACCTCCGTTTTAAGCGCCCGTTATTCCTCCAGAGTCTCCGGTATTTACTTTGTTTTCTTGCTTGTGTCGGCAGTCGTGGCCAAAGGAGGATTCGGACAATTTTCCGAACTTTCTGGTTGGTTTCTACTGTCCGATATTGTAGCACGCTAACTTTGTTTGGGCTCCTGAACGACACGGGGGAGCAGCGTCTGCCTCACAACCAATCAGCACTAAGGCCACTTTTAGACGGAAATGGTCTCCATAGAAAACGGTAAAGTGCCGTTTTGTTTTCAGTTTTTATGCTGTGTTTACACAAAAACGCAATCTGGTTGAAAACGCTGTAATGTGCATGCCAGGTCGCTAGGTGGGGCGTGAGCCAGGACGTCACAGGTTTGACTGTTTTCAGCGTTGTTGTACTTTAGACGAAAGAGGGACTAGCAGAGCGTTTATGACATTTCCACTCTGGAGGGGGTTTTGACTTTGTTCCGTTTTCATCCCCTGAAAACGCAGTTGCCGTCTAAACGGACCCCCCTAAATGATTTTTCCATTTTCGATGGAAATCGTTTCCGACTAAAAGGAGCAGCGTCCGCCTCACAACCAATCAGGTCGGGGGAGGTGGAGAACGGTTTTGTTTACATTCAAAAAGAGCGGACCGCTCAAAACATTAAAAATGTTGACTACACAGACATAAGAGAACACAGAGATATCGTTATATTACCAAATCTCATCAATAACTTATAACTATTGATTGATATTAAAAGCTTTTTTGTATATAAACCACAAATCAAGATGCTTCTTTAATGGATTCCTACCCACTCCACCTTTAATTCTTGTTAATTCCATTTGTTCTCTTCTTGTTTTCAGTTCTCCAGAATTGAAGAAATCTGCGACCAGTAAGTGTCAAACTCATGAGCTTAGATTGGGTAAAAAGTGAATCATTCGATGTTTTTCTATGATGTCGTTTTTTGTCAATCAGCACCACTTTCAGAGTGTCCACAGGGGGCGCCAAAATGACCACAGACATAAAGCCCTTCACTAGAGCTTTAACTTGGTTATTAATAAATCTGTTTTTCTCGTCCACTTGAGCACGTCTACACTGGGCATGTACTGTACGGATGTATGATTACAGTGTTGGAGAGTGAAGTTAAAAGGAACTCGGTACAGCTTGTTCTTCACTTCTCCTCCGACACCTTTTTCCTGCCGAGTCTCAGAAGTATAGACCTCCTAACCTCCTTCACATCCGAGGGAAAGTTTCTCTGTGACTCAAGCGGCATTCAAGAAAAATATCTAAAAACGTGAACTCTGTCAGGTGTGTCGTTTCGTTGTCCACCCCCTCTTGTTTATCCGTCTTACCTGTTTCCAGCTGCCTGACTTGTTTATCGATCTCTCTGGTAGACGCGTTCAAAACTTCCTCTTTTCACCTTCGCGGGTCTTTACACCTCGCTAACTAACACTCCAGCGTGGTGAGAGGAGACGAAGGTGTGCTGAATCACGCTGTGAAAGTGAAAGCACGGGGCGCCGCTCCTGACTGTGGGAGTTTATCGGGATGAGGTATTTTTCTAAATTCTCCTCAAAATCAATACAGAGATATCCTCTTTCATGGTTGGTGTGTGATAAAATGCTTCACTCGGGCCTTTAAACTGGTGTACAGTGAGTTTTTGAGGCCGTCATGCCAAGAGGAGGCCGCCATCTTTCAGCTGAACATATTTTAGTGGTACAGTTTTTGATTTACTACTCCAATAGGACCTAAAAACTAATTTTTTTCTAGGCTGGTGAAATAACACATTTTGTTTTTGTCATGGTGTTGTCACAATAAAATTCATCAGAATATATAATCCTACGCTGCTTACTGTTGAAACGGGAATATTTAGTAAAATCTATCAGTCAGATTTTAATCCAAATAACTCTCTTGCTCATCCTCCCAATCTGTGAAAGGATGGTGGCCTTTTGAGGACATTAAGTCCAAGAATAATAATGTCATTACTCTGAATTTCCATTTAGATTAAAATTTTCCTCACTCCTCCATATTTCTATTTTAATGTCTCGATCAAAAAGCAGGAAAATTAAAGCTCAGTTTGCAGAGGTGGGGGAAAGTCCTTATGTTGCAAGTCCAAGTCGAGTCTCAAGTCTTGGCTCCCAAGTCCGAGGCAAGTCCAAGTCCTGAACTTTTAGTTTCGAGTCCCAACCAAGTCTTTACTGTTTCTTTCAAGTAAAAAAAAAAACAGAAACAAGCCAAAAACAAGCGATTTCTTTTTGCGGGAAATAAGTCGACTTGGCAACACAACACAGTGTTACCAACGGCCGTAATTCCTGACTATTAGTTGATGTGACACTTTTTAAATGGTTTGGGCTTGCTGTAAGGTATTAAGTGACTTGAAAAGACTTGACTTTTCAAGTCACTGGGCTCAAGTCAAGTCAAGTCAAGTCAAGTCTCAAGTCTTTAGCAATCAAGTCCCAAGCACGTCCAAGTCATTTCTTGATTTCATCAAACAAAGTCAAAAACGGGACTCAAGTCCAAGTCGAGTCTCGAGTCGAGTCGTCAAGCCCCCACCTCTGTCATTTGGTCCAGAAGGGTTTGGTCAAAAGAGGGCGGGGATAGAGAGGGGTACTTCCAGTCAGCCAATCAGAAGGCTCCTTTTACCCGACCAATCAAAAAATTGCT